GAAGTTGTTACGTAGGTTAATAAATGTTCGCGAACTTACCACCTGCGGTCGCTCAAGTGGTATCGGTGGTAAGTCACCATGCGCCGAAACAAATTGAGCAAAGAGTCGAAATTATTACAATTTTTCATATTTCATATGTAAAGGTTTTTAGACTTGCTTAGTATGCAGAATTGAGCTCGCGCGATCCTAAATAAGAACCAGCTGTAGCAGCAGGCAGCAGCGTCCTTATTTAGGATCGCCTGCAGGCGGGCCTATTTAGCTTAAAAGTGGGTATAAGTCTCGTGGACCAAGTGCCTAGGTTCTCAGTTATCTTAAAAGTCCACGCTAACTGGCTAATAATGGAAGCCGGTCCTGAGACCGGTCTGCAGCTGCAGCAGGGAACCGGACACCAAAACGATTGTAAGACACAACCATAATGTGGTGGTATCGAAAGATACAAGTGGCTTGCTTAAGCAGTCGCAACAAAATCCACGAGGGCCGCGGACTTGGGCCTTAAAAATTCAAACAGGAATAATCACCCTCAAATCGGTTGAACAGACGAAAAAGGCGTGCGGTGCAGGGCGAGGGAGGGAAGAGTCTAATATGCGGTGGAATGCAAGAGTCACCCGCCCTACCGATAGGATACTCCACCAATCGTTTTAACGGCTGGGACAAATCTCGTTTGACGGCAATGGAATGTAAATAGGGGGGTCCTTGTGAAGCAGCTGCCCGCGTTTCTAAAGCCCGTATGGTGTTGGATTGTAAGGTGCCCAAGTACGTTTGCGAGCAACAGAATGGGGCCAGGCTGGAGAGGAAAGTGCAGTGGCATAATGGAATGTGAGATTAGTCTAAGCTGGTTACAGGGCGTTTGGCGCACGGGCGAATTTACGTGCATACCTTTCACCGTAGCATCAGTGCTCAGCTTACTTTTTGGAACGAACATCAGCATAGGTCCAAGCCCTCTCGCTTGGAGGGATATGCAAACAAACATCCTGATAGGGGTAAACTCGCACGCTACCGAGCATTCAACCGAGCACATGCATGCTTAGTTGATGGTGAGATGCGACCCCCCCTTCATTTCGTGCTCGGCAAGCCTGCCACCGCGTACCGGATATGTTGGCGATGTTACAGAGACGCTGCACCTTGGTTTCTGTGCGCAATGCGTACGATGCCCGACCCCGCCGACCAAAACTACACGTGCCCAACTGAAGACATTCTCCCGGTGGTTGTGCAGCAGCTCTTGAGGCTGTTGCTGGCTGAAATCCATCCTGAGCTGTTGCAACACGGCTAACGCGGGCACGTCCCTATGCACAGCAAATAGCTGTTCTAAGCCAACAGCGGCGTCCATGTCACCGACAAGGCTCTAAACGTCTTATCTGTTCTTATGTTTAATTAAGTTTATGTATGTTATACTTTGCGCAACTTTGTAATTTGACTTTACTCTGAACAAGGTGCTGTATACGTTGCACTACCAAAAACGCGACCGTTTGCTTGCACACAACTGCCTCTTCGCCAGACGCTTCCTCTTCCCGCGGCAGTTTCACGAGCCCAGTCTTGCAAGCTACGACGTTGGCTTTCGGTGCTTTCAGTTACTGCAAAGCAGCCACGCAATAGTCCAGCCTGCATGCCGCGTGCGGCTGTGGCCAACATGCCCACCTGCGCAACGCGCTGGCGCACCTCGTCCTTTTTCGCCACGAAAATTTATATACACTTGTACAGGCGCATTTTGCGAATCGCACGCGCGCATCCGCGCGGCAAAATTCGCTCCTGGCTTTTTTGGACGATGTACGTCCCGTTTATTCGCAGGGAACGAGCCGAAACTTGACCAGGTCTGCGGAAACTTTTCGTAATCGGGAGGCCCTTTGCGGAAAGGCTGCGGAAACTGCGGAAAGCTGCGAAAATTATAAAATGAATATGTAATGATGTTTTTTAGCTCTTCTCAGTGTGGCGATAACTTGGACAGTCTGAAACCAGCTTGTGGCAGTGCGGTTCTGTCCGGTGGGATCTAGAATCTGGTGGATTCCAATCGTGCTCGAAGGTAGAGCCATCTAAACGTATTACTGGGGGTGGCGGGGGCCAAGCGATCAACTATTGTGTGCCCACACCCTTGACGGTGTTCACCCTGCCCCCTTCAAGCAGCCCGCCTCTCTTTGAACCCTGAGACCCCAGGCCTGAGCAGCCCTATCGTATACCACCCCCATAGTGTTGTTGGCTGACGGATTGCTCTGGGATGCTCAGAAATTGCCACTCGTATGTTACATGGGGTAAGGGCCCGGGGAGCCCTGAAACACTGAATAATTATCGTCTCCCTGTCCGTTGCGGAGCAGTGACATGTCTGCATGCCTACTCCACATACCCGTCCGGCATGTCTGCATGCCTCACGGACAAGTCTATGCTGACTGTGCATTAATCCAGTAATCGTCCAAACAATATGAATTCAAAATAAAAAATTAAAAAGGAATAAAAAGGCGAGAGGGCTAAAGTATCTAAAAATGGCACCGCACAACGATAACTGCAACGACGTGGCTCTGTTCAACTTCAACCACGTTTACGGACATTGTGGCATCAATTATCAAAAACCCTTCTTCTGAGCAGAAACACAGTCAATCTCTATGACTTCGGCAGCCCCCAGGTCGGGGCCAGTGGTTGTTGACATTTGACTTAATCTAATAACTCCATAGTGTAAAACGCAGTCTTTAAATGGCAAACGCATGCCTGGAATCTGTTTTCCAATTTCCGCCGTACAGCAACGCGGAAATGCGGATTCTCTTTCCGCATTTCCGCCAATCTGGGCTTCGCTGCGGAAAGCGTGACGAAACCTATTTACGCAGGTTTCCGTTTCCGCAGGTTTCCGTTTCGGCTCGTTCCCTGTTTATTCGGCAGAGTACGACCGCTCACATTTCTGCGAGGGGCTGCTTAATAAGAAGTTCCTAACCATGCATAAGAAGTGCCTTGGTTCAATGAAGCAACCAGACCTGCTTGCTGAGCTGCTGCGTGCTACTGTGCTGACTGGTGCACGCTGACATATGAAACTTTTCCGAAGAAGACTAGACTTCCCATAGAACATACGCTGTGCAGCGGTAAATTTCAAAACTTGGACCAAGTTCACAAACAGTTTTAGGACCCAATGCTCGTCGTTTCACCTCGGAGTACAATGGTGAGCATCCTAACTTAGCCATATGGAAAATGATGAGCCTCGCGTGTTTAGATGCCCGAAGGCGCGATCGACCTAGGTGGCAGGGAGAGCGCGCCAGCCAGCTGCAATTACAGGACCGAGTTCCTGAAATGCTGCCGAGAAAGTTGTCAAGCGGCTCTCTAAGGGCAGTATGTGCTTCTTTTCTAAGCAGCCAGGCTGCTGCAGCCTCTCGCACAATCGTGTCCGGTCGTACTGTGCCGGATAAACCCCTCGTACAAGACGCCCAAAGCCAGGCGCGAATTTTACCGCGCGAAGGCGCGCGTGCGATTCTCAAAATGCGCGTGTCTTGGCGAAAGTAGGGCAGTTGCGCAGTAGGCCACAGTCGCACGCGGCATGCAGGCCGGAAAATTGGGTGGTTGCTTTGCCGTAACTGAAATAACTGAAAGCATACAACTTAGGGGCTGGGCTCATAAAACGGGCTCATAAAACGGCCGCGGGAAGAGGAAGCGTTTGGCGAAGCGGCACTTTTCTTTCGCAAAATATAACATACACAAAAGTAAAAAATTAATTAACAAACTTACGCAAAATATAGCATACACAAAATTAAACATAAGAACAGAAAAGTCTTTCAGAGCCGTGTGGGTGACGTGGACGCCGCTGATGGCTTGGAACAGCTTTTTGCTGTGCATACGGCCGTGCCTGCGTTAGCCGTGTTGCAGCAGCTCCGGATGGACTCCAGCCAGCAGCAGGCTCAACAGCTGCTGCACAACCACCGAGAATTGGGCACGTGTAGTTTGGTCGGCGGGGTCGAGCATCGTACGCATTGCGCACGGAAACCGAGGTGCAGCGTCTCTGTAACATCGCCAACATATCTGGTACGCGGTGGCAGGCTTGCCGAGCACGAAATGAACGGGGGGTCGCATCTCACCATTCAACTAAGCATGCATGTGCGCCAGCAGATGAAGACGCGGCGCACTTCTGGGCGATGGGGATCGGTCTGCGTTTACATGGTAAGGCGTTAACCAAGGGGTGGCATAGGTAGAGTTATGGCCGCGGTAGTGGCGTAGGACCTCTCATCTGGTACGAGCCCACATCAGCCCGCCTCGATTCAGCGACTATGTAATTTTACATGACGCCATTTCCTATCCTGGTGACTGCGGAAGGTGTGCTCATGATGTGCATTACAACTGCCAACCGTGTCCATATACAGCTACAACGCCCGCTTAATCGTCCGCTGCATATTACTCCATCCGACAGGTCCGCATGGTGCCGCAGCCATCTGTGCGGCCCATCCACTTCAAGGCTGGGTGTGCGACGGCGGTACAGCCGACACGACATCCTTGCTAAACGATTCACAAGCAAACCGCGATCGTGCAGAACATGTAGACCCGTCCTGCGGCACCGGTAAGCGCCTGCCAATGTGGGCACGTGATTCACTGAGTGTGGCAGCACCCACGGATATCCGCGCCTTACGGGCGCTCATGAAAAGCGCTTCACCAAACGGCGGTGGGCGAAATAGAGCCGGATCAGGGACCGCCGTCTCAAAAGCCTTAATTTTCAAGTAAGTGCCGAAGCGGCTTTCTTCTTGCACAGCATTAGCAATGTCCCTGACATACTTTCCGGTGTGCCTTCAGTACCTACTTTCCATTCCCAGTCAGTTCACTTTTTTGGCTTCTTGGCTCGCCTTGCTCCTCTTGCAGGCAAAAACTCCTCCTATCCAGCTACAGCCTCCATGACGAGGCAGCCCTCTTCAGATCTTACACCAACGCCGAATTCAATGCAGAACTGGAACGTGGGAGGCAGCACCATGCCGTGTTCGAGTCAAACTACGGTTCCAAGCCCGCCACTAGTATGTTGTCCGTCGTCGCACTTCGCCTGCCGGTCTGCAATTTTAGTCTGTATTTCAGGAGGTCCTGCAATTATCACCATGCAACACATCATACATGTCCACCAACCAACTTCGCATGAACTTTCCCTCCACTCCATCCCACCTCCCGCAGCAGTCCCCTACAACATAACCAAGCGCATTCACGATGGTGACATGCCGGACTTCAACACTGCCATGTACGCCGACATCATGAAGCTGTGGATCACTGCGAGCCAATACAGCCATACAGCTCATATATGACTTCGGCATGGACGCGGCCAAAGTCCTCGACTCAACACAGGAATTCACGGTATCGGTTCTGGAGGCAGCAACCAAGGCCCGTGCAGATGACAAACCATGTCCCCAGGGGGCAGCGGTTTTGCCACTGTTGTGGTCCTAATAGCCGAATTGAGGATGAAAAACACGTGTTATTGGAATGCCCAGCCTATAATGATATTCGTGCTGAAGAGGGATTCGATCATCAACAGAGTATGTTGGAGGCCATGCAATGGGAACCCGCACGTCTGGCGAGGATGTTGGAACGTATGTGGGCTCACCGAAACTCAATTACCCCCTTTGGACGTTAGTCTGGGCTGATGTGCGGTGTTTTTTCCTTTTTCTCCGTGGCTTTTAGGCGTTGTAGTATTGCCCTTGGGCCCTCGGCTCGTATGGGTAGTCTTACAGGTATGGGGTCACGCACCCCCAACCATGTAACACACACACACACAGATGGCAAACTGCTCCCCTCCACCGAGCCCAAACACCCAAGGTCGCCATCCAACGGTGCAGCAGATTCGGGCAACACCAGCCACGGAAGGGGTGCAGCTTCAAGCACCTGACTATATACCATCACTTGCATCGACAACGGCTGTTCATATGTGGGCCAATACGTCTGTCGTAACCGCCACTACATCCTAATCGTCCACTGCATATTACCCCATCTGACAGGTCCGCATGGTGCCACAGCCGTCCGTTATGCAGCTGTGGATCACGGCTGCCGGCAGCCTCCACGCCGATATGGCCATCACTCTCATATATGACTACGGCATGGACACCACCGCCGTCCTGGCCGCGGACCAAGACTTCACACACTCGGTGCTAACCACCGCAGCACAAGCATGAGCATCTGGCGCCCTCCTTCCTACGATGCCAACGAAATGTCTGGCCGCCAGCCCGGCCGCACCTGATTCATATGCCCCTCCCCCCACATGACTCTACACCATCACGTGCACACCAACCGGAAGGGTGTACATTGGCAAATCCAAGAATCCTCAACGGTGCTTCAACACTCATGCCCGCACCCCACCCACAGGAATGAAGGATGACATCCACCTCTACCAACCCTTCCGGGACCACTTCCACTTGACATGCCTCATGTCCACCACGAATCCAAGATCGGGGTGTTCTACATTGCTCAGTATAACTGCCTTGGGCCAGACGGCTACAATGTGCTGCACGGGCCTCCTTCCGCCAGCCTGACCTTCTATATGATGACCCAAAAACGTGCCGGTACCGCCCACACGCCCACCACCACATTACAAGAGACCACAGCACATTGTAGCCGTCCGGCCCAAGGCAGTTATACTGAGCAATGTAGAACGCCTCCATCTTATCGGCGAGTCTTGGATTCGCGGTGGACATGAGGCATGTCAAGTGGAAGTGGTCCCGGAAGGGTTGGTAGAGGTGGACGTCGTCCTTCATTTGTGTGGGTGGGGCGCGGGCATGAGCTTGAAGCACCGTTGAGGATTCTTGGATTTGCCAATGTACACCCTTCCGGTTGGTGTGCACGTGATGGTGTAGAGTCATGTGGGGGGAGGGGCATATGAATCAGGTGCGGCCGGGCTGGCGGCCAGACATTTCGTTGGCATCGTAGGAAGGAGGGCGCCAGATGCTCATGCTTGTGCTGCGGTGGTTAGCACCGAGTGTGTGAAGTCTTGGTCCGCGGCCAGGACGGCGGTGGTGTCCATGCCATAGTCATATATGAGAGTGATGGCCGTATCAGCGTGGAGGCTGCCAGCAGCCGTGATCCACACCTGCATAACGGACGGCTGCAGCACCATGCGGACCTGTCGGATGGGGTAATATGCAACGGACGATTAGGATGTAGTGGCGGTTAGGACAGACGGATTGGCCCACATATGAACGGCCGTTGTCGATGCAAGTGATGGTATATAGTCAGGTGCTTGAAGCTGCACCCCTTCCGTGGCTGGTGTTGCCTGAATCTGCTGCACCATCGGATGGTGACCTTGGGTGTTTGGGCTCGGTGGAGGGGAGCAGTTTGCCATCTGCACGGGCCTTGGTTGCTGCCTCCAGAACCGATACCGTGAATTCCTGTGTTGAGTCGAGGACTTTGGCCGCGTCCATGCCGAAGTCATATATGAGCTGTATGGCTGTATTGGCTCGCAGTGAGCCCGCAGATGTCATCCACAGCTTCATGATGTCGGCATACATGGCAGTGTTGAAGTCCGGCATGTCACCATCGTGAATGCGCTTGGTTATGTTGTAGGGGACTGCTGCAGGAGGTGGGATGGAGTGGAGGGAAAGTTCATGTGAAGTTGGTTGGTGGACATGTATGATGTGTTGCATGGTGATAATTGCAGGACCTCCTGAAATACAGACTAAAATTGCAGACCGGTAGGCGAAGTGCGACGACAGACAACGTACTAGTGGCAGGCTTGGAACCGTAGTTTGACTCGAACACAGCATGGTGCTGCCTCCCACGTTCCAGTTCTGCATTGAATTCGGCGTTGGTGTAAGATCTGAAGAGGGCTGCCTCGTCATGGAGGCTGTAGCTGGATAGGAGGAGTTTTTGCCTGCAAGAGGAGCAAGGCGAGCCAAGAAGCCAAAAAAGTGAACTGACTGGGAATGGAAAGTAGGTACTGAAGGCACACCGGAAAGTATGTCAGGGACATTGCTAATGCTGTGCTGTCATGCCGCTCGATGCCCATGCAACATGTGTGGACTACATGCGTCATGCACTCATTACTGCGGGTGCAACTGACATGCCTGCACCTGACATTCTGCTGTCGAACATGGTGGGGGCCATTGCCGAGTCTTGGGACGTGATGTGCTTCCAAGTGCTACATGCCCATGTCGGCAGCCTCCCCAGCACCTGCATGGCGGAGCAATATGGAGAAGCTCTACAGCAGCACCGGCTGCTGCCTGGTGATGTCGAGCTGACGGTTCTCAGGCGTGCTCTCAACATTGTGCTCACAGTGTTCGACCCGGCTGGGCTGCAGGTCTGCTATTGGGGCACAGCGCCAATGGAGGTCTGCCTCATTCGGCAGATGGGCCTCACTGGCACCCCCGTGTCTTACCGCCTGTTGGATATGATGCTGGGTGTGTGCACAGGGCATCACCACCAGCATCTGGTCGCGGCTTGTCGCACAGTTGGCCTGTGCATGTCGGAAACACCATCAGCTGAGCGGGCTGGTCACATCCATGCTGTCATGCATGGGATGGACAGCCGCTGTGACTTCACTGTGCAGCAGATCTTGGCAGAATGGGCTGATCAGCATAGACCTGCGGTTGAGATGCGGCAGCTGCTTGCAGCAATACAGCAGTCATCACAGCAAACACCACTGCAGCAGCAGCAGCAGGAGCAGCTGCAGCAGTGCACCTGGCCGCTGCACAGCCAAAGCGCCAGCAGTGCTGTCATCCATCCGAAATGGCATCGCCCAGTCCTGCCGCACCAGATTGTGAGCAACGTGTACCTGGATACTTTGGAGCATCCTGGTGTGGTGGCCCGGGCCACAGCCTCGGCATCTCCGAGCAGCTGGCCACTTGGGGCACTGTCACAAGCATGCTGCTGGCCAGTGCACTTGTGGTGTGCGCTGTGTGTGGTGTAACCAGCACCGACCTCCATGATGAATTCAAGCAATGGGCCACTGTGCAGCCTGTCAGTGCCGGCATTGCACCATACTCCTTCCACAACAGCTTGCATGCTGGCAGCACGACCACACCTGATGGCCTATGTCGCCTGTGTCTGCACTGCACTCCCCTGCATCATACAAATGTTGGCATTGAGCAGGCAGAGTTTTTGGTCTTCCATCCTCCAGATTACACCAAGGCCGTGTCACTCGACACCACCGACCAGCTGCAATTAGGCCTTGTGGATGTTGGGTTGGATTCTTTTCAGCTGCTGATGGGTTTGTCACCAGCAAGCTTCAACAGCAGCATTGCATGGAAGCGCTGGTCTTGGATTGGGCATGGGACTCCACGTGCCGGGTCAACATGCTGCCCCTGGCACTGCAGGAAGTGCTGGGATGGAGTGTGCAGCACAACCCGCTTGTCAGGGAGTTCCTCACCATGGCCGCCCAATCACCCTTTGCCGTATCTGTCAACAGCCGACATGCAATCTTTTGTCGCTAATGTACAAGCCTGCAAACCGCTTGCACTTGCCACCCTGGAAACTGCAGAGGCAGCATGCTCTCTGATATCTGTGGTTGTGCCCACCGTCAGGTGTGCAGCCATCAAGCATGCACCAGTGTTGTATACTGCGGGAACATTGGTCCCGCGGGTGCCCACCCGGCCCCAGCTCAACCTGGCTGTTGCCATGGACGGGACAGTACTGGACTATCAGTTTGGCCTGTCCGCGGAGATGGCCATGTTCCCATATCTGTTTAGCTTTGGAGCTGGCGCGTTTGTGGGTGGCACCACCCTTGTCAAGTACTTGGCTTACCGCACCAAGTGCCTCTTCAGTGTCTGGACATTGTGCAAGCTGTACCTGTCACTGATGCATGTGCTCTGTCAGAGTGCCCAGCTGCAAGAGCAAAATACAGAGGTGAGTTCCTGGCGGGTTTGCTATTGTGGATACGGTGCATGATGCATGCTGGAATGTTGGACATGGGTGCCCACCCAGCTGATACATTTCACTAGCAAAGACATACATGTGTAACGTGATGTCACAACTGTCATGCCTGCCTATATGTGCAGGCGGTGCTCCTGGACTACAAGTCCCAGCACCCCAACACGACTGACAAGGACGCCATCCATCACATTCTCAAGCACAAGCTCCTAGCCATGTTGCCCAACACACCTGCATGGCACCGCAGCAATCTCCAAGATTTGCTGTGCATGGTGGACCGCTTTGGGATGCCGTCCTTCTTTCTTACACTCATGACAGACAAAGTCTCAGCCACACGCTGGCCTGAACTCGACTCGCTGGAGCAAAAGTTGCAGGAGTAAGTGGCACTACTGCCGGGGCTCACTCTTTCCAACTGCTCCACTTGGAGGGCATACTTGCATGGCGCCATCTGCCGGATGTCCTCTCTCAGTACGCCAGGCTGTCACCCATCACCTGTGGGGTGCACTGCTCCGGCTGTGCTGTGCTGCTGTCCTTTGCCCGCAGCTTCTGTGCTGGCTTCATGTGGCAAGATGCCCCAGCTGAGAATGTGTTCATCGCCCACAAGCATGTTCAGTCCTTCATGACAGACATGCTGAAGGCTGGCTGCGGGGTGGTCCAGGCCGGCGGGGCCCTCAGCCGTGTCACCAACTGGGTGGTGCAGTATGAGGTTCAGAACCGGCACAGCCTGCATGCACACATTGTTCTGTGGGTGCACCCTGAGAACGTGGACCAGGTAGCATCCGAGATCGTTGCCTGTGTGCCTGCTGATTACCGTGGGGATGATAGCCATCCATTGTGCCCGTACACAGCAAAGTACTGGCAGCGGCCTGAGGAGCTCTGCCAGCACGACCTCTTCCAGCATGTCTTGCGCAAGCAGATGCACGTCTGCACATCTGGTGGCCATGCCGGCTGCTGCACATCAGGCATATGCAAATACAAGTTCCCGTGGGCGCCATTCCACGTGTCCACTCCCACCGTCGACCCGGCCACCCTGCGCTACCAGTATTATCGGCCATCATGGGTGCATCAGAATGTGATCCCATACCACCCCACGCTGGTGCTGCTGTGGGGGGCCCACATGGATATCCAGTGCATCAACTCGGCCAGCTGGTCCTTCTACATGCTGAAGTACGCTATGAAGGTGCATGCATATGGTTCACTGATTCCAGGATGCCCCACCGCAGCCCTGTTTACAGGCTGCAGTGCTGCCTGTGCCTTAACACAACACCACCCAACCTGTTGCCACGGCTCTGACATGTGCACGATTGTGCCCTCTCCACGTGGTGTGCTTCTAGATGGAGCCGGTGGGGAATGTGGACCTCACTGCTGTGTCACATGTGGCGCTGGGAGTGCTGGCGGACAGCAGCATGGGTGCAGCAGGTCGTGACTACTTGATACTTCCTGTCGGTCACACGCGCCCAGCACTACTCCACCAGATCGAAGTGGACACTGCAAGCAGTCGTCTTACTCTTCTTCATATAAACGAGCCGTAGCTCCCTTCGCATTTCACACTGACGCATGCGCAGTTGAGCCCTGTCCAGTACGGCAGCCATCCACTGGTACGTTCAATCCTTCCGCTTCCAAACCGAATAATGCGCGGCCAGCTGCTTCACCAGATACCCACGATGTCTGACGATCACACATCAACAAAGAGGCGCTGGCCTCTGTTTGAACTGCCCGTAGGGGGGAAGTCTTGTTCAGGCCGTCCTTCCTTTGCGTTTGCCATACCTCATCGCGGTGAGATGCGTTATATTTTGCGCCATCCCTATGTCAGTGATCATCTTATGTGCCGATGAACGACAAGCACGCGTTAGGGAATCGCCTGCTGTACCTCATCCGGACTTGGAGACTCCAAGTTGGGGTAAAGTGAACCAACGCTTGATGCATACAGTTTTCTGTAGCACGCGACTTTATAAAAGGGATTTTCAGGCTTTATGGCAACATGGCGAGGTGGCTTCGGAGGACGGTACTGCTGTGAATGGCATGGGATAAAACAGAAGGTGATTATCGACTTCGTTTGCGTAATGTTATGTAGTTATACATGTGTGTTGGATCGTCGTAGTAAACTGCTCTGACCCATCGTGGGGCCCACCTACGATTGATTTTCCCGGCTTGAGCACGGCAATGTTTTCCATCCCCCTAAGTACCTACTATTTAGCGTTGACCTCTGCATATAAAAGCTCTCATTTAAGGGAAAGGTAGCGAGGTGACGGTTTCCGTCTAGGAAGTACGGCAGTCTCCTTCCAAACGCGGTTTCTGACTCCTTGCTTTCCACCGATAGGGAGCAGGAGTTCATGTATGTTTTCCAGGATGTCCTCTACAATCAACAACAACGTTGCGTAGAACGTGACTTGACTTCATTTGCCCTTCGCCGCTGGATTTGCAAAAAGCCAACGCACTTTGACGACCCACATGAATGGAGAAGAATATCGATGCATGGATAAACATTCGTTGTATTACCGAGCTGAGCCCATGGTTCATTTCTGTCTTAAATCGTCCTTGATGCTTGCCCAGCGCAACAACCATGGCAACCAGAACATAAGAAGCACGAACTCATTATTGTTTCCAGCACGCACTCGCCAATATGAACAGCGATGCGATTTCTCCCTGGTTCTCTCTGTGCATTAAACGCTTGGTAACCGCTGTCTTCCTGGCTTTGCAAGTTAGAATGGCAGCGAGCAATTCTGCACTGTTCTTCCAGAATCAGACCATCACCTCTTCAGCCAACGTCTACGCCTGCGGTTTCTACAGAATGTCGTACCAAATCTGGTGTGACCCCGGGCCGGTCACTGCCTATGTGGCAGCATGCAGCGATTGCGAAATGTCGACGCCTTTGGAAGCTCAGAGTGGCGGATCCTCCACTCTGATCAATAATACGATTACGGTACTCCCCACGGGCTTGACCGCGCCTCCATCTTGCCCGCCCGCCACGGCATTCGCCCAGTCCATGTCCTGCCCCGCCCGCAGCGAATGCACCGTCAAATGGCCCGGACCCGACAGCAACACCCAGCCCCTTTGCTTGGTCCTACTGACCATAAGCCCTTACATGGGACTTACTGTTTGCGATGTGTCGATTGAAGGTAATGGACGGGTAATGGGCGGTGCTGTTCGTTACAGCGGACGGCAGCGGAACAACCCCCCAAAACACGCAAAGGCGCACCTGCCAGTAACATCTCCTCCATTTAGCTACTACATGCCACCGCAATCACACACATCTGCGCGGCTGGGAGCCACTGACGCTGTTCTTTTCGTCCCGCTATCCAAATGGCCATGTGGTCATGGGCCCTGGCTGGGAAACCCAACCCAACCCAACCACCATAGCGCACCCCTTTGCCTGCATTTGTGCACGGCGCGCATGGTGGCAGTTTTGGCGTTGTCCGCCTCACTTAGAGGCCGCGTACATCACTACCCTCCCAATCATAAATGCCTTCCCCTTGTGTACACATCGTATCTGCCGCCCTGCCGTACCTGCTTACCATACAGGACAGACCTCTCCACCCGCTGCAACCGCGGCATCTCCCTCCGGCGGCGTCAAAACCCCCCTGGAGTGGTGGCAGTTGTTGTTGATAGTTGTGGCAGGAGTGGGGACACTTATTGTTGGATTGGCCATTACCATGCTCCTCCTGAGGCGGCGGAGCTGCTGCAGCGGTGCTGTTGGCGGCAGCGGCGTCACCGCCGCTGAGAGGTCCCCATCCCGAGTGGTCCCCATTCCCGAGGCGTCGAGCTACGCGGCAGCCGCAAAGCCTGGTGTCATCCCGCGCTCGTCCCGGGCAGCTTCTAACCCCTTGCTGCCGCCGGAGCTGTTGGCCATTCCACCGTCAAAAGTCCTGGAGATGTACTCACACCGCTTGCGGGTACGTGCCATACATTTGTTTGTCGTAAGCCTTCTTCTTTTATGTACGTTATAATAAAGTCTGTGTTGCAGCAAATGGTCGATAGGAAATCCCTCAATCAAGGAGGACATTGTAGGTCAAAATATACATATCCGGCGCCCCTCTCCCCGACCCCGCACCCTGTCACACCTCTCACCCTGCGGGATCACACCAACAGGACAGCTATCTTGACAACCCGGACCTCTACGTTCCCAACGTCAAGAAAGCCCCTACGTCACTGCCCCGAACCAGCTGGTCTTCAGCAGCCCGTGCCGCCCAGGTCGCAGACCCCCTGGACAGCACCGCCGCACCACAGCTGCCCGGAGGTGTACCGACTCCAATACAACACCCCGCTGCTACTGCCACTACTGCCACTGCCACGACCGCTGCCGTTGGAAGACAGGCGGGAGATCACAGCGGGCCCAGTGAACCAACCGCAGTTTCCGTTGCCGTCGCCGCACAGCAGCAGCAGCAGCAGCTCAGGCCCGCCGGCGACGTTAGCAGCGGCGGCCGTAGCGCTGGCGGCGCGGGGTACCGCAGCGGACAACAGGTTGTAGCAGATCCCCTGGAGCGGATCGCTGCCTCTTCCCCTCCTCCTCCTCCTCCTCCTCCGCAGCAGCAGCAGCAGCAGCTTCTGCTACAGCAGCCTACAAGTTGGGCTCCGGATTTAAACCCGAACCCAACTCGAGTTCTGGAGCTTCCTGCCGCCACCGCTGCCTCCACAGCACAGTACCAGGGGCCAGCTGCTGCCGCCGCTGCTGCTGCCACCGCCGCCGCTGCTGCTGCGGCATCCACGGCCTCCAATATCGCCCAGGCTCAGAGTACGACCTTCACGGGGTATCAGCTCGCGCCATCTCCACCTCCGTGGCCGCCACCTGCGCCTCAATGGCCCGCTTCATCCGCCCAGCCAGCAGGCGGCCCTCTGGTGCCAGTCAGCTCCACCACTGGCATGCCCTCGACAACCCCACCCTACCCGCAGGGATCGGCTACTGCCGGACAAATACCGCCGCTGCCGCAGCCGCCGCCGCAGCCGCCGCCATCAGCAGCCCCCAAGTCTTTGTTTGGAAGGTTGTTCAGTGGTAGAAAAAAGGCGCAGCCACAGCAGCAGCAGCAACAGCAGCAGCTGCTACAGCCAGGCGGTGGCGGAATCACCGCCGACGGCGCCGATGGATCATCGTGGCGCGGCCCGGGCCATCAACCTGCTGCTGCTACTGCTGCTACTGCCGCTGTCCCTGTACCTGAGGGGCCCGGTGGCCTACCGCCCGCGGGGTCGACCCACTCCGCCATGCCGCCACCTCCATGGCCATTGCAACAACACCATCAACAAGAACAACACCATCAACAACAACAGCAGCAAATATCCTCCCAGCTGCTACAGCCTGGAATGCAGCCACCTTCAATGACGCTGCCGTACATGCAGTACAATCCTCAGCTGCAGCAGCAACCGCAGCCAGGGCCAGTCCAGGCGTTGCTGGGCGGGTCGGCTGTGGCACCGGGGTCCTGGGAATCTTCGCACCAGCAGCAACAGCTTCCGTACACGCAGCAGCAGCAACAGCAACAGCAGCAGCAGCAACAGCAACAGCAGCAGCAGCAGCAACCCTCAACACTCTCTGGACCTGTACTTCCGATGCCCCCGAATCATGCACAGCAAGGACAAGGACTTGACCCCGGGTTCGGGGCCCCCCAAGGCCAAGGCGCACCTCACCAGCTACCACCGTCGCCGTCGCTACAGCCGCTCAGACCCCCCGGGGGCAGCACTGGGTTGCCACCACTGGGGCTTGTGCCGCCGCAGCTCGCCCTTCAACCACCACGGCAACCGCCGCAACAACTGCCCCAACAACTGCAACAACAGCAGAACCAGCACGGCCTCCCCGCAGATTACCCTTTTGCCCGGCTGCTGCCCTCCGACACCTTACAGCACCAGCACCAGTACCAGCAAGAGCAGCAGCTACAACTACAACTACAACAATATCAGGGACAGGATCCGTTAGTGTTATCCCAGTCGCATGTTGATGCGGACGGAGCCTTGGGTCATCATCATCATCAGCAGCAGCAGCAGCAGCAGCAGCCACAACAGCAGGCAGCGCTCATGGAGGCCGGCACGGCGGCACACGCGGGGATTCCGGTGCCACTACAACACACCACAAGCACCAACACCAGGCCGCAGGGGGCAGCAACAGGTCCCTGGCCACTCCACGAACACCATCAGGTGATCACGGGGCTCACAGGGCTCACGGGGCTCCCTACCCGCGTTTCTCCGACTTGACAGGCGGCCACTCGCTCCCTCATGCCCCTCGCGCCCCCCCCCTGCCCACACCTCGCACCTCAAACCATCTGGTGGTTGATTTGGGCTCCAAGAGGCCCTTTCTCTCCAGTGTGTATGTTGATCGAAAACAGGTTTTAAAGAAAGCTGTATTTGACTAAGGATAAACAAAAGAGCTGTGTGTTTTGGTCTGATTTTATGGGGAAGTGGAATACACGTTAGGAAAGGATGGAGATTTTGTCCTTGCTCTTTTGTTCTTCGTTCTTCTGCGATTGCGGTACCGCTTGGATGGGTGTACAAATGACTAAGCTCAATTTCTCCCCCCGTCTCCATCGCCTTCTCTCTGTGTGTGTGTGTGTGTGTGTGTGTGTCTGTGTGTGTGTGTGTGTTGCGTACTTCTCGGGATTGCGACAGGACGGTTCGTCCGGAGCCCCAGGACCTCAGATTCCTACGCCCCTACAACAGCCTCTACAACAGCCCTCCAAACCACCAGGAGGCCGGCCGCCACTCCAACCGCTTCAACCACCACTACGAAGCCTATCGCCACCCCAAGCCCTAGGTGCCCTAGGTAATGGGATGCCAGGCGGCACCGAGGACGATGTTCCTGGGCCGGCTGCTGCACCCCCTGGGGCGGCGGCGGCGGTGGCGGCAGCAACAGCGGCACCGGCGAATCCTTTGGACGCGACACTGTCGTCAGGGCCGCCGCGCAGCCTGCCGGCGCCGTTGCAGCTGACCAGAAAGCTCGGCAGCCTCGCGCCGCTGGGGGCCTCAGATGCTGCTGCTGGCGGCGGCCTCGGCGGCCTCGGCGGCGCCTTGCCGCCAAGGCCTATGGGAGGAGGCCTGGTGCCGCTGGCGCCGCTGGCGGGTCCCCGCAAGCTGGCGATAACGCCGCGAAAGATGGACGATGACGATGACGACGAAGGCGATGGCGGTGCTGGGAATGGTGGCATGGAGGGCGCTATGTCGCTACGCGGCGAATCTTCCTTTGGGGATGAGCGGAAGAACACCGGTGGCGGCGCCGCCGCAGGCCGTCTTGGGATGGTTGGTGGATTGGAGGATATGGACGACGGAGACGGAGATGTCATCAACCCTGGGCGCGGTGACGATCGCCCGATCCCTCCTCCGAAAAGAGGGGCCTTCTTTTGACCCGCCTCCTGCCCGGAAACCCGTCGGTCGGTACCAACACCAGGGCTTTTGTATCATGGCTGTGCGCGCGTTCGTGCGTGCGCGCGTGCATGTGTGCATGTGTGCATGTGTGCATGCACGCGCGTTCACGTGTGTGTGTATGTATATGTGTATGTGTATGAATGAACCCTTGGCGGCATGAGATCGGTGTGCATCGGAAATTGGACCGGGGCGCATTCGATGTCATGCGGCACAAATGATAAATGACGCAAACGCAGTGGGATGTGTGTGTGTATGTATATGTGTGTGCATGTGTGTATGTGCATGTGTGTATGTGTATGTGCGTATGTGTATGTGTGTATGTATGTGTGTGTATGTGTGTATGTATATGTGTGTATGTGTGTGTACGTGTGTGTATGTATATGTGTGTACGTGTGTGTGTATGTATATGTGTGTATGTGTGTGTACGTGTATGTGTACGTGTGTGTATGTATATGTGTGTATGTGTGTGTACGTGTACGTGTACGTGTACGTGTACGTGTGTATGTGTGTGTCTAGTCCACATGGTCCACATGGCGGTTGAGACCGAGCACGTGTACCCACTGTTGGCGACTTCCGTACTGCCGTACGGTTGACTATCATAGAGACGACACTTGGAGGCTCTGGAACGAAGAAAACAGAAACTTGCACGTAAGCGGCGCCGCTTGAGCCGCTAACTGCACCAGAACGGCTAATAAGCTAGTAAAGCGACATTGTTTCGACAGTTTCGAAAACACTTCTGCCATCTCTTTGCATGTTACTTATCATCATTTGATTGTTAGCCCTCAAATGAACCTTAAAAAGGTCCACATCGGGATATGATTGTACGAAGCAAGTTTATGTAACCCAGAAAGTAACTGAACGAACGAACGAGCGTACGGAAAGTACGGCGGTGTGACAGGAAGGAGTCGCAACTCCAGTATGACCATAAAGGCTCCGGATTTGATGCCATTCCAGTTTAGTCGCAGTAAAAGCTCATTTTGTAAAGGTTTCTGGGGCCGAGCCTTAGATCCTTCAAGGTGTATTTCTGTTCTCCAACACAAGAGGTGAAAAGCTGTTCGTGGTGTGGCAGGCGGCGTGTAGCCACACGATTATTTGATTGCATGGCTATTCCGACCAGGAAGCAAGGAAGGAAGGAAGGAAGGTGTTTACTTAGATGGGAACCTAAATGTGGAGTGCGACAGCAGTTGCTACCTGCAGGCTACCGCATCCGCCGCTGCGCGTCCAGCCGAGGTTATAACGCCAAGTTACAGAGCCCGCGGGGCTCCTGTCGTAACATTGCCCGCTGCAACCAGAGAGCTTTCGGAGATTGCACGAAAGTTATAACTAATTTGCTGCATGTAATCCAGCTGAGGCGGGGCTATTGTTGGATGTCGGAGCACGGACGACGGAGAAACGTAAACGACAAATGTTATGTTACTAATATCGGCGCAGCTGTTAAACCAGCACTTACCTGGACTTTTTTTTACAAATCCTTTACACGAAATAGCCCGCGTGAGCTGCACCTCCATCGCAACTTGTTCCCCTGTTTGGTTTTTCGGCCCTTCCTTTTGTTCGTCCTTGCCCGCCATCCTTCTCCACCTTTAAATGCTTTTTGGCTACATAAATAGTTATCTTTAAGAATTCGTTTCCTAAAAACAAAACTTTAAATCGGTTAATCTGATAGGCTCAGCGTCCCACGAAAGGCGCACTATCGTTTCGTTCGAGCTTGGGTGGGACCGAGATAAGCTTACAATTCTAGAGCAGATCAATGAAAAACTAGGTGTTGATAAATGCGGCTTGCTTCTCAGCAAGGGGAATTGCTTGGCACAGGGGGCAAGGGCTCCTTATTCCCCAAGCTTCGGGGAAGCTTCAAACCTTGAGCCTCCTTCTTCAGCTCAATGAATATCAGATACATTACAAATACCTCTATATTTGACATATGACATGTTGCAAGGGCTTTGGACCTGAATATCAGCTCCGGGCATCGTGGTACGTCATCATCACATAGGTGCTGAAACCAAATTGGTCGACTGGTTCTGTTTACTTCAGTAAAATAAATAGATATATCTTTAAGTATATCTCTGTAAGGTCTGAAGCTGTTCCGAGCTGCAATTGTTAATCCTGGTTAGTAGTATGAAAGAATCCTAACGCCGGCGAGCAATTGGAGGTTTGAAGGGTAAGAGCACAGCATTTACGAGCTTGCAATTAAGCATTCCGCGTCAGCTTTTTACGAGAAGGAGCGGTCTCTCCTTTATCACCTGCCCCACCTGCAGCTACCTATGCTCATGTTACTGCTTGTATAATGCCTTCACATATCTTAAAATATTTCATACAGTAGTTTATACAGGTTGTCCAATGCGAGCTGCTCTGTTCGACTACTTTTCTGGGTTAACTAGATAAATCATTAAGGCAGCTACGAGCTGCTGCGATGTATCGAAAAGCAGAAATACAGTCTGGGACTCATATATATCAGACTGCTTGCACCATGACGTCTGTGTCGCCAGTCGACCTCCGACCAAGCAATCAGCGACCTCCCACTGCTGCCGGAGCACATGCCTTGCCATCTTCCGTCCATGTAAATCCGTTCAACAATATGCATGAATCAAATTTGCTCTTCCTGTCAAATCCCTTGTGCTATGCAGGACCCTCGCCTCCTAAGCCCTGAAAGATGGGTTCAAGCGATCATGGCTGCTTGGGCTGTTTGCCGTGGGGTCGCCGGCGCGTCAGCAGCGCTGCCGCCAACAAAAGCAGCTCGACGAAGCTTCCTGCCAGCGCAAACAGCATTAAAGTCCGTGGCATCCTAAAGTCCACCCCTGAGGCGGGGCCCCCAAAATGGCGAAGTCAAAGCCAAGTTGGTCCCTCCGACAACAGCAGCACTGCAAGCATTAACGGGACTCCGAGCGAGGAGGTGAGTCCCGTCGAACCCCAGGCCAAAACAGATAAAGGCCGTGCTTCGAAACGAGATCCGAAACCAGGGGGAAAACGTCACGTAACCGCAGACCATCCAGCGCTCGTCCCGAGCTTCGAAATTAGTTTGCCAGTCAGCAAAAGACCTAGTGCAACTTCCACCTGACGGAGCGCTAGAACCCAAAGCAACTTGGCTGTTCAGGGGAAGATATCGCGTAATACATCATAAAAGCCTTTCCCAGCGGAATTCCAACGCACATGTATGGGCGTACCTGTACGGCTGTACCTGTACGGGTGTACCTGTGCGGGCGTACCTCTCCCCTCCCCCCTCTCCCCTTCCCCAGGGTGCTACGGCCGCCGCTAACCCTACCCCCGCAACGGCCTTCGGCCGCATGGAGGAGCTGCCCCCCACCACGGCCTCCTCGCCCAACAGCACGCAAAATCGGCCCCCGCTCATAAGCTCACAAGGCCGCTTCGCCGGCCAGTCCAATACCCCGCTCAACCCCACCGACCCGGGGGTCTCAACCTCCTCCAACTCGTCGCCAGACAAATATCTGACGCCACAACCCGGCTCTGTGAGCTCACCGCTCCCCAAAGCTGAGGCAGTACTTGGCGGTTACGTAGATGCCGCCACCGGCACTGCGGCGACGGCGGCGGTGCTGCCGCCCACCGCGGCCGCCACAGCTACCGCCGCCGCCGGCGCTGCCGGCCGGCCGGACAACGCGTCACGGTTGCATGAGCTCCAGGAGCGGTACCGTCAGCGTTTCACCCGGGGCAGAGGCGACGCCGCTGCCTTGGCGGCGGCGGTGGAGGCCGCCGTCACCGCCACAAACGAGGACGACAGATTCCACAGCCCTGACCAAATGCAATGCGACAGCTTCACCTACAACTTAAACGACTACAGCCGCCGTTCCAACAACAGCGCTCAGATGGGCCCTCTGCCGCCGCTGCCGCCAAGCCCAGCCCGGGCGGTAGGCCTCTCTGGTCTTGGACGCATCCAAACGCATGTCCATGGTAGCGGCCACGGCGGCGGCAGCGCCGCCGTCACCGCAAGCCGCCAAGCCCACAAACGGCCGGGCCAGACCGACGAACGTCAGACGTCGATTCTGAGGGATCTCTCCCTGGACATGTCGCGAGTCAGCTCCATGACAACTGCTCACATCCCAGGCTCCCTGCCGTCGATGACGTCACAAGCATCGCCGGCGGCCACACGAATCTATCCAGCAGCAGCAGCGGCGGCGGCGACGGCGGTGGTGACGCCCGCTGCGGGATGGGAGGGTGCGCCGCCTCAGGTGGCGACATCGCCGTCGCCCCGGCCGTCATGGTCCGCGACGGAAGCATCCCAAAGCTCCGCCGCGACGGCGGCGACGCCGCCAATGCCATCATCGCCGCCAGCGGCGACAGCGGCGGCGACGACGGCGGGAAACGCAAAGGTGGACGGCCTTCAGATCGACCTGGACGCCCATCTCGTCGCAGCCGGCACCAGCGGCGTCGGCAGTGGCGGTGCTGGTCTCGGCCGAGGCAAGGAGGGCTTTTCATTCTCACCGCAAGGGGGACAGCGTGCGGCACTGCACCGGGCAACCCATGGTCCGGCGGGTTATAGCTCCGCTGCCGCCGCCACCGCCGCCGCCGCCGCTGGTGACTTCGCGCCATTTCCAAATGGGCCTAGCGGTGGTCCCCTCAGTCTGAACCAGAATGCCAGCGCGGGAAGGAGGTACCTCAAGGATGGCGGCGGCGGCGGTGGCGGCGGCGGCGGCGGAGGAGGAGGAGGACGCCGCTCGCTGCCACTTTACGACGGCTTCCTGCTCGGTTCCGCGCTGGAGCAGCCGCCGTCACTCGCGGCTGCTCTGGAACTTCAGCGCATGACGTCACCTGGATGCATGACGCCATCGTCGATGTCGTCGCCACAGCTCCCCCCGCAGCTACTCGCGACCGCTGACCTAGCGAGCCCAACGTCGGCGATGACTTCGGCGACAGCGGCGGCGACGGCTGCAGCGGCGACAAGGCAGCTACAGCCGCATACCCGATCGTCACTGCGCTTGTTTCAGCCGCAGCTACAGCCTCAATCCCCAGAAGACGATGACCAGCGCGGTGGAAAGCCGCCGTCGCCGTCGCCGCCGCCACCGCAGCCGCCGCGGCGGCGGCCCTCCGAGGTCCCGGCGACGGCCGCCAGATGGGCGGCCTTTGGGGATGGATTGTCGAGTGGCGGCACGGTCGCTCCGGAGGCCATGGAGACGGCGACGGCGGCGGCGATGGCAGCACGGGAGAGCGGCGGCGGTGGCCGGCTTGCCACACGTCCGTCACACAAGCGCATTGAGGCCGTACGGGCAAACGAGGAAATGCTAGCGGCTCTTCTGGGCAGCAGCAAACGGGCATTGCTGGATGTGGATACTCCCCCTAGGGTAAGTGTACGAACTCAATGTACGGACGGAGTGTACGGACCGAATGTACGAATTGATACTGAGCGTATGGGCTGAGGCTGGCGAAAGATGTGGGCCGTGTTACAGATTACAACGTTCGCTTAATCGCGGCCAATTTAATGCGTGTCATGTTGTGCCGTACGTCGTACTGCAGACGCCTGGCGGTGGTTTCGGCGCGACGGCGGAGCTGGAGCGCTTCGACCGGGTCCAGGATGCGATGGCGCGATTGGATGGAATTCTCGCGACCTCCCCCTCTTTCGGCATCGCAGCCGCTTCCCGCCGCCCAGGCTGATCGTCCCGCCAATCCGCATGTCGGCAGTATAGAGAATGCAATACATGACTTTGCAGGTGTCGTACCGGCCCCAGCCGCCATCAATATGATGCTCGGGGTAAAGCCCTTGTAGTTGAGCTGCTGCCGACCTGGCTGCTAAACATGTGACACGATGACAGTTATAGGAGTAAGTTTAGGGTAGTTGACAGTTAAAAGGTAGTTAGGCGGTTGTCGACGGCTCATTTACGAATTGAACGTACAACTGAAACAGCCATGATAGTCCAATGTACCGTACATATGAAGCCGACACTCGGTTTATTGGGAGGATCTCTGGAACTGCCCAAGCTACTGCTGCTGCTGTTGATAGCGATATATAGTTATCCATCCGCATTTCTTGTGTCTGTTAGCACGTCATATGGCCTGACAGATGGACGCGAGCAACTGTTCCCCCATGCCCTTCACTTCATTCCATTCCTGGGTTGTACGACGTTCCGGTTCGAACCGATTCATCCACACGTGCAGGGAGTTGGGAAAAGGTGGGATAGTGTCTCCGATTGCTGTCTCTATTTCAGTGCCTCTGCACAAGCAAGTTCACGTATGTGTGTATGTATGTCTTTATAAAAGGGAGGCGGGTGCGGGCTTATTTAGAAGATTACGGCGTTAAGATGTGTACGTGTCCGTCGTACAGCAAGCTGGCCCCGTGCGCGGGCCTCTTTTCATATATTAATCGCATTTGCAAAGGTGGACAAAGAGTAGAAAGTGAAAATTCGACGGTCTCTTAAGTATGTATGTATGTATGTATGTGTCTGCTTAGGCGTGACTACATCAGTGTACAAGCCGTACAAGCTGTACAAGCTGTACGAGGTGTACGAGGTGGCAAAAGGAAAGGAGGTATTGCAGTATGCACAAGGAAAGGAAAGAAGGATACCGGAAGAAGGTCACACGCGAGGGACATGAAGTTGTGTGTCGTGTGTTGCGTGCTGCATTGTATGTGTATGTGTGTGTGTCTGTGTATGTGTATCGGTTACATAACGATCCGGGCCTGACGCTGGCCAGGGGCACATAACCGTATACCCCAACAGGAACGACCGCCGAGGGGAGAGGGGGGGGTGAGGGGCCACAGGTGCAGGACCACGAGGGTGCTGCGTACTCGGGACTGAAAGCCCCGTTCACCAGCCAACACAAGGCAAGCCACAGATGTGTATGTATGTCGTGTATCTTATGTTGTGTCTGTGTGTTGTTGTGCCATGGAAATTACTAATATGCGCCATCTTGGAGTCCGCGGTTGGTTAGTTGGTTAGCCAGTTGGTTGGTTGGTTGTGTGTGTGTGCGTTACATGGTCGTGGGTGCGTTCCCCGTACCTGCAAACCGCCCAAATACGAGCCGATGGCTCAATGGCTGTCAGATCGCGTATAATCACCATCCTACCCCGCACTTCAGACAAAGCAAGTGATAAAGGATGCCAACGACCAAAGGGAACGATAGAGTTGCGGTGGGACCATATACGTTCCAGCATCCTTGCCAGACGTTCAGGTTCCCACTTCATAGCGTCCTTCATATGCCCGAAGCGTGGGAAATCCATATCAGATCTGATTTTGTCGTACACCGGGCAGTCCAGCAAAATGTGCTGGACTGGGCGGCTTATTGCCACGTGCGGACGGATTACAACCGGGCAAAAAGACATGCAAAAGCGGCGGCATATGAGGAGGGCAGGATGAGAGATTCTGTGGCCAAGTGCCGGCATGACCAACGAGCTTTGTGGCGGGCTTTAGGAGGGAAGTTGAGGGAGCGATGTGCGATAGAATGATACTGAGGTCTTCAGGGAACACTTTGCTGTGCTATTAAACGCAGGTGTGGGGGAGACAGGCCCCGAGGGGGCGAATCGGCTTTTGAACTGCACTAACTTTGGGCAATGCCTAGAGGGGCAGGAATGGCGGACATCCCACTCGGGTTTGGGCAGGACTGCGAAGACAGCAGAAATCCTAGACCCCCCCTTCACACTGGAAGAAGTCGCACGTGCTGTTGACTGGCTGCCTAATAGTAAGGCAGCAGGCTTGGAAGTAGCGCCGTCGGAGTGCTACCGCTGTGCGCGTTTGCCTCGAGAAGAGGAAGGCTCTGTGTCGGGTAGTGGTAGGGGCAGGCGACGGCGGGGAGTGGATCAGCTTGTTCCGGTGCTGCATGTGCTTTTGGAACACATCAGGGTGACTGGGGACTTTCCACGGCAGTTTACAGCTACCGTCACCCCAATTTACAAGGACGAGGACATGCCGAGTAACTACCGGGGCATAGCAGTAGGGGGCGCCTTGGCGAAATGTTACGCGCTTGTCCTCCTGGATAGGCTCGCTCGCACGGGGGAGACGCGCTCACTGAGGCAGCGAGGCCATGCGGGTTTCAGAAGAGGATCCGGTACCACACATCATCTTTTTGTCAAGCAGTACCTTACTGCTAGGCACACAGCCAACCGGGGCAGCGGCCGTTAATCATTGAGCAAAAATTGACTTTGAGAAGGCGTTTGACAAGGTGCCGCGGGAGATAATTTGGCTTCGTTTGCAGGAGAGAGGGGTTGAAGGGTCCATGCTGCGGTCGCTGATGCCGGCGTACGACAAGGTTACAATGGTCATCAAAACGAATGGCAAGACTGGGGCCGAGTTTGTGTAAAAACAGGGTGTGAAATAAGGTTGTCCGCTGCCAACCGCGTTGTTTGGACTTTACATTGAAACTCTTGCGGACGTCATCGATATGCATGACGGTGTTAACACCAGGGCACGGCAGGAGGGTGCACCAAAGGTTGGAATTGAGCGAGTATGAGTTTTCTGGCAACGACACGGGGGCGCATGGCGGAGCTGCTCAAAATTATGGACATGTTATGTGATGGTTTGGAGATGGGCGGCCCAATGTGTTGAAATGTGAACGCCTCGTTTTCGCGAGCGACAACGATACTAGAAGTGCTGTCCAAGCGTCGTGTGATGTGCTCAAGCTGGCTGGTGAGGCCGTACCAGCTAAGGAGAGTGCACGGGGTTACCTGGGGTTAGTGTATGGGCCAGAACGGCCGTTTTGGGCCTGCCGTCAGCAGTTGTATGACATAGCAAGAGCAGCTATGTTCGCGTTGAGTACAAAATTGGATAAGCTAAAGTTGTTTGCCCCAGACGTGAGGATGAGGTGTTTCGATACGCAGGTCCGAGCAATACTGTTGTATGGTTGCCAAGTTATAGCTGAGGTCTTGGACAGGCTCAGGAGGCGGAATGATGCGAGTGACCTTGCGGAGGGGGGCCCTTCGATGCATGCCTAAAGGACGGAGCGGTGTAGCTTCAGATATCGTTCATGCGACAAATTATGGGAGCTGCCAAACCATCGCATCGCCTCCTGTTCGCTCAATTTTTGCGGCAACCCCTACACTACCCCGGCTGTAGCGTGGTTGGCTCGTACTGATGGGTCTGGTCGCTGTACGGATACACCGTATAAAACTGCATTCGTCGAAGGTCGAATGGAAACATGGTGTAGTACAAATACGACAGTGCTGCCGTACTGCGCGCGTGTTCCGCCTCAAGCGTCATGTCTCATGCGTCTTATTGGAGGGGCATTTTCCGTTCCACAATCCGTTTGAGAGGATTCAGGAATCGGAGGTACTATGGCTTCTCCAGTTTAGATTATATAAGCTATTGTTAAGATTTTTGCCCAGACTCTTGAAGCTTCGTACTGCCGTACTGTGTACCAAGGTCTCCACTTTGTAGTGTGATTTGTGTGGCATGTGCTCCCAACAGCGGGTACGTTTGTTATATACGATATACTATTTTTCAATTATTGCAGGTGTTATCAGGGGGTCAGTGTTCCGCTTCATTTGCTTTTGATGGTTGCGTACGTCCGTACTCCTTGCCGTACAGAAGAGTCAGTCCCCCCTTCCCCCCTGATGCATCGTCATCAGGTCTTCTTCCGAAGCTGGCGATTATGAATGATGGAATATAGCGCTAAGAACTTCGAGGTGTGGGCCTGTACCATGTCATGGTCGTGCCCTTAATCATGCAGTTCTTTTGTTTTGGTTTGTGTCCTTGTCCCGGATACGCTGCGGCGCATTCACGTGAAAACCAATCTCAACCAATCGCCGTCTTCTTCCCCGAGGCAAAAGGGAAAAGCCTTTCTTTGACACCAAAAGTACCCGCCAAGTCCATTGAATGGATTGGGATAGCTGTTTGGGACAACGAGCATGTTGTCTTGTACGGAATACGGAAGCAGTTTTGTGCGGACGAAAGCGCGTGATCGATTGGAACGCATTTCAAATTATTCGTGGGAAGGGGACTAAACTGCAGAGCCCGACGAGCAACGTGACATGACGCAACTAGGCCGATGGATCGGGACGTCCCGTGCACGTGCATGCCCCGTGCGGGGTGGGTGGGTGGATATTGGTGGCAAGGCCGTTTGTGTTGCTTGGACAGAGCCGGCCCGAGGTCCGGCCGCTTGATGAGTGCTTAATTTACGGACCTCTGATTTGAGGTCGTGGGTTGGACTGCGAGCAAGGGCCCATTACGTTGGGTTGCCTCTTGGTGACAGCTGATGTCCGGATTTACAGGTAGGGTGGTAGGTGAGCAGCACATAGGCCGCGCAACGTGGGGCTAACACAGGCACAAGAGCCGGATAAATTTGCTTAATACATCCGATCTAAGCTTTTGGCCGTCCTGGACAATACGACGAAAGTTTGCCATAGGTTGCCCGAAATCCCGGATTTTCATCGTTATGCTCAGCCCATTGTCCTTAGTATCTAGCCACAAAACATTAGTGACGCGGAAACCCTGTCTGTCCTCTAGCAGCGTGGTCGCGACAGTCCCCTGATGTGATAGTTGCACAGCCTAGCTTCAGCGCTCAGCGAGCCAAAATGCTTTTTCACTAAATAATATTTTCACAGAAGAATAACATTATGACAGTGTTCCGGGAGGCATGTCCGATGTTTTTGCAAGGCTGCTGCAAGTTCGTCCAAATTGCGAAAGACACGCCAGTAGCTCTATCCTGTAGCGGTGGCTGTGCTGGTTTCATCCATTTAATTCATCCTATAATTGCCACAGCCTTTGACGGTCTGGCTCGTCAGCACGCTTACTATCTCACCCTCAACCGTCAAGCATATGCGACCGCAGCCTCTATTAGCCTATCGCCTGTAATTATAACTAATCATAAGCTCAAGCTATGCCCATGATTAAATTTAGACCCTCAGCTCTTCAACCTTCAAAATGGCTGCTGGGGATTCGCATGTGACGCATGAAATCACTGGCGGTCCGATTCTGAGGGCTGTGCTGTCACGTAATGTCCATTGAATTTGCTGTCGTCTGGTCTCACCTGGCTGGGATTCTGCTGGCGTTTTTAGCTCCAGCACATGCAATCTTCCTCGCCCAGCAAAACATTTCGGCCGATACCCCCAGCACGTACTGTGGATTTTACGGCCTACAGGTAAGAGATTGTTACTCCTTACACGACCTGTGTTGATAATCAAGCAGCTTAAAGGCGCAGGGGTATTACAGCGGGTACGCATACAGACCGAAGCTGGCACGCTCGCGCACATCTGCCTATCTAACTTTTGCTTCGCTCGCTTTCTCAAACGTGACTCTTTAATGCTGACACATTCAAATAATTTGAAAAAAACATTTTCATACACGTAAGAAGACACAAGCTCACTTGTTGGTTAAATAGCCCAGCAATGGTCAAGAAGCCATTCGGGAAAGCTATTGTTTCCCGACCAACCCGAGACAAAGCGCTAACGAACCCTCAGTTAGACTCATCCTCGCTTCCGGCCACCGGCGTTCCCCGTGATGTTACCCGCAGCGTTACAGAGCCTGGTGTGATGCCAACATATCCGCCTTCGTGGCATCTAACAAGGTACGGTACGGCGACCAGGGTCGTACGACAGCTTCACCGCCATCCAACCTGGGAGCCAGCCATGTGATGTGCGGCAATAGGGACTCCAGCACCCGGGGAGGGGATGATTTGAGAAATCACGGATATCATAGCGGCGGCAATAAAAAACAATCCTAACGGCGGCAAGTCAGTCGACTGAGGACTTTCACTTCAATGCTCCCTCTACATCCCTTCTTTCTCCCTCACCTCCATGCCAACCAGCTGAACAGCAGAACCAACGGAAAGACGGGCCTCCCGCGTTGCCTCTGCATCCCTACTCTGAAACTGCCCTCAACCCCTCAACCCACCCCTCAACCTCCCCACCCACCCCACACACACGCACGCTTCCGTCCCGTGTATGGATTGTCGGCCGTACACACAAAAAAAACAACGGCCACAGTCATGCCAGGGGTACGGCGTGTGCGTTCCCATGGACGGCGACGCGGCCATGTCGTGCACCCGCAGCATGTACTGCGACATGAGGAGCCTGGCGGCGGCGGCCGCCGCCACCGCCGCCGTACAGAGCGGGGGAGGAGGAGTAGGAGGGATGGCAAGTGCGACCGTGTGTTTGGTTCTTTCCGGGGCGAGCGGGTCGGCGTTGTGCGATTTGGACATTGAGGGTACGTCATGTGACAGGGCGGGGAGGGAGGAGGAGGAAGCTGGAGGTGGAGGAGGAGGAGGTACACTGGCTACTTTTTAATCTCTCTAAAATCTTACCTGAAGAAAGAGGGCCCTACATTGAACACTGGACTAAGGGGAGAGGCACACTCAGCCATATAACTACCTAACCATTCGATCCGGACAATAACTTGCGCCGTTCGTGCTTACGGGTGGGCCCTTTCTCTCACTTTTATTACGGAAACCCTTACATCGCGTCACAACGCCGTCATCACACTGCCGATGGTGGGTACAACACAGCAATTTCGTCCTCCTCGGGAGCCACATCCCCGGGGCCCCCTCCTCCACCGACAAGGCATCCGGACTGGGCGATTTGGAAGACCATGGCCATCATTTGGTCCATACTGGGCTTCACAGGGTTGTTAATGGTGAGCTTGACCGTTGGCAGGTGGCAGTTGGCGGTTGGTTGGGGTCATCTTGCTCTCTGTTGTAGGCCGTTCATTCGCGCCTTCGGCTGGCCGTGTGGGGTCATGAGGTGGTTACGGTGGTTGGGATGGTTTGGTGGTGCTATGACCAACTTCCTTGCTGTTGCGCATGGGTTATATTCCCTTGGGGCCTGGGGCTCGCTGTAATGGCTATTACTACTGCTACTTCTAATGGGCGCGTGGCCGGGGGGGAACGAGGGCGTTTCTTTCCCGACAAGTCCAGATGAGTGCGGAATGGAGGGGTGTTACTTTGCTGCGTCGCCACCTCTTTCTCTCCCCCTCCCTCTCATGTTGCTGCTTTATTGGCATATTTGTACGGGAGAAGAAATTCCTCTTCCGCTGTTCCTTATTACTGATGTGACATATACATACATACATACGCACATCCTGGAGACGCATCATCCCGCCAGCCGTTCCTATGCAGCCCACTTGAGTATTTGCAGTGCTGACGTCATGTACGGCTGGGGTATTGTACGACTCTGCTCCCGCTGCTGCTGCCACTGTGCCGCTGCCGTCCCTGGCAGGTGATCTATTGGCTGCTCCGCTGGCTGCTGCGCCGCCGCGCGAGAGACGCCGACCGCACCCCGGTGACCGCACTCTCGGACCTGGGAAAGGAGCAGATCAAGCAGGAGGCGGCGGCGGCGGCGGCGGGACAATTTAATGGCAGTGGCGCCGCCGCGACCGTGACACTCTGGCCTACCACACCCGACGGCAAGCCCATCCTAGCGTACGGCACATCGTACCCCCCGCAGCCGCCACTGATTGCGTACATCAACGGTCTAGCCGCTGGCGGCCGTCTGGCCCCAAACGTAGGCGATGCTCTGTTGCAAGCGGCCACCGCCAGCCGACCCGCCTACAACGGGCCGCCCATGCGCACGCCGCCCGTCAACATACCTCCCTTGACCGGTGTCGTACTGCCGCCGCCCCCGCCGCCGGGGTCTGCGTCACCGCGGATGCCGTACGGCAGCCCTGTTGCGGCTGGTGCAGAGGATCTGCCGCTGGCGGCGGCGGCGGCGGCGGCAGGTGGCGGGGAGGAAAGCGAGGAGGCCGCCCCGGAGACTGCGGCAGCCGAAGCCGCAGCTGGCGGTAGTGGAGATGATGGTGGTGAGGTTGGCGGGAGTGGCGTGCGCAGCAGGGGGCCCGCTGCGCCGCTTCTCCCCGTCGTAACGCCTGCAGCGTTGATGCCGCCGCCAGCTGCCACGTTGCACAACCCGGGAGCCACGTCACCGCGATGGTGACGATGGTGATGTGGGTCATGACGGTAATGGGCGAGACGTGTGTGCATGTGTGCACGTGTATGTATGTATGTATGTATGTGTGTATGTATGTATGTATGTATGTATGTATGTATGTATGTATGTATGTATGTTGTTACAGGGTGATATAGCTTCACCTGCGGCCCCCTTTCCCGAGGCAGTTCCCTGCTCTCCCCTGCTAGAGGGGCACCCTAATCCATTCACCCCATCCGACTTCAGAATGTATTCGTTGGGTTCAGCAACTCACCACCAGCATCCAACCAAATCTAGCAGGTCAACGGCGCCTCAACTTAGTTCCTGGTCAGCTCGCAAGTGCGTGTATGTATGTATGTGTGCGAGGCGAGGCGCGGGCGCAACAATGAGGGCTGGAAAATAGTACGGCGTGGAAATTGGTGATAGTCGGTACATGCGGCGATTAGAATGGGACAGGGAGGGGGTTGAGGAGGCAGGCAGTACGACAGCAACGTGTGGCGGAGGTAGGATCAGGTAGGACCAATAGACTAATAGGTAGGGGAGCGGGGGGGGAGAGAAAAGCGGGGGGCAAGGGGTGTGTGTGTTTGTGTTGTTGGATTTACAGGGTGTCGGGCGCCCTCTTAAGGCCGTGGGCCCTCTTCAGGTGTCAGCGGAAATTTAATACAGGCAGAGCTGTGCGTAGTTGTGGTTATACCTCAAAACTCATGTCATATCGAATGTATCTGTGTCGTACACGTGTCATTCACTTCCGTACGAATGTACGAACACAAGGGTCAAGCAAATGGATAAGCATTTACGTAGAAACGCTGTGTGGAGAGTTGGTCATTGGTTACATCCCTGCAATTTACGGTTTGTGGCTACAACGTATGGGAGGAGGTTTCTGGAAGAATACTTTCATCATGTATTGGTCTCTGTACGAGATGATATGAGCATATGTTGAGGGTGCGGCACGTCGTACATGTCAACGGCTGTACGGGAAATTTGTGGCTGAATGGCCTGCGTCGCGATCATCGTGACCGTTGTAATTGATACAACGAAAACACCAACTGACTGATTTAGGAACAATAAACCCTAAGAATGAAGTACGGCGCTCCTGTGGTAATGAGCCACAAGACGACTTCAAACTTGTCTTGGGCAAAATACATCAATCTTAATCACGATTTGTCGTACCTCGGTACGGCACACGCCATGGCGACGTCGTGGTGTATAATGCTGAACGATCGAGACCTTGCCTGGTTTATAATAATACCTTAAAACAAGACCCCACACAAAAAGTCGTGGTTGGCTGGTGTGTTTGGCTGAAAACCAAAACGTACTATCACGTGCCGTGGAAACAACAGGGAGGTGAAAACAATACAAGTCATGGTCACAAATTTCATCATCATTATCATCATCATCAGCAGCAGCTGCAGCAGCAGTAACAGTAGCAACAGTAGCAGCAATGGCTGCTGGAGTTGTGGATGGCGCTTGTCTTTGTCTCCCGCCATCTGCAAATCCAATTTTGACCCCCAAATGTCGCTCTTGACCAGATGTTCCTCCCATTGCCGCCGCTGCTGCTGCTACTGATGCGCCAACAACAGACCTTCACCGTCGTCCCGGCCGTCCCGGCCGTCTTCATCCTCGTGTTGTGGATCCTGTTGCCCACCCCCCCCCCCCTGCTGCTCCCGCCAGCAGCCCCATCCCCTCCTGCACCGACATGCTGTGCAGCTGCCTGCTGAAAGCCACAAACTGCTCCAGGCTCAGGTCCTGAGCGCGACTATCCGCGTTGAGGCCGCACTCGGACAGCGCCGCCTCCACCTGCGCAGGGAGGAGGGTGGGCGGGCGGGTTCGTCGGTGCCTTACTAAGGGCCAAATTGGAGTTGTTCGGAGCAAATTTGAGTTTTCTACTGTTGTCGTCCGGATATTATATACACATTTGCAGACCTCGTACCTGCTCAGCGCCGTACAACGGCTGCAAGCTGTTGCGCATCTTTTTGCGCCGCTCCGAAAACGCCTTGACGACTAGCGAGTGGAATGCGCGCTCGGAAGGTACGGCAGGGCGGGCGCTGGGCGGGATCAGAGAAAAGGTAACCAATGCACCGTCCACGCCGGGTACGGGATCGTACTTGAGGCGGGAAATACGGAAGCGGTACCTGCACGACAACAGCCACCGGCATTGCTTCACAGTTGAACCAAGGACACGCTGCTCAATCCATCATGCTGGAGGTGGAGTTGCTGTTGTCTGTCGACCCGACCGCTGCTTTCCTTTCCTTTCCTGTCCTTTCCTGAACGAGGGCCCCCCCTCCCGTACCTGCTCCTGCCCCTGCCCGCCCATCCTCCCCCATGCCTGGGCAGCAACATGCAGTGTTGCAGCAGGATGGGAGGATCAATTTTGTGTGTGTTACACCTTGATTTGCGTTACTACCCAATTTTTAAGATGTAACATGGGAGGGGGCCCCATACATACCTGGCGCCCCAAGGGCCTGCAGTCTAGGGCTGTACGTCCAAAAGGTAAAAACGCAAAAGAATCTAAAGACTATTATCCCACCACCATCATCATCACTAAACACGAGAAAAGAAAAAAGGAACTATCCATGTGCAACCAAAGTCCTCCTGCTGGGAAACCTCGGTTACTCCTGGGGTTGTACTGCAGCGGGAGGGGGGTATCCTGCCGTACCTGGGTCGGCAGTAGAAAAGGGTTCGGATGTTGGCAGCTCTCCATTCGGGACCTCCTGGAGTTGGTTGCGGTTATGGTCGTTGGGTCGTTGGGTGGCAGTTGTCATGGTGGTTGTGAATGTGACGGCCACACAGAAGAGAGATGGGCGTTTGACGTCGGGTGTTGATGTTTGCGGGTGATGAATGAGGGCTCTGGCTACGTACACATATACCATACTCACATCAGTTTAAGACCAGGACTTAGGGACGGCGGGGACATGACGACATTGCTCAGACAGGATATCCCCAGCTGATCTCATAGACATGATAGTGTGGCGCCGTTGATCTGCTAGATTTGGTTGGATGCTGGTGGTGAGTTGCCGAACCCAAGGAGCACATTCTGAAGTTGGATGGGGCGAGCGGATTAGGGTGCCCCTCTCGCAGGGGAGAGCAGGGAACTGCCTCCAAGGGAAAGGGGGCCGCTGGTGAAGCTTAACCACCCTGTAACAACATCATTACAGCGCGTTTCCCCCCCCCGCCACCCAACCACCCAGCGCACACCTGGCGTGTGTTCCGTCAGTCGTACCGCGGCCTCGTGCTGGATCATGATATGCAAATCGGAGATCCAGTCGCCCAGCGGCAGCAGCAACGTCAACAAGTCCTTAGTAATGTTGTACGGCAGGTTAGCTACTACTTTGACTTTGCGGCCGCCGGCTGCTGCGGAAGAACCAGGCTTGTAACCCCGGCTGGATGCACCAGACGTTGACGTTGACGCGAGCGCTGACTCAGCTGACGACACCGACTCTGACGACGCCGCAGGGTCTTGGCGGTCTTGTTGCAGCATCATGCCGCGGATGATGTCCTCCAGACCTACCTGCGCATTCACCCCGAACCCAACACACACACACGCGCACATACATACATACATACAGTGTAATCTAAGTCATACATACATACACATGCACAGGTACGCGTGAGGCCTCTCAAGAAGCATGCAATCATCTGAAAATAAGGCCCAGGCCCAGGCACAGAAAAAGCTTCGGCCGACTTTCCGTTATGTTCGTTAGAGTTGTCTTAACTGTGTCTTGAAAAGTCTTTTGGTGGCCCTGGGGCCCCTCTGTATAAACGGAGTGTTTGAAGTTTTACGTTTGTCTGTCTGCCTGTCTGTCTGTCTGTACCCACCTTGAGTGCGTCTCCGTGTATCAAGGTAAGGCGGGGTACCTGAAGGGGCGGCCGTTTGGAGGCGGTGAAGGGAGTCAGGAATATGATGATGCCCGGGACATGGTTGAGGTGACGCAGTAGCAGCGGGAGTGGCAGTCATAGCGGTAGAGTATTGGTGGTCTTGGTCGTCGTCGAAATGGCTGAAGGGGTGTTTCCTTGTGTCCAATCTCAAAGGATGGGTGCTGCTCGAGCAATGAAACCGGCGAACCCCAGGACCCACAAAGTCCGCGAGGGAGCCCCCCGGGCACATTCAAGACCACAAAACACACGTCACGCACCAACCCACATCGCCGTACTCCTTCTGCAGTCTGCCGTACAGCGTGTCGTCCTTCTCCACCGCCGTAACACCGGCGCCGCTAGCAAGCAGGTGCTTCGTGAGGTTGCCGGTGCCAGGCCCCACCTGGGCGGACAGGCATATATACAGATGGACATCTCAACATGTAGTGGTATACACACATATGGTGTCGCAAGGCCACCCGACAAATAGTGGCAGCAGCAGTAGCACCTAAACCATCGGGATGACATGTGCCGCCGCAGTAGCAGTAACACGGCAGTAGCAGTACATCCGCACCTCTAGCACCAGGTCTTGTGGCCCCACACCGGCCGCCGCAACAATGTCCTGGAGTACGGCATCATCCGTCAGGAAATTCTGACCCAGAGATCTACCCAAGGGAGCAGAGGGGAAGGGAGTGGAAGGAGGTGACGGGACGGTGGTGGCGGCGAAATCTAAGAGGGGATGCTGGCCAGGAAGTGAGCTGTAAGTCAGCGAGTTATGGCGTCGTTAGCTGATGCGGTCAGACACGGGGGATAACAGCGTCGACACGCTGCTGCTGCTGCTACTGCTGCCGCTGCTACTGATGGCAGCCGTAGTAGTTCTGGCATCTGCCGCTGCTACTGCTGCCGCCACAAAAGCAGCGACGGAATGGGTGTGGAACTGGAAAGCGAGGCTAAGGGATGCCAGGGCGCTGCTAGGGGAAATTAGATGAGACGAGTGAGTTCAGGTTGCGAGTCATCGGTGCTCATCTCCTCCCCCTTACCCCTCCCTCACCTCCGCGCTCAACGCGGGGCTAGAAAGGGGTCAGGAAAAAGGGACGGAGAGGAAACAAGTACACAGTAGCTTCTTTAGGCTACATAGATGATCTTGTTGTGTCATCGAGGGGAGGGGCAGAAAGCAGTGGATCGAATGCAGAGGGCAGAAGGGGGCCCCGGCCGGGGGCCCGTGCGAGGCGGATGGCGGAGTCCCCCCCCCTCCCCCCCCCACACACACCGGTTTACAAGGATGCGGTGCAGGTCGCACAACCCGGGGGCGCTAAGGGACCTCCGGAATCAGAGGGACGCTCCCCGAGCGGAGCGGAATCCAACTAGGCCCAAGTCTTCATCCTCTGCCATATAGTCGTCCACAACCCCCGTACGACCCGTTACGCGCTCGACCCGTGCTCTCACGAGTTAGCTCCGAAGTTCAAGGCACTTACTTCTTGGCTTTAATCCGGTCTTCGTAAAGATTTGCAACGGTTGATATGGCGCTCGGCATTGGACGGGATGTTGCTGTGGCAGTTATTGGGGTGTTGCTTCCGCCGCCGCTGCCACCCACTTGCCACATCCAGCCCACGCTCGGTACTTCGACGGGGTCCTCGGTATCGGACTTGGGCGTCTGGTTTTGCGACAAGGCTGGGTTCAATGGTGCCACGGATTTTCGAGAAGATTTGGGTTGGGATCGAAGGCCGCCCTTGGTGGGGCTGCTGCCGCTGCCGCTGCCACTGCTGCCAGGCAGTCGCCGGGCCGCCCGCAAGCGCATATCGCGCGGCCGGCTGTATTGCCGTAAGCCTGGACAACGATGATTACTATGAGATTGATTTGTGTGGAGATGTGTCTTAAGCGGCATGTCGCCTAATCGCATGCGGTCTCCGCGAAGCCTAGTTAATAGTATTGCGTGCTGGGGGTAACACGGTGGATTTCAAGCAATGAGTCAATATGCCCTTGATGCCCAAGATGATATTGTGGAAAACGCTTGGAAAATGAAAATTTGACTCTTGCGATTCAAGCTCCCAACAACGAATTCCCCGTACGGTGCTTCCGTACCCTTGCCAAAACTTCGCACTTGCCTACAGTCCGAAGGGATGTGATGAGATGTCCCGATAGAGCGCGTAGCTGACCGTATTTGTTTCAGAGCTATAGGCTCACAACTTACGTCGCAGCATTGGTCTGATTTACGGGCACTTGTAGCAGCACTGGCAGGGTCATCGGGGCCAGTTGAGCCATGCCAATACAACCATTTTCAATGGATGCTGCCCTTATAGGGGGCGGCATTCTGCATGTCCTCTCTCGCAAGTTGCTGCTGTGGAAACTGTTGTGGGACAAGAACTGCAGGGGCATTAGTTTGATTACGCAAGAGCTATTCTTAATCATTTTCATCTTTCGTTACCTCGACCTATTGTATCTCTATGTGTCCTTGGCCAACACGATCGTCAAGGTGTTTCACCTCGTCGTCGCCCTCGCCATTGTCCTTCTTATGCGCTACTCTCCAGCATCGCAAACCTACGATGCTGACCTGGACACGTTTCCACGTGGCGCGTTAATTCTGCCCTGCTTAATATTGGCCATTTTTCTCAATCGCGTCAAGCTCATCATCGAAATTTGTCATTCGTTCAGCGTATACTTGGAAGTCGTGGCTCTAGTTCCACAGTTTGTGTTGCTCTACAAGCGGCAAATCTATGAGGGTTGGGCCTTGGCCTTCACCGTGCTGTGTGGAGCGGAGCGGCTGTTGCAGGGCATCTCCGTCGTCACAGACTGGCAGGAGTCTTACCGGGAAGATCCGTACAGTGAGTCCATAGAAGGGGGGGCCCACGGCTGCGCTTTAGCAGTCCAGGGAAGAGCCACACGGTACACAGGGCCAGCATGGCACGGCACGGCAGCCCAGCGTCCCGTCTGCAACACCCGCTGCGACGCCCTTGACACGCCGAATGCCCACGACCGCAGTCCCACGTGTTCTCCTTTCCCGCGCGGCCGTCCCACCCATCCGCTTTCCCCCGTCATGGATACAGTTGGTCGTTAAACACTTCTTAACTGTCAGCCGTTTACCTTAGATCTCGATTTGCACTCTGTCCACCCCCTCCCAACCCCTCATTTAAAAGGTGTCCTGGCGGATATGGTTCATGCCGTCGTGTTCATTAGCGGCCTGGCAGTGGTGATCTGGCAGCGGTTCCAGGTCAAGAAGCAGCAGGGAATGAACGAGTCGGGAGCGCAGCTGCCCAACTTTGACGAGGTCTGGGACGCCAGCAAGTTCAAATTCGAGGACCAGGAGGCGGTTCGGGGGGAGACTGTGCCTGTGCTGGGGCGCAGGTAGAGACTGGGGATGAGAGATGGAGGGCAACCTCGAGCGAGGAGGGGCGAAGGCTGAAAGGGGCTTAAGGGCCCCGAAAGAGCCGTGCCCCCTTGCCATGATGCCTCGATGGAATGTGGCATTGTCATGACTACACCGGTCCAGCGCTGAGGGAGGGATGGAGACGAGGGAAGACTTTTGGGTTTGGGTCATAGACTAGGCTGATACTAAGCTGATGGGACGGTCTGGACTAAGCTGATGGCCGGTCGGGACTTTTAGCAAGTTGATACTCGCTCGATCTGGTTGTGAGGGGAAAGTGAGGGCGGAGGGGAGAAGGGAGTTATGGGCCTGTTGGCGGGTGAGGGCGGTCCTTAAGCCCATTCCTGGTAACCCGCGTGTGAGAAGGGCGAGAGAAACATAGACACGAAACACACCGGCTGTGTGGGACCAGCGCCGAAGGAAGCCTGTCAGCACTAGCAGCCCAAGTCGCTGCAGCGGCCGACAGGACCAGCAGGCGCACATGATGGGCTGCTGGTCCGCAGGTGAGGTGAGGGACACCGCCGGCATCGCAGCAGCAGCTCGACGGTCGAGGACGAGGAGAAGCGCCTGGTAACAGGCGCAGCACTGTACGGTAGCGGTACATGTGGCGGCGTACGGACGGAACGGTAGTGAGGGTGGGTCTCGCATCGGGCCCGCGGGACCCACATGCGCGCGGTAACGTGCATTGCGGCACATGGCTAGGTGGAGTGTTAAGGGAAGGTTATGCCTTAGGGCCTTAGTTCGAGTGAGGAGGGTGGTAACCAGGTGTATGCGTTGGACATCAGGGTTGGAGGACAGCAATACACGGGGGTGTGAGCTTGCATGCATACTGTGTTTATGTGCTTTTGTGAGCTTCTCTTAACCAGCTCGACTATAGGTGTCAGCAGAGGCCACCGGGCTTTGGAAGGTTGTTGTGTATAACGCATAACGGCGATGGGGACCTTAGGTGGTGGATTGGTGACTTGATGGATGCTTTGCGGCTTGTCCTCCTGCTGCTGCTGTTGGGCGATGTCCGACTGAAGGACGTTTGTGTTACACATAGCCCGTGAATGGAGGTCTAAGGGTATGATGTGGTACGGATCGGTTAAGCACCTTAGGTGGTCAATGTGTTTGATGCTTTGTGTTGATGGTAGTGAACATTGTGGGCATACCATGTCATGTCGCGGCGCGGCGTGTTGCGAGCTCTAACCGTTACTTGGGGGTGTGTGGTTGCCATGGCCCCATGGCTCTTTGGGATGTAAGGCTGCTGCGATAGGGTGACTGTGTCACGGAAGAGTTTCTTTAGTCACGTCGGGGTGAGAGGCCTCTTGCTGCTTTTACACGTTTAGATCACCCCTAAACCGTTCCACATACACACACACACAGGATTCAATTCCTCGTCCTTCTTAGCGACATCATCGCTCACCCGCACATTTTCTTGAGCCACTTTCGCGGAGGCCCCCGAGGCCTTTACACGAACCATTCTGACTACAGCATGTATGCCTTAGCCCCCTCATCCGCAACGTCCCATGCGACTGCAAGCAACGCCAAGTTCGCAACGCATGGATACGCTGGTATGCGCGTTTCTCGCGCAAGCAGCTCTCTTCTACATGTTGCTTGCAGCGAAACCCAGCTGGATTCCCCGCCGGACCCGGTCGTGCTCCTGAGACGACAAGATGACGCAGTAGTTGGCCTCGAAGCGACCCAAGGGTGTCGGTACCACCAGGCCGGTGCCACACGACCACCGGAAGGTGGAACCGAAGTCGGACAACAACGTCGCGGGAGCGCGACCCGTGCCTGTGCGGCGTGCGCAAGGTGTTGTGGTGTGTGGGTGGTAAGCAAGTAGAGGGGACGGATGCGTTGCGCGTGAGCGTTTCAGAAGGGAGAAAGAAAGGCGCTTGATTGCCGGAAAGAAGAGGGTGCGGCGGTGCCAGGAGGCGCAGGAAAAAGGAGTTTCGCACAGTTGGGGAAGTCGAGGAAACAATTTCGAATATGCGAACGGGAGTCAACGGAAGGGAACTTCCCACGGGGAGGAGAACGTCCAGGAGCGCCCTTACCGACCTGACAGCTGCATCACGTTGCCCCCGTTCACGAACGCGTGTCCATGCAGGTTGAGCAGCTTCAGTGCGGGGTGCGGCAACTGGAACATGAGCTGCGCTCCGAGAGGGAGGGGGTTAGGGGAAGGACATTAGGGGTTCAGGAAGACAAGACCACGTTACGTTGCACAATCATAAGCACAAACATAACAATCACAGAGAGCGACGACAGGTACCCACCGATGCAAAGATGGAGGTGTATACGTCTCCTCCTAGCGCATCCCGTCGGCCGCTAAGTTGCGCCTGCTCACCCCGGGATGTGCCCGCTGGCGGCCGCCGCACGTCGGAAGGACCCGCACCCTGAGGAGATGACAGCGACCGGAAGACGCACAGACACACATACATAGCCACACATATCATAGCCAGGTCAAGGCGGGTTACACTCGAAACCCAGTTCAACCAGGTGCGCATGCAGTACAAGTAGCATAAGACCCGCTCCGTGTAAGTCTGCAAGTCCACCGTCACGCGGAGGACGGCGACCGCGGAGGGCTAGAGAGGTAAATAATGGGGGCTCATGAAGGCATACATACATATATACATACATATATGGGGATGTATTCTGGATGGATGAATGTTCCGTTCCTGGCACTCCCGACCCCTTCCCCCTTCCTCACCTTGTACTTGAAGCCTCGGAGGGATGAAGGCCCTCCCAGGAAGAAACGGTCCGCAATACACGAGGGCCGGGACAGAGCTCCCTCCCCCCATGGCAACAGTAGACCTGTGCACCGCCACACAGCGGGGACAACAACCAGCACTGCTGAATAACTCGTCGTTTGAGCTCCAGCACAATCCAGTCCACGCTCCGGAACTGACCCACCCACGGTTTCACGCTCAATGGCGACTGGTTTCCCCACACAACACAGATCATTCAATCCCTATACCTGCAGACAGCCCCAGACTGAAGACCACCGCCCCAGTATCGTCCATGGGCACATTAGCCACCAGGTCCACCTGCTGGCGAACGAACCGCAGTGTGCTGTCCACCGGACCACCGCAATAACCACCAGTGCCCAGGCTGCTGCCCCCGGCGCCACTGCTGCTGGGCGGTACCAGCCCCGCTACCTCCGTCGTCGACTTGACGGCCCAGCCCGCGCCTCCCAGTGCTGCCGCTGCACCACCCGCCCCCAAGTCGCGGTGGTCAGCTACTGCCGTGTAGCGCAGGGCGGATTTCAGGAAGTCGCCCATCTGCCCGGGAATGGGGGTTGAGGCGCAGTCCAGGCGGGCGTTGGTGCATGTATGCAAGTGTCTCCGCGTACCTCCGCATAGGACACAACCCAAGTCCTCATGCCACTAGCTAGCCAGCAGCAGCCTTATCCCCCCTGAAGGCCCGGCAAGGGACCTGCTCACCCTCACCTGCGCCACGACCGCCCTGGACGCCGACCTGGAGGGATCTAGGAGTCTCCGCCACCCTAGCTCGTACTCCAAGGTGTGTCGGCCGTTCAAGCTGCGGATGAGAACGGCATTGTCATTTGGATACGCGACCATATATTCGCCATCATCACAACCGCTCCCGCACCCCCAGACACATCCATTCATTCATCCTGAGCCCCACATGTTCATGCACGTACACACTCCTGGTTGTCTTGTGTTGTGCCGTTCAACTGTTTCCAGTACAATGCGCCACCACCTTCGGGTCAGGACCCGAAGGAAGGGAATGGGTGCACCGCCCGACCCGAAGGAAGCAGGAGATCAGCCCGAACCCTTTCCCGGACCACGAGCGGGTGTCAACTCACCTCTTGAACCCCAGCACGGCACCCCGGAGCTGCTCCGTGTACGAGGAAGCCTTCTGGTTGTTGCGGAACAACTGGGAGCCCCGCAGCTCCAACTGATGGAAGGGGGAGTAGGGGGTGAGGAGGGGGAGAAACAGGTAGTGGCAGCACGAGCACATCTTGCAGGTGCAGGACTCTCTTTGTAAACACATTGAAAAACAAGTGCAGATGGAAAGCATCTATGTCCCGTGACGTAACGCTGCACGGCACATATACATTACGCGCTGATCATGTGACCGCCACGAGCTGCGTCTCTCGACAACCCAGTTCTGCCCCGGGACTTCCGCAATTTTCCGCATACACATCGTATGGAAAAGGGACAAGGAAAGAGTCCGAAAGAAAAAGCTTAGGGTGCCAGCCTTTGCGTCGAGGGGTTGAGGGGGGGGAGCTAAACGCACGTGGAGAGCCAACCGTACATGATGCTGATGTCCCCCAGGGGAGCTCACACACAAGTACCTACGACACGCAATCAGTCAGATGATACATGGGGCAAACGATCATAAGTAGAGGTTTGCCTCAGGCAGTAGGGGGTTGTTGCCGTGCAACGTTACGACTTGAGAGTAGTGTCAGTCATCATCTGTCTACTCTTTGCCGGTCTTTGTCCCTCCCAAGGCTCTCTCGCTCCGCCGCCCTGAGTTCTTGTCTTTGGGCGAGGCCCCAGGCTCCCACAGGGGAAAGTACAATCCACGCGGATGATTGCTCTGAGCGAGCAGCTAGCTCCGCGGCAGCCTGCCGCCCACTCGACACCGGGGCTGTAAACCATCACGACTGAGATACATACAATATATGCATTTGTATGTATGTACGTATGTACATATGTAGAGAAGCGGACGGCCTCTCAGGACGAAAAGCCTCTGGCGTAGACGCACCAGGAAGGGGAGCCCCATCGCTCGTGGTTGCCTGTACGACACGCTGGCGGTGTGGCTATTTTCGGTGCCATACTCGAAATTCGCGCCCAGGTGCTCGGCGTTTCCCAGCGCGTTAGTTAGTGATGCCCCCAGCTCGAAGGTGCGCTCGCTGTCCTCGACGTAGGTCGCTGCCCGGATCTTGTACCAGTTGGTCTCCTCCAGGTGCACGTCGACCGTGCAAGCCGAGGGGTCGTCCTGCGGGCCGTCGTCGGCACAGACCCCTTACAGATGTAGTGCGCGGTTTGCTTTGTGCCGATTGTGTCAATCCTGAACCCTCTCCTTTGGGGCTAAACGGGAACGGGCTAAAATGGAAGGTCAAGCGAAAAAGTCTGGTAAGCCTCCTCGATGCACATTTACGACCCCCTGCTAGGACCCCCTCGCTCCTGTACATGTCCCCTCTGGCTTCTTCTTAGCGCCCCTGAGGACGTGGAGGAGCTGACAAACGCACCAGCGGCTCTTCGTGCGCAACGAACTCCACATGGCTAAAGACTCCCAACTGCTTCAGGCGAAGGCCCGCAGCGTCAAGCTCTTCGTGCACCTCCGACAACGTCTGTGCCTTGTGTATCGGCTCAAGCTCACGTTCTATAATATCTGACCGTGTCCGAAATGGGCGGCCGTTGAACCCTTCCAGCTGCTGGTTGATCTGAACGACACGGCAAGGCTTGTCCTTGATGCGCTCATACAGGTCGGTATAGTCCACCGGTTGCGGCACAGCGGGTGGACCCTCTCCAGGCTTTTGAATTTCATTTATGTTTCCGTCTGTGCTGGGCACAACTGGGCTCCCTTCGGGTGCTGAGCCTCTCGCCATGGCGTTCCGTCACGACGCCCGACCGCGTCCAAAGCAAGTGAGGGTGTATGCGCTTAAATGTTGATATACATACTACGGTAGTGGATTTCCTAGGTTTTGCGTGAGCGATCGTCGCCGGTGGCAGCGTGATTACGCTCGGTGTCGGTGTCCAACAGGCGCTAAAGTTCGGCAAGCCAGAGAAATCAGGTTAAAGCTTTAGAGTGACAAATCGTAATATGGTTTTTCCACATGGCAAACAGTAGGAAATGCCGGCGGACATGTTAGCTGCCGTACGCGTGCCGCTTGCCGCTTGCTGCGATCCTAAATACCGTTTTTTCCGTTCATCCACAGCTTGAGAAGCAAAAGAGATATACAGACTGTTCCTGTATCGTGCTCGCCCTACAATTGTTCGCTAACTGCTTTAGTTACCCCAATCTAACCTTTAAACTTCAGCGACTAATTGGGGAAACATGGCTGACGATCTAGATGATTGGGAGACGGCTGATATTGAGTCGGATTTGTCAAAGCCAGTGTCAGTGGCTGCTAAGCCGGCGCCGGCCTTTGAAACCAAGGGCGAGGCCATTTTGGCGATGATCAATGGACCTGTCATGTCACAATTTGAAGACGAGGATAAAAACTTTACAGCGCCCGTGGCGCACAGCGTCCCAGCGCCACAGGTGACAGGACGTCCGCTTCTGCAGTTGGATCACAATTTCCACAAGTTTGCGCATATCTGACCCCCTTTTAAGCTTTGGGGATTGCGGCTGTGGTGATTATAGAGCGCTGTTTCGACACCAAGCTGGTTTCACCTGCAATTCCTGCAGCCAAAGAAGAAGGAGGAAAAGAAGTACCGCGAGGAGCGTGTGGTGATTGATACCCCTCTTGACGATCCAATTGCGGAGAAGCTTCGGCAACAAAAGTGCGTTCCCGCGTCTCGGGTTACAGGGCTTTAGGCTTGTGCAGAGTTTTGCTGAGGGTTTGACCGTTAAGTCATTTTTAGCCCAATATGGCGTCGAAGGTGTCCGCAGGACGTCGCATGTGAGTAATATGAATACGGGTAAACCGTGGGTTGCGACAGGCTCTATTTGTTAAGTCCGTTAAAGTCGGTTATTTCCCCAAATTCACCCTGGCCCTGATTAGCATGAGGATCTATTGACGCAAATTAAACTATAGACCACGCAGTTATCCGTTTCAACCATGTGGGTTACACCAGGAGTTGTACGGCCAGAGCTGGCGCCGTTCAGGCGCTGCCGCAGGAACAAAGAACTGCATTTTCACGTGTGACGGCATACTAGGCTTCTTTCATGCACACCAGTGCGTTACCCTCTCAATATTGCCGTCCGGAGCTTCGATGCAGCTCATACCCTCCTCCCCGCACCGCACATTCACAGGCTTGTGGAGCAGGCTGACTTTGACGCTGCTCGCGAGCTCTTTGGTGACGCGTCAACGCTAAAGCCCTTGGAAAGTTTCTTGCCAAAGACGCTGAAGGAGTTTGAGGAGTTTGCTGCCGAGATTGTGGCGCGGCATGTGGTCCTGCACCGGGAGTCCAAACACTACAAGGCGTTCGTGAAGGCTCTGGTCAAGGCGGCGGTGGAGCCCCTAGGGCCCGAGGAGGTGAAGGACGTGGAGACATCGTTGGCAGGAGTACGGTCCGACAAGGCCAAGGTGTGTTGTCACTGCCGTGCAAGTTAGGGCCGGGGCGGGCTTGAGTAAGGAACGGGGGAAGACGTGTCGGATCAACCTTGCGTCCTCAGGCTTAAAGCCCTTTGCAAGTTTGGCACCATTTGCAAACTTTGAATGGACGCTGCGAGGAAAAATAATTGTTCGCGCGCAACCTAACCTGAACGACACGTCCTCGGTTTTGAACGTCGTCGGGTTTGCAGAAGAAGAAGGAAGACGAGGAAAAGAAGAAGGGCGTGAAGAAGACGCTCAACATGGGGAAGCAGGGGCTCTCCGCGGGCCTGGACGACTACGTGTACGAGGACAACGGGGACGAGGACGAGGACTTCATGTGAACCAAGAATAAGGTCGGGAGCGCGTCGGTATTGTCGAGCGGATTTGTTACCTTTCCGGCAGTCGTGGATGCTTACGAATAGAGGAGCGTCGGGAGATTGTACAGGGTTCGGATCATCCTACCCACGACGGTACAGCCGCTGTCCTACGGAGCATGCGACGGCGGATCGTTGTTTTAGCTTGTTGGGGTATATGGCGAATCCGGTGCTTGCACGTCAATGGTTAACAACACCTTCGCACCTGCGGCTTTGGGTTTTTCAGGTCCGCTTTGTCCGCTGCGTGCGGTGCAGTGACTCGGTACTTCGCGTACTTGACAGCATCCCGGAACGCCGGCTCCGCAGTAGGTTTCGGGAAATTTGTCTTCGGGATTTGGAGTGGTGTGGTGTAGTTTAGGTTTTACAGCAGCTAGGCCATGAAATTGGAAGGATCGTGTAGGCGCCATGGGTCGTGGATTTGCGCATTCAGAAGGGCTCTCGCTCGTTACGAACGCTGAAATTGCAGAGTGGGGATTGCTGCGGAGGACGTTCACATTTCGGTTCGTAACGCCATTCTTGTTGATTGTGGTTTTCGGCCCTAGCGGGCCTGGCTGGGTCCTGGGTCCTTTGCCGATGGTGGGCCATGGCAGGGACTCAGGATACGCACCGCCTCATATATTTTACACCACCTTTCAAAGGTGACTCTTACTACCTTAAACAGATGGCAATCGCATGTTGAGCGTCAACAAGGGTTTCCAAACTTGTACGATTGCCAATACGGCGATCCCCCAGGCGATAACTCGCCGTCCTTCAGGTGTCGTTCCTGTGCGGTAGATCTAAAATGGCAAAAAATATATTTACGAGCTTCTGAAAGCATACAGTAGGCCTGATAAGGCTTCCCTAGCAACCTGCTGCGCGAACACAAATCGTGCCAAAGGGATGTACTAGGCATCACTATTACCGCCACAAGACACACACACACACACACACACAACGTCGTTCTCATCGGCAGCAAGACCGGAATTCATAAACTTGAAATCCCATCGTGGGTAAATCACGCAAGACCTATCCGACATCCGCTCATGAAAGCAGAGCATGCATAGCATACGCGCATAATGTAGCGTCCCGCTGTCCGGCTTCGCAAAACGTAAAATGCCCTGGCAATAACGCGTTTCGCTGCTCCTGCCAATCACAGCCTCTCCATTACGCAAAAGCCACGTGTGTGTAGGCTCAGTACACTGGCTAGAAAAAGGATAGATTAAACTACGTGATCTCCGGGTAAGTCTGCACCTCCGGCTCGCCGCCTTCCTCCGTTTCACGCGTCCTGTGGTGATGGGGATGATGGTGGAGCTCCTCCTGCTGCAAATACGTCTGGATGTTTTCCAAAGCAGCGAACAGAGATCGAGTGCTGTGCCAGGTCCGTTCCGTTGGCATCCTCCCCGCCTGCAGTGTTGGTCCATCCACCGACACCGTGCGGAACGGAATATGGGGCAACCTAGGCAAGGAGCTCACTAGTGCAGCAGCAGGTGCAAGGCCTACGGCGGAGGATGTACCCACGGTGTTCCAGGCTGTATAATAATAACAAGTTCTGATGGAAATCTTGCTCGCCTGCTCACCCACCTGCGTATCAGCAGACGCGGCGGTCGTGACGCTCGCTCGCCGCAGACCAAGCCAGTGGCCTCCTGTGTCGTACGTCGTCGTGTTGCCAGTTGAGCTGGGCTCGTCGCTGTTGCCACCGGCGGCGGCGTCATCATCTGCCGCAAGGAGGGATGACGACGGAGGGCCCGTGCGTTCGGCAAACGCAAGATGATGACTGCAGCCTCGTCGTAACATACGCTGATGGCCCATGGATACTAGACGATCCAACACATAGCATTGCGTTACACTCCTACTCTTCTAGCAACCAGCAGGCCCCTTCTAGCGGCCAGCAGGCCAGTAACATGGACAAAAACGCATTAGCAATTGATGCATATCGACAGGAATGAACATATTGGCGTGTTGCAACCAGCAGCTTGGCCCTGCTGCTTTCTCAAATGGCAACTCCGCCCGGCGCGTTTTGTACTTTAGCCACACATATGACCGAGCGTATAATTATGATCCAGGCATAGCATCCGAGCGGCGTGTTGCATTCCCGAAGCTCTCCCTCAGTCGTCGTCGTCCACACCTGTACGTCGGGCGAAGCCCGGCGGCATCACCCCCGGCGCCACAAACCCCAACGTGCTTGCCGGCCTGTTCTGGCAGATGTCACCTCCACCTCCTCCTGACTGCAACAAAAGCGCCGATGGGCTGCGCTGAATGCCGGGCCTCTGGAACTGCTGCGCCAAAGGCAAGCGCAGCTGTAGTGCTAGTTGGCCTTGCGGGGCTGGGGCCGCAGACGCCGGGTAGGCGGCATCCGGAGCAGGCGTTGCGACAGGAGGGCCGGGTTGGGACAGCTGCTGCGATAAGCTGCTCAGTGAACCCGTAGAGCCGTTGCGATCCATCCCGGAAAACGCGAGAGAAGGCGCCAGCGGCTGCTGAACAGTCGGTCGGCCCTGCGCCCGGGGGGAACATCCACAGCCACATGAGTTGCGGTCGCCTGCTTGTCTGGCGGCGTCATTAGACCGCCAGGCGCACGCACGACGAGTGACTCACCTCGGGACCAAACAACGAGCCCTAATGTTATGTCCAATAACATTAGGACATTGGAGCCAATGGGGCTGCGCACGAGCATAACAGGTGGACAGTAGGGTATGGAAATCCCACAATCCAACATGCCGCTGCTACCCGAAAAACAATGCGACCGAAGAAGGTTGAGATTACAACCACCTGCTGCTGCTGCTCAGCAGCGAGCAAGATCCCTTCCAAATGGTACACAGCCGACTTCCCAGTCGGCCCCAGTCGGCCGCCAGCCGCTCTCTCTTACCAGTCGGGAGCCGCCGGTGCCCGGGAAGTGGGGCGTAGCTTGCAGGGTGAACGACGGAGCGAACGTTGGCGCGAACGTCGGGGCGAGGGTAGGGGTGCCCAGATCCACAGCATTACCCCCCATGGTGCTCGGTCGCGGAGACAACGACGCCTGCGCTCCATGTGTATTTGCCAACGACGCACCATTACGGGTTTTTACAATGGTGGACGAGTTTGGGGCGCACAAAAGGTAACAGCGGCACAACAGGAGCTGCACCACGGGGCGTATGGTGCACCAGGTCCTGCTCAGCCCAACCCCGTCATTGCATCAGAGACCCAGCTGACGAACAAGGACAAGAAGAGCGCCGTGCACAAACCCAAAACCTCGTCTGTTTGCCCGGTACTACAGGCGGCAGCAAGCGGCAGCACCCTTAGTTGGGGTTACAGGGGCTTTGACTGACGTCAGGCAATGCTCCCCCCTCCATGCCCATCCCTATGCAGACCCACCGGTGTTCCCTGCACCTCCGACATCTGCGACATGGTGATGGGCGCCGTGGCGTGAAAGTGGCTCCAGTCCACTGCAGCTCCCAGCTTGGAGGAAGTGCCCAGGGCGGCGGTACCGCTCCCAGGCAGCACCACTGGCAGGAACGCGTGGCCCCACTGTACGAAAGGCGAGGCAGGCAAGTCGTACCGACAAGTCGGACCAACAGGTCATACCAGCTTACAGTTAGGAATTTGATAGCTTTTGCTTTCGTACATCCCGGTGCTTCGTTACAGCAGTGTTACGCGCTTCCCTGTGAACGTGATGACATTTGGCCGCCTTTCCAAAACGGGAAGAACCATTTATATACATGCATATATATACATGCATATATGTGTGTGTATGCAAAAGGCCCATATGTGTATCACGTATCGCCATACACAAAAGAAAACCATCGTCCTGCTGTTTCCATCCGGTTGGGTCTCCATCCAAGGTCTGTCGCTTTGCAAAGGCGGACCTCAGGGCCCCGCAGCCCACCTTGACGTCGCCCAGCACGCTGTACACTCGCGTCCTCGTGACGACCTCCTGGCGGGAGTAGAGCGTCCCCTGGAGGGCAGGGCACATCCCGGCGGGAGAGAAGGGAGGACACAGGGGGACGACCAGGTGTTAGGAAAAGAACACGAACGTTTCACGCACCGGTTGACATGCAGCCCAACCCAGTCCCCGACAGTCCCCAGACGCCCCGGTGGATACTTTCCCTCCCTCGAGCATTCAGACGTGGAGCGAAACGAGCTCCCCCAGTTGACGATATCACACGAACACATCCTGTGCCGTTCCTGCTAACTCGTGTTTCACCCATCGCCTACCTCCCTTGACGTGTGCGTTACGCCTATGACACGTGGGGTACTATCCAAACAAAAGCAACGCCCAAACAATTCAAGACTTTTTTTTTATGCAACGTGATGTGCCCTATTACTATTACTGCCTCCTGTCACAGGGCCCCGGTTTAAACGCGTCCTCACAGCAGCGACGACGACCAGCCTGATCGCGAACTGGCGTACACCCTTACATCTGACTCGACCCCACGCCTACCCTGGCCACCACGACCACCTCCGCATCCGCGTCCTGCAACAGCCCCCGCTGGGAGGCCCAGTGCGCCACAGGGCTGTAAGCGGGGTCCAGCTCGTGAAACACCGTGACCGGATATCTGCGACCGGGTGCAGCGGCGCCAGGTGCTGGAGGACCGGGGCTCGGTTGCCGTGTATGTGGGTGGTGGTGGCCACAACGTGCGGCGCATCAGGACTACAGCAAGCGTGAAGCCTCTAATGGTTGCAAACTCACAGGTACGCAAACACAAAGGCGCACATGCAGCAGGCGGGGTGTGATTGAGCAGAGCACAAGGCGTGGTTCAGCGTGGTGCTCGGCTGTGTTCCCCCGCTCCTCCGGGTCATTGGGCTGTGTACCACACGGCCTTCTTGCACTTTCACAGGATCTTGTCGTCCAGCTAATGCATGTCTGCAAGGTCGCAGCACACTAGCTCCGGACGCTTAAAAAGACGACGACCGGCTCCGCAGGATTCAAGCTGCACACGGAGCCGCTTATTTGCAACCTTAAAACCCAAATCCAAAATCCCCAACGGGGTTCGGATCACCTCTTTTACCTCAGCAACAAGTCGACTGGCTCGAGCTTCAACGGGTGCTCCTCGTACGGCAGCAACTCCCCTTCCGCCGTGTGTCGTGTGTGCCACCGATAGAGGTGAGCGGACACCTGCCGTACACCGCGACAGTCACACGACATGTGCCAGCCCGCTGGTGAGCATTGTACTGTGCTTGTATAAAAGTACCCCGGGGAACCCCCCTCCGAGACCACCGAACCATCCCGACCGGGACAGATGGTGTGCCTCCGCATACGCATAAACACCGGCGCCACAAAGCCCCATCCGGAGCTGCCACAGGCGGGGAAGGTGGTCAATGGATGCCTACGCCTTGCGAGGTGGTGGATCTGGAGGAACCCCCTTTCGGCGTCACCAGTGCGGGGAAACACCATCCGGCGGTGTTGGTGTCGGCATGTGGTGGCTCTCAAGAGGTGGCTGCTCTCCGAGGTCCAACTCAGGGTTGTGCAAAACGGCCCCGTAACGGCCCCGTAACGGCCCCCGTAACGTAACGGGCTTTCAAGTCACCATGAGTACCCGCCCATTTCCATGCCCAATCCCGCGCACCTGCACGTCCATGACGTGGCCGGGGAAGGTGTCCCCGAGCCTGCGAGCAGCAGCAGCAGCACCAGGGCGACGACGGGGAGTACCCAGTTAGAGAGAGGGCTGTCTTCAGGTTTTTCTCAGCCCTTAGAGGAGAGGCACCTGCCAGCGGCGCGTCCAAAGGTGCTCAATGCTCTCCATTGGAAGACACAGCCACGGTGACGATCCCCCGGCCAGCTGTGCGCGCTCCGCACCTAGGGCTGGGGGTGAGCACCAGAGCGACAGCTGCTACTGCACGACGACGACGGCGCTTCATGTTGCTACACGGCGTCGCAGCCGGGGATGCCTACACTGTTAAAGCTGCCTCACGTGGGATACATCTTCCGCCGCCACAAGCTCTGCGTATCATCACCTACTCAACCGCTCAAGTCCATTAGCAGCAGAAATCAACCATCCAGCCGGCAGCCGTCCGGTTGTTTGTGATACCGAGGATTTTACAGAGCCCCAGCGGATTGCTAAAAGCTACGTGCCGCACCCAGGTGTTAGCGGGGACCATCTATATCTCCGTAGTATACGCACAAGTACGCGTACCTGAACATGAAGTACGGCCGGCCGTTGCGGCAGGCCACCACCGCGTCCTCCGAAAGCACCAGCGTGTTTTCGTGAAGCAGCCGCCCGGGAACTACGTTGCTCGTGCCGCTACCAAACACCACCTGATGTCCGGCGGCACCAGGGGGTGCGAGGAGGGGGCCACCAAACACGGCTTGTTGCAGCAGAACAGACAGGAAGTAAATGGCCACACAGGAAGTAAATGCGCAAAAGACACTCAGCACATTAGAAAACAGAGACCCATCTAAACTCAAATGGAACCGCGCCGCCGATGTCGACAGCGATGAAGGAAAGAGATGACGGAAGGAAAGCCGCCGGCAGCGGCAGTACAGCACACGACTCCAGTCGGCTGCGCAATACGGCAGCTCCCTACCTTCCTGCTCAGCCGATGCGGCTGCGTCATCTCGTCACAGAGGCCCATCTGGGGCTCCACATCATGAAACCTACGTACGGCACGTACGGCAACACAGGACCAAGCTCAGGGCCAAGCGCAGCGCACATACAGGTACCAAAGCTCACAGAAAATATGTCCGCAACAGCTTCAAATCCTGCTTGCTAAAGTCGATACATGCAGCATCCACAGAAAACGATCTATCCTAGCACCGATGCAGCAATCGGTGGTTTCCCCGTTCGCGCGCGCCCCCGTTCAACTCCCGTCAGGGTCCGATTTGTAGATATATTCCTTTTTTCCTCTAAACCCCCGCGGCCCACAGCCACCCACGGGCACCCGCCTGGACAGGTCCACCTCGTGCTGCGTGTCGCCCAAGGCCGCCGGCAGGATGACGTTCACGAAGGTATGCCCCCAGTGGATCTCAGACGGCAGGTAGCTCTGTCGGGCCATGAAGGTGTAGCCCAACTCGGAGGATGCCTCGAACGTCACCACAATCTCCGCACCCACCGCCTGCAGCCGCCAAGGGAAACGAATCAGGACGGGAGGAGGACACGGAGGACGAAAACAGGAAGCAGTAGCCTACGCCGCCGACTGCCGCCCGCTACAGGCCGAGGCCAAGTCTTTAGGTTTCGATCTCCGTGCTCTCAAGGAAAAGGATCTGAAAAAAGACGCACCGGCTGTTGGTGCGATAGGGCACAGGAATAAAGCAAAGCAGAGCATAGCGAGCAGAACAGAACGGTGGGGGGCCGCCTCCAACCGGTAACATAGGAGCACCATTTAACGCAACCACATGACGGGGCCACAACATTTCCCGCTCTCTCGCATACACAACACTTACACGCGCATCCCATCCCGGTGGGACATACCAACCAGGCATCGCCACCTCACACTCCTGTCGCTCCACCCCCTCCCCTTACCTCCAGGCTCTGCGACGTGTGGCAGAACAGGGGACTCGCCTCGTCTATGGAGTGCTCCACAGTGACTGGCAGCAGCAGAGTGCAGTCCAGGGACACGGACATGTCCTGAGGGCCGGGTAAGTAACCAACAGCGGCACATCCGGGGGTGGGGGGGAAGAGAGGGCCGGGAGTCGTGCCAGTGCCTGAAAGCGCGACCGGTGTCTTGTGACACGCCGCAAAAGGCGATGAGCGTGTCATTTTCCTCCCCTTCCCAACCATTCCCTCCCCTCCCCTCCCCTTCCCTCCCCTCCCCTCCCCTCCCCTCCCCTACCTGGGCGATAACCGGAATCCTCTCGCCCTCCGCTGTGCGCCGTCCAGGTCCCCAGGTGTACATCACCACGCGAACACGTGGGTCGATGACGGACCGCTTCTGGATGTCCGCGATGCGGAACATGCTGAAAAGGGGGTCACACGGGAAGAACAACAAAACGGAAAACGAATAAAAAAAAACAGTGCATGCATATGCACGGTGAAAAAGGAAAGGTAAAACGTGGAAAACGGTGCACGGTGCGTGCGGAATCGTGCGGGCCCCTTTTGAAGCTAGGGATGCGTGCCCACATACTAAGTAGTTGCAGGCCAACATTAAAAGAAACGCTAGTTCGAGACGTCGCCCTCAAAACGCACTACGAAGAAGAGAAGATGTGGACCAACATCTGGATGACCCAAATGGGCATGTGGCTGCCTCGTGACCTTCAGCCAGCCCGGCCCCTCAGGAAAAACAACTTACAATTTTAGCTGGCCGTCACGCCGTGCTATACACGCACAATCGCTGATTAGAACAGTCCGAGATCGCTGCTTCGGGTGGGAGATCCGTGAAAATACAATACCCAGGATGACACTGTCCAACAACACGGCCTGCGGAACACAGCCAGCGAGGAATGGACTCAAAAATTGGGTACGGTTTTTTCGTTACTGCAGCTGAAAGGATGTCCGCGACAGGACTTCAAAGGGCCTATGTGTCGCAAAAAGGCTGCCCCCACGCGTTCGAGCAGTAACCGTAGCCATGGGGAGGCGGGGAGGGAGGCTATGATGGGAGGGGAGTAGTAGTAGTACTAGTGTTGTGGCGCAAGGCACACGGCCCACCTGTAGAGAATGGATAGATACGAGTATGGCCGCGGACCAGCACTCGCCCGTCGCTCGCTCCCCAAAACCTGAAGCAGCCACACCAACACCAACACCAACATCAACAACAGCAGCAGCAGCCACAGCAGCAGCAGTAAGGGATGGGGAGCAGCAGGGCACTATCTGACGCGGCCATCACGCTGACATGATGCCGCGCAGGGCTTAACCACTAACCGCTGAGAAAGGCTGCTGTCACTGGAACTGGGTTGGTAGGGACGGAGAGGACTGGCGCTCGACCCGAGAACCCGAGAACCCTAGAGAGGTTCAAACCATGCAGGGGGCCAGACGCACCTATGGTTTGCTGCACCTCGGTGGCGTACATGAAAGCCGAGCGGAACCCGTGGAAGCCGACGAAGCACGTCTTCTCCAATCTGCGGGGTAAGCTGAACTCCATGATCTCGTACGGAAAGCCCTTAATCGAAATACCTGATGACAGTGTCGTATAGCGGTTGCCGTCCCTCCATTTCCCCCTCCTGGAGCGCACCTCCAGACGAGGTAGTAGATAGTGCTCCAGATTAGCAGCATGGAGAAGTACCACACCACAAGTACGGTGACGAGCTGGACCAGCTTGGCGTTCACAGCAGTGGTGTAGAAGTCTGGACAATCGGATGCAGCGAGGACACATGGTTCGTGAATGTAACCACGCACCGGGTGGTCCACACGACATCCAGCATGACAAGCTTTCCCTCCGCCGTACAGCAACCCTCGCCTTTGTCTTTACGGCACGGTGAACGATAGCGATATCCAGTGCTATGAAGCCGTACCTCTCTTTAGGATGTGGGTCCAGAACGTTTGAAAGTCTATTCCCACGTAGCGGACACGTGACCGCCCCGCGTGCCTAAAACGGCATGTGGAAAAAAGAGAATCAGAATCCTAGAACCTACATAGATTAATCATGCAGGCGGAAAAATAGCGAGGAGGCGTTCGCAGTTCGACGAAGCCAAGCAAAACCTAGCAGGCTGCGCCGAGACCACTTGCTGAGACCGTGGCATCCAGCACGCCAAGCACATACTTTCCGGTCTGTACAAGGCAAGACAATTTCCTCTTTTGACGCTCCGTTGCGTAATATCCAGCACCACGGTCGAGCGTCCATTTCCCCGTCCGCATACGTCGCCTGATAACCTCTCGCTCCTCATTGTCCAGTGATTGGTCTTGTTGTCGCTCAAGGATGTAGCCCCGCGTAGCTGGGTCTGCAAGAAGCCATTCGTGTAGGCTCTGCATGATTTTGCACTGGTTGACAGCTAGATGCGACGCGTTGGCTGCAGTTGTTGTGTTTCCGATATGATCTACAGTACTGTGGCGAATTAGCAAGTAGTCATACTTGTTACTGGACCCAGCTCAAGCATCCCAGGTCGCGCGGCAAGTTCAAGTGTTGTTAGGCATCCTACCAAACAGAAGTTTCGCCTTAGACCCCACCATGAATTAAGTTGCACAAACGCGTGTTGTACCGGCTTAAAATGCATGTATGAATGAATAAAAGAGCTGAATTGTCTCTGCATAACTGCCGCCATTGCCGTACAAGTACTCCAAGAGTCGCACGTCCTCGTACCCTTGGGCCCCCTTGCCGGTCCAACTGACTGGCTCAAGATGCTTGCTGGGGTCGTGGGGATCCGACAAATTGGGGGTATTTATGAGGCGTTGCTGAGTTCGGAGCTTCCCGAAATTCGTGGCGAGAAACATCATAGAGGCCGCAATTGTGTTTACAGTCAACCTTCATACTCCTAAACAACCGGGCCATCACTTGACAGCGTTTGTACTGTTCGTGGTGCAACAATGCCCGGTCACTGTCAGCAGATGAAACCGTTGACGAAAGTGTGAAGCCGGGACTGTTCACCACCTGTTGCGACAACCTATACGCTATAACCCGCAGCATCAAGTGGGGCTACACACACCCACATCCCTTCATCCCCCTCTTCCCCACACGCACGGTGACCCTGAAGATATAATAGATACAGCACAGCCCCTTGCATGATAATGCATGACAACGTGACGCACGCGCGTGCAACCCCGTACAACACATGTAAAAAACGTACCGACACCCTGCGTTAAGATGCCACAGACAGTACTACTCAAACAAAAAAGGGGCGAACTCCGCAAGCCGACGTTTTGGCAGAATACTGTGCCAGAACCGGGACTGGAAGCTGTAGCATTTATTGAGAAGCCAAGAAGGCATCCATCCTTGCGGTCAGCAGCACTACTAGGTGCACGAGTGGCCCACGCCCTGGTCTGTCGGCTGCTCGTCTTTCGAGCACTTGAAGAAAGCAATGGACTGGCGCAAGTGGTCCGCAGCCTGCAAGCGTAGCGGCGACGTGTCAACAGTGGTGCAGCTCGTGAAGCAGACACACACCAGCGGACATCCTTACCACGGACGCCTTAGCTTTTTTGTCCACCTTGACTGGGCTGGTAATCGTTTTCTGGTCATTCTCCACGGCGGTCAGGATGTTAGACACCTCCTCCATGGTCTGCGCATCACGGAGCTTGCCTGATGATTGCGTGTTGCACAAACGCACAGGACATGGAACTACCTCAGCAACCCACCTCCGTGAAGTTGGCTATTTGCTTCTGGAAACGGCGCGCGCGGTGCTCCTCATTTGCTAATCGGCGCAGCAGTTTGCTTTGCTCAACGTTGTGCTGCTGCGCGAGCCGATCCAACTTTTGGTGCTCCTCGAGCAGGCGTGCTTCAAGCGACTTCCGCTGCAACTCAGCTAGCCGCCCATCCTCTTTTAGTGATTCAAGCTTCTGCTCCTGCGCGGCCACCATCTCCTCAAGCTGGAGCCGCGTCTGTTCCGCCAGGAGCTGTTGCTCTGCGAGGCGCTGTCGCGAGTTTTCAAGCTCGCCTTCAAGAGCGATTCGCTGCTGAGCCGCATCCGTTAGTTTCCGCTCGTAATCCAATCGGAGCTGTACCTCCAACTCTTTACTGGTTCGCTGCTGTTCCATCAAGCGCGCCTCCAGCTGAGCGACATGCGCAGCTGCTGCCTGCAGAGTCTCCGTCTGCTGCTCCTCTTTCTGTTTTTGCATCAAGTCTTGACGTCTCATTCGATCAAGCTCACCATCCTTGGTTTGAAGGAGCAGCTTCAAGGAGTCAATCTCATGTTGCAGCCCTTCCAATTTGGAAGGTCCAAAGCAGGAAAACATTTTAAGCACCTCAAAGCATCAAAAAAAGAAGCGGAAGAGGGTGCTGTGTGACCTGCTTCACCAACACAGCTTCCACTTGCACTTGCTTCAAAAAGCTGTACGGGTAGGTTCCAACCGTTTCATGTGCGCTCAGTCGCTAGCATTACGTGCGATACCCGTTCCAAGCAGCCAAACACGTATGGTGATATTTATTCGGGCAAATATTTTTTGTGCAGTGTTTTAGCGACTACATCACGTCGCCAGTACAATGACAACTGACTTCCGAAAACCATGTAGTCACTGGTCTTGCCCGATACTGCTGTACAGCAGTTTACTATGAGCTCCTGACATAATTACGCTTTACAGGTAGCTGTCTTGAAAACCTCCAAAAGTAGGACGTGCTTCGTAACTACTTGGAAGCTAGCGATACATGTTAATAGGCTCCCGCCGACCGCACAGCGGCACAGGGAGACAGTTTGAATTAATCCATTACCTGCCCGACCGACACACGTGAGGTTTTAGTGCAGGCCGTATGAACCGTATGAGCATACGGCCGTGCGGGTGTGGCATATGCCCGTAAGGCCGTAATACGACCTATTCCCTGCAGGCGCCACTCGCTACGTCCAGAACCATAAAGCTTAAATGCACATCCCCAACTGCCGTATCATCTCAATATACACTTCCTCACATTATAGCAAATTGGCGATACGCACGTTCCCAGATCGCAACCCAAGCTGGAGCCGAATCGCGTCGCGCACCAAGGGCACCAACTGCCCCCGCGCATCCAGCGCCGCGGCAAGGCGGTGGCTGTCCACCGAGAACACCTTGACAGTCACACCGCCTCCACCTTCACCACCACTGCCATTTCCCAAAGCGCCACCGCCACCCCACCCTCGCTGGACATGCGGCCCGGTCTTGTCCCCTACCGCCGCTTCCCCTCCCTCCCCCGCCCCCGGCTGCTCCTCCCAAGCCCATGGTCGCCGCTGGACCGCCCCCTCCGGGCGCCCCCTTCCCCCGCCCCCCTCACCCACCCACGTCCCCCGCCGCCAGCCCAGCTGCCCGCCTCCATCTTCCGCACCCGCCTCTTTACAACCCCCCCTCCTCTCCACCGCCTCCTGCATCCCCCCTGCAGCCGCAAAGCCCCTCCTCCTCTCGTCCTGATGCCCACTCGAAGCCGCATCCCCGCAGGAGCTGCTGGCCTCCACTGCCCCAGCCGCCGCCTTCGCCGCCCCCGCCACTCCCACTGCCGTTGCTGTTGCTTGCGGCAGTAGGTTGGCCTGCGCCAGGTCATGTTGCCACGTACCCACCAGCACGGACAGCTCCCCCCGGGAGGACCGTACGGCGCCCTCCAGCCGCCTCCGAAACCGCGTCAGCCATTCCGTCTGGCGGCCAGGCCGGATGGAGGCGGCCGTCAGGTCTACCTGAGCGACACCAACCCCGCCACCAACATTCGCGACGACAGGGGGTTAGATTAGGGGGTGGAGGAGGAGGGGGTGGAGGGGGAGGGGGAAGACAAACCGCGAGCGAGTGAAGGTGATCCCAAGCAAGAGGAGGAGGAGGAGGAGGACGGCAGTACGACGTAACGACACCAGAGTTGGGGAGACAGACAGCTGAGACTCAAGCTTTGGAGGCCCCGAGACCGACACTGCCCGGAGACAGGAATACCCTCGTTGAAGCTTTTTTAACTACCTAACCAAATCCCTAACCAGATCCCTAACCGAACACCGAACGCAACCGAAGCCCAGACTGTGCCGTACCTGGGGGCAGAACGCCAGTACGGCAGTGGCCAGGTCAGCAAACAAGAGGGCCGCAGAGGCCCCCATGGAGTCCCCAAGCAGCAGTACTCGCCGGTAGTGACGGGTGTACGACAACAGACGGGTACGGTAGTAGCCGTACACTGAATCATCGCCGCCGCCGTACCAGTCACGTGAAGGATCAGCTACGTACAGAACATCGAAGTACCTGATTGGTTATTTTTGGAGGAGCGGGGAGCGGGTGGGGTGGGGGTGGGGTGGGGGGTTGACAGTGGCGGTTGTGGCGGTGATGGCCACAACTGCCTCTCGTTACTTGGCCGTGTATCAGTAAATCTGTCTGTCTGTATTTCCACTCTCCTTCAGTCACCTCATCACAATACACACGTGACTCCATTCTATTCGCTAACCACCTTCCCCTGTATGTATGTATGTATGTATGTATGTATGTATGTATGTATGTATGTATGTATGTAGCTGGGAGACTGCCGACGCCCAAAGCAACTGCCTCAGGTAGTTTCGGAACCTTCGCCCAGTAGGAAGATGGGAGGAGGTACGGGGTGGGAGGTGGGGTGAGGGGGCCCCCCCCCATATGACCATCACGCTTCCCCCGCCCCTCACACAAGCACACATCTCCCCACACACACACACGCACCTGCCCTCATCCCCTGCAGCGGCTGCCGAGCGGTAGACTTTACCCAGCAGACCGCCCCAGTTTGGGGTCCCCGGAGCGCTGCCGAATGCCACCACCAACACCTCGTTGCTGGTGACGATGCCGCCCTCACCTCCCCCACCCACACCACCAGAGGAATCACCACTTCGGCTGGCGCCTGTGTGTGTGGCGGCGGGGGTAGTGGTGGTGGTAGTGGTGGTCCGCTGCGGTCCGTACTGCAGTTTGAAGTACCCGGGCCCGTGGCCCAGAACACATCCCACTCGTACATTTGATGGCAGTACGACACCGCTGCCGCCGCCACTGCTACTGCCGCCAGGCAGTAGCCCCGGCCCTGCTGGGCCATTCGCCGTAGCTGCTGCTGCTGCTGCTGTTGCTGCTGCGGAAAGCTGTGTCTGATCCAGTCCGAGCGCCTTGAGTTTTGGCATCGCGCCACTTGCCGCCACCGAAATCAGCTGCCGTACGACATCCCCACTAAGCGGGTTTCCCTCCAGCCAGCACGACGCCAGGGAGGGCAAGCCGGCCAGCTGGCGGGGGGAGAGGCGGGTGAGGCGGTTCCCGAAGAGGTGCAGTCGCGTGAGGGAGGTGGCGGCCGCTGTGTTGGGGGGTAGCTCAGTAAGCTGGTTGTCGGCCAGGGAGAGCTCTTGTAGGGCCTGTGGGGGATGAAGGGAGGTGAAGGGAGGTGGGGGGAAGAAGACGAGTGAGGGGGGGAGTGGAGGGGGAGGAAAGGTGTATGTGCAACGGCTAGGAAAACAACCGCACGAAGCGGGGGGATAAGCGGCATGATAAGCAAGAAGCAACTGTCCCAACGACCAGCTGGCTGAATGACCGACAGTACGACAGTTAAAGGTGCACAACCCTGGCGCGTGGCCTTGTCACCCCCAGGGCCCCTGCCTCAGACCCCAACCTCCAAATCCCCGGTTGCCGTACCGGGCATTCAAATATAGCTGGATCCACCCTTTTCAAACAATTTCCCTGAGGGGACGGCGGAGGCGCGAGGGTGGGGAGAGAGAAGGGAAAAGCTCAAGCCAGGGAGAGAATGGGGCGAACGCGGGTATAGCTTGGGGGGTAAATCGGGTAACAAATTCGCACCCGGGGGGGGGAGAGCGCCAGCCGCCAGGACCACAACACAAGTCAAGCCCTCCCCCCCTCTACCCCTCCCCCCCTCCCCTACTTTTCCACACCTACTTCTTTACGGCTTGGCATTACTATTTCTTCTGCTTTTATTGTCCTGGCGGCTTAGGTAGGTAGTCTTTCCGACATCTTCTTCACTTCGTCATCCCGAGGTCGCGGTCTTCACGGACGCCTTTCGGTCAGTTCTACGTTTGATACTCTCTTGCCCTGGCAGCAGCCTCAATCGTGTGTGGTTCGTCTTTCCCCCCCTCCCCTCCACATCCCCCCGGGCCACCCACCTGCAACATCAGCTCCGTAAGCCCCGTCATGTGACTACCCACACCCAACCAGGAGGTAGCAGTAGCAGTAGCAGTACCCTCGCCCTCCTCCTCCTCCCCCTCCTCCTCCCCCTCCTGGCCCAGTCTGTTCCCGTTGAGCGCCAGTTTCCTCAGCCGTGTGAGGGGCTCCAGCTCCCCGGGGGGTAGGGACCTCAGCCGGTTGCCGGCCAGGGTCAGGTCGGTGAGGGAGGTGAGGCCGCGGAGGGAGCCCGGGGGGACGGCCTGCAGGCAGTTGCCTGGAGATTGGCGGGGGGGGGAAAGGAGGGGGGAACGCGACATGGAGCCACGTAGAGCACGAAGATGACTGACAAGTGGCGCACCTATAGGTGCCCCACTTTCCGCTCCCATAGGTGCCTCTATCTCCACTTGTTTGTCTGTCTGTCTGTATCTCCCTGCGGCTGGCTTACCTGTGTGATCCTGCAGATCTCCGGACGCAATCGCTCCGGCGTGCCTCAACACAAACGGAACGCGGGAAACAACGCCCACCGCAGCGAAACACCCTTTTCCCCCCTCACCTCTCACCCCACCTCACCTCTCACCCCACCCACCACACCACCCACCCCACCACCCAGGCCCCCCTCCTCCTACCCGCCAAAGACAGCGCCCTCAGCCCCCCCAGTCGCCCCAGCTGCTCCGGTAGGCGCCTGATCAGGTTGCCGTGCAGCCACAGTCCCTCCAGCCCCGTGAGGGCCCCCACCCCGGGGGGCAGCTGGGTGAGCTGGTTACCCGCCAGACCCAGTCGCCGCAGGGCGGTGAGGCGGGAGAGGGAGTCGGGCAGCTCGGTCAGGCAGTTGCCGGACAACTGAAGCTCCTGGGGGTTGGGGGCGGGGGGAAAATGGGGGGAAGGGAGGGAGGTGTTGTCCAGGTCTTTACCACCCCGCCGCCGCCATTGTACCTCTCCGGCAACCAAACCCTAAACCCCCCCTGGATTCCGGAAGAAAAGGTCGGAAGGAGTTTTTTGATGTTGGAGGAGTTGGTTCTTTCCCTCCTCCCAACCCAGCGAAAAGCCCAATCCAGCACCGCACCTCCAGTTCTGTTAGTTGCAGTACCTCCTCCGGCAGTTGCCGCAACCGACAATCCGTTAGATCTAATCTACCGCTACTGGCAGCCAGAGACAGCTTGACCCGCAGCTCGCCTGCCGTAAGGGTGCCGCTGCCACCACCGTCACTATCATCGCCGTTGCTATTGCTGCTATTGCTGCTGCTGCCGCTCGGCTCTAAACGAGAACTAAAGTCCCTGGAAGCAGCATCAACTGTAGCGGTGGGTTGCGAGGAGGGAGTTTCCTCGGGGTCGGTTGTTGACGATTCGTTGGCCTCGTTCAAGATTGCCGTACGCCAGGATGTACGGGAGTAGGCCGAGCAGATTGTGGATGAGGTGAAGCAATGGTATTGGATGGTGGGCGTGGTTCTGGTGAGGGGAGTTCGGGATGCCGGGGCACTGAGAGGCGCTTGGGGAAAGTTGCCGCTTGGGCGCTCGAAGCCCGTCCAGGACAGAGAATGTCGCCATGTGTTGGAGCACAGCGAGCGAACGCGTTTTCCGGAAGGTGTGCAATCTGATCCGTAGTTATGTGGGTCAGGGCCATATGCCAGCGATTTCATAAGTTGCATGGCTTCCCAGCGATTGACTGCAGCTGGCAAATTCGATGACGGCGATGCGGTCCTAAACGAGAAGGTTTATTTCTTAAGCTTGCGCGCTACGCCTTGTGCCTGCTGCCAGATCTGAGCTTGCCAAACGTTGTGAGAGGGAGCTTGTCCGTCGGGTTTGGGGAGCTGCTTTGCAGCCTCGGCCGCCGAAGAAGAGGAGCTGGCTTTGCCCGTTTGGTTCTTAATGCCAAGTTGCCGCTCAAGATAGGTATGCAGAGAAGCGAGGGCAAGCGCACCGGCAGCGATTGAGCCCAGTTGCAACCACATGGACTCGTCGGTTAGGCTAGTCGATGGGAAGTTGTAATTTGCGTGAGAATTGTGGTGCGTCCTATTAGTACAGAAGTGGGAAACATTTGTAAAAGCATTTTACTCCGTAAGCTCTGAGGGGCAAAAGGGCGCTATGTACGGTTTCGTTATACCGTTACCGGTGTAGAAATTATCTGCGACTGTGCGACATGAAGCCGTCAGTGCGTAATTTGAAATTATGACGGGCCAACTCATTTTCTAAAGTAATTTTCACTAGAACGCTGATTGGCGTGTTTCTTCCATGGCCGCGATACCGCTGGACTATCGGTTACTTTGCCCTGCCTATGGGCAAGAGCTTAATGAAGCCCTTGAAGCAACACGCGAATTTTTCCATATCCTGACAATTCTACCAGTTCAACCAGCTGGGGCACTGCAAGCGTTGTTTGCCCACGGGTCGCCACTGGTGTTGGCGGAGGCTCTGGCGCTCGGTGCCGCGCTTGTATGCTGGCTACTCTACGTAGTGACTCGAAATTGTTCTCATGTCGACCGCATGTGGTATGTTCTTCGGGTCCACACGGGCCGACGAACGATGGCCATGACGTGGCTTGCAGCCAACAAAATTACAGTTAATGCATAAACGGTCCGAGGCTTAGGCCTCACTCCTGACACGTGGCTTTCATTCATCATCAGCATACTCGTATCTGAAAAAGCTCCACGAATCCTAACCAGAACCCCGCCGTGCAGGTCCATCCTGCCGCCCATCTACGTGGCCATCTTCGCACGGAAGGACCTGGCAGCTGCGCTGGCTGCCGTACGCCATACGATAAAAGCTCAGAGTACGACTGGAACCGGATCCAACATCACCAGCTTGCTGACCGCTGTTGGTTCTGCTATTGCCGGATCTGGCGCTGACCCGCGGTTGCTTCTTGCCACCGCTCTGGCGACGGCTTGGGGCTGCCGCCTGACCTTCAACTTCTGGCGCAGAGGCGGCTACAATCCGCGGTTTGAGGACCACAGGTAGTCAGGCGGGCGGGGCAGGAGGGTCACCGTCCCGCCTTACCCCTCTCAGACAGTCACCTCTTCACATTCGCAGTGGGGTCACTGTGTAGTGACAGTATTTTGGGACTCATATGCGCGCAGTGGAACTGCCCATGGGTTGCGTGGGGTGTGGGGTACACGTCAGCAAGCCCTGCGTGGACCCGAATGGGGTTTGTGAACAGGCAGATGGGGACTTGTACTGCAGAGGTGCAGCAGAGGTCCTCTGAAGGAATCTCAACCAGATTATCCGTTATGCGCCACTTCCCCGGCGGGTCTCTGTCGCCCGCCTTTGCTGCAGATGGCCCGAAGCTCGTAAGATCATGCACCCGGTAAGCACATCGGCGAACACTTTAATAAACAAATTAACAGACAGACAGACAGTCCAGTCCTTGACGTTAAGGCTTGGCAAATGTTTTCCACCTACAGCATCGTATGCATGTTGTGTGGAACAGGGGGGTATATCTTCACCCGTGGCAGCTACCCTGCGAAACCCTGCCTTCCCCGGTATTTCGGGGCACCCTCATCTAGTCACCCTAGTCAACATCTCAGCGGACCGCTCAGGTTCCACACCCACCACCAGCATCTAACGGATTCTGCCGAACCGACGGCGGCCCAACTCCATTCCTGGTCGGCTCGCAGGTTATTTATCTACTGAGCTTCTATTGTTTTTGATCTGTTTAAAACAATATCTAATGGATTGCCTATTTTAGAAGGATACTCTTATGGTCATCACTGACCATCGACTAGAGATTCTAGATTTAGCACTAATCTCAATGTTTTTAACCCTGACAAGTCTCAATCCCGGGATCTCCTGGAGACAATGATCCTGCCTTACCAGTAGTGCCTAACCTGGATAACCATATGTATATAAATACGAGATGACACTGACACACGGCTCATGGCGCCTTCTGGTACCATTTGTGCCGTACATTCTTGGTCCTTCCCCTCCGCCCAGCGATTCCTCTTTTTCCCTCATTAACTCCATCAGCAGCGGTTAGTGCTTGGGCCGTCGGCAGTTGTTTCTCCGGCTTACAAATGATCGTGTCTTTCAGTCCCTTCATCCGACTCCTCTTCCGCCCCCCAGGTATTTTTCGAGGTCTTCAATCTGGTCTTCGTCGCATTTGCACAGCATGCACTGTGTCTGTCTCTGTCCCTGCCCGCGTTCGTGGCGGCGACGCTAGGCCGCAAAGAGCCCGGCGCACCGCCGGTGCCTCTGGGCCCCATCGACCTGGCTGCAGCCGCCGCCTTCGCGCTGTTCTGCCTGGGAGAGACGCTGGCTGATGAGCAGCAGTGGGCCTTTCAGAAGCGGAAGTACGAGCTGATCGCGAGCCGGCTGCCCCGGGAGGGGGACTTTAAGCGCGGCTTTCGGACTTCGGGATTGTTCCGATACTCCCGGCATCCCAACTTTTTCTGTAAGTGGACAGGTTTTATATGACCAGGGTTTATATATACACTCGTGCTTTCGTACATTTGTTCATTCGTACATTTAAATGCAATGGTGTGTGTTCTTGTTCAGGAATTCAGGGGCATTGGTGGGTATGGGGTATGATGCATCGAGCATCGATGGACGACACATGGGCAAAGCTAGCTATGCGCTTGCATAGCTAGTTGACGAACATTTATGTGATCTCAAGCTGTGTTGCTGTTGGCGCAATCAACTTCTGTACATGCATCACACCGCGCTGCATACTTTTGCGTCCGCAGGCGAGTACAGCTTGTGGTGGTGCTTCTACCTGCTGTGCGCCGCGCTGCCGGCCCGCTGCCTGCTGGGCTGGGCGGCGGTGGGTCCTGTGGGCCTTACGATATTGTTGCACGCGGGGTCGCTTTGGATCACGGAGCGGATCAGCGCCTCCAAGTACCCCGACTACGCCACCTACCAGACCACCACCAGCGCCATCGTGCCATGGTGCCCGGGTCCACGGCTGGGGCCGCCAGCGAGTGATTGATAGAGCTTCGGTGCGGGCGGGAGGGCGGGCGGCGGCATCCAAACCCGCCTTTCCCTCTACTGGCGTGGGTGGTAGGGGCCGTATTGCCCCCCGGGGCGTAGTTTGGGTCCCTGTAAGGGGGGCACCGCTTGGGTTGGGTTGGAGGATAGAAGGACGGTTGGCAGTTGGCAGTTGGGTGATGTGTCCTTTGTCGTGTGGGGGGGCCCGCCGTCCCTTTCTATTATACTGTGGCACGATCTATATGGTCGATTTGAAAGATGACAGACGAACTCCATCACAGACGACGCCCTTCGAGGTGTCATCAAATCAGTTGATGATCACCACAATTCCGTTGTCACGAACCACGCTCTCGTGCTACATGTCTACAACACGGCATCGTATGACGTGTGCAGTCCAAGCCGCAGCCAACCGACCTGCCCCGACAGAGCCTGTCCTGAAGGGCGCGTGTTAATCACGTCACACCACATCACGAGCGCCAAAGCAAAAGCGGGTAAACAGCTGACGGCCAAGTCTTTTCCGCTCTCTGAACACCGTTTAACTTCTACCTTGGTTGCGTCCTATCACTGAACAGTTAGCCAGGTCAGTCTGGGGAAGAGAGACAGCATCGCGATTAGTGCCCCCCGTAGCCACGTGCATATGGGTGCATCCAAACACCACCCTAATCAGCCCTACCACACCTCGACGGTCACCCTTCTACCCCTTTCTCTATCTTGAGCCTCGCGCGCTAACTGGAATCATGCCTCCGCCTTAAATATGATGACCCGAAGCCTCGAAGAGCTATGTACACTAGGCAACAGCTGGGCACGCATGCTACATGATGCACTGGGAGGTGCCCACACCGCGCCTACTTCGACAGACGCCCGACAGCGGAAGGCCTCACTACCCTCCGGATGGCCAGTCCGGTCCCAGACCACACGACGTGTGTTACATCTGGTCGGGCCAAATCTACGGAAGCCACGAGGCTGCGCCACGCCCGATCGGCCGCCAGCACGTCACCAGGGTTTACGATTAACGAGTAACGAACAATGAGTCACAAATAACGAAAACGCAGCACGGCATCAGGATTGATGGTTAGGTATGCCACAATTCCAAGGCACACCAAGCCAGGATTGGCCCCACGCCGCTGCATGTGTAAAGACCACCAGGCGCCACCATCAGGGTGCCACAAGAGGTGTCTCAAGAGGTGAGATGTCATTAAACCAGAGGTGGTACACGTCACCGAAAGGCGCTGTAGGGAGGAAAGAGGGAGGAGAGGAGATATGAGGGGGCACCAGTGGCTCGCACGCCATGTGACTGGGGGGTGGGGTGTCGTGGTCATCACCGTGTTTGCGGTATCCGCCAGTAGAGCCACTGCAGGACGGTGTGGAAGGCGTCATCCTGCGCGGGGAACACGGCCCGCTGCTCCAACTGCGCGGTCGTGCGGGCCACCAGGGCGTCCTCCCGCTTGCCCACCCGCTGCAGCTGCTCCCGCCACACACCGAGGTTGCTCTGGAGGACCGCCTTCATCTCCTCGGACAGCAGCGGGTGGCTGACGTAGGCGTACCTGCGACAAGCAGAATCTTTTTCTGAATCATAAACCCTAAGGAACCTCTACTTGATGATGGCATAACCCTTGTAGCTAGGCCAATCCTAATTCCCGTAAAACCCGGCAACCGCTGTGGGTAATCCGTTGACGTGTGGCTTGTGGTTGTATGAATGGTCCGAGGGCCGCATGCCGGCAGACTGAACTGGCGAACTGGTGGGTCGCACATGGAGTATCCGTATGTATGTCGGTATTCAGCTAGGATAGGATTGTCGCCCAAACATGCGTCGTCGTCGTCGTTGTTGTTGTTGTTGTTGTTGTTGCAGCATGTATACATTCGGGCTTGTAGGGGAGAAGAGTCCCTGGCTTAATGCTCTGACACCTCACAACGTTTTTTTAAGCACTGTTTGTAAAGAGGTACGGGACATCCTTTGCAGCTTTTGTCCCTGAGCCCCTCGCATGGCTGCGCGTGAAAAGGATTTGCCTTCCAAACCTCCGTACCTCTTCCCCTCGCCTAACACCCCCTTTCCCCCCTTCTCTCCCCCCCCTTTCCGGCTCTTACCTGTGCCACACCTTCCTCAACTTGCGCTGCATGTCCTCCAGCACCCTCTGCGGGACTACGGCCAGCTGCTGCGGCAGCCCCTCCAGCTCGTCCTCCCCCACCCGGATACTGAACCGCTCCAGCTCCAACTGGTCCTCCCAAACCCCGTGAACCCCGTCCATGATGATCACGGGCACACAGCCGTGAAGCACCGCGTCCTCCAGACGGGGCGACCAGCCGTCACCTGAGGGGGTGTATGTATGTATGTAAGTTTATGTGTGTGGCGGGAAGAGACCCACCACCACCCACCTGGCACTACCAGACAGAATTTGGACCTGGACAGGTGCTCCGAGTAGTCTCCGGGCACGTCACTGCCGTCACCGATCATGACGTTGTAGCCCTGGAGCCACTGCTGATCCCTCCACAGCCGGTACAGCCGCTGACGAATGCCTCTGACAGGAAACGAAGCGGAGGGGGGAAGGTAAAAAGGGTGGAAGAGGGGGTGTAGTGGGGATGGGGAGGGAGCTCAGCGCACTTGCAGTACCAGGGGCCCCCTGGGCCGTAGTCAAGACCGCAGCCAGTTACGGACATACATACATACATACATACATACCTAAATACATACGTACGTACGTACATACATACCACGGAGCTGTCCCTCCCTGGACCTCGCTCTCCACCACCGTCCTAATCAGCATCACACGCCAACAAGCCAGCCCCGGGCCCCCTGGTCGCCGCTACCACTACCCCCAAACGAACTAACCCAACCCCCTGCAGCCCCCCAACCTCCTGAATCACTCAACCCCTCCAGCCCCCCCATGCCTCCTCAACAGACGCCCCCTCCTCCCCCCACCCGCGCACCCCCCCACCTGCTGTAGTTGGGCAGCCGGTGTTTCCCCACATCCCCCCGCAGGTACAGCAGGATGTCCCGCTGCCGGGGCGGGTGGAACAGCAGCGGGCTCTGCCGGAAGTGGTGGGGCAGCTTCAGAGCCGGGACGACCAGGTCCTGCGGGGGCGCATACGCACGTCAGTAGTAGTGGGCGTTACAGCGAGAAGAGCCCCCGGATAGACCCCAGGGGAATCAAGGTATGTGCCAATGTAAATAAAATTACGTACGGATAAGTACACACATACGCACGCACACACATCCCTACCACTACCGCCACCCCCGGGAGCGCTCTCAACTTCACTTTATCGCTTAGGACCCACTGGGGCCGTTTTCGGACATTGGACCCTTCCGGCAGTTCATTAATCTGGTTTCCTCCTGCATTTATACTCCCCTCCCCTCCCCTCCCCCGATCCGCCTTCCCAATCCCCACCCACCTTCCCCGGCGTGTAGCAGGGGTGTCCGTCGATGAGGTGCAGCCAGCCGCCGGGTTGCTCCGGGTGCACGTACTCCTGCGTGTAGTTGTCCGGTGTGAAGGCGGTGTTGCTGGCGTGGTGCTTGTCGATACGGCCCCAGTGGGTCAGAAAGATGGAGCTGTTGTAGATCTCTGAACCAAGGGGAGGGGGGGGGTGTATGAGAGAGGCAGGGAGGCAGGGAGGGCAGCAGGGATGCCGGTGGCCATGTGATGCAGGGAACACAGGAAGGAGATCAACTGCGGAGCTGCGCCACTCAAAGCGGGAAACGGAGCACCCAGCGGGCGTGTCATCCCAAGTATTAGTTGGTATTGGGGTTAAAGGAGCAACCCCACCCCCACCCCCACTGAGGCCGACACCACCATCACCACCTGACCCGCCCAGCAGCCCACCCCTCCACCCCCACCCCTCCCTCCCTTCCCTTCCCCCCACGGAGCACGCTCCCTAAAACTGGCTCCCGGCGCTACCTGTCGGCGCGTAGCAGGCCCCCTCGTCGTGTGTCATCAGCCAGATGTGATCACGACCTCCGCGCCTAGGGAGGGGGGTTGGGATGCGACGAAGCCCAGACGATTCACGCGAAGAAAATAAAACCATAGACGGATGCTCCAAGATAACTCAATACTGTAGGAGAAGAAGTAGGCTACGGACCCGAGAGTGGGGTGGGGGTGAGCTGGGGTGGGGGTGGGTTGGGGTGACCGCCCGTGAGGGTTGATCATCAACTACTAAAAGCTCACTGCTCTATTGGGGCCGGGGCTGTAGCCAACAACTCGCCGCGGGACACATCCCCGCCAACCCAACGCCACACAGACACACATACATACACACACTCACATACATACACACACAACACCATGTCCACGCACGCACCTATCCCAATATGGAAAGTGTTTTCGTATCCAGTCCCGTACCTCCAGCATCATGTTGGTCACGTGCATCACACGGGGGCCTGCACTGACAGACAGACGGACAGACAGACAGACAGATAAGACAGCAGGGGTTGGTTGGGGAGGGTTGTGTTGGCGCAGTCGAAGTGCTGAGGTGCCGTTAGGCCAGAGAGCACCAGGCCAGTGCGCCCCTCACCCTCCGCTCACCCTCCGCTCACCCGAGGGCACATGCCACCAGGGACCATCCGCGTAACAGTGGAGGGGGAAAATAAAGCAACTGCCGTACACAGGCACGTAGAAGTAGTCAGCAGCCTCCGGGTCGAATGTCCTGCACAGAGGGGCCGGCGGCAGGGGCAGGGGCAATGGCAATGGCAGCAGCGGCATCGCCACCACACGCGTCAGGGCGTTGGTGACATGACTTCCCCTACATCGACCGACACAAATACATACATACATACATGCAAATGTTAACGCAGGCCTGCTGTGCACCGGCACGCCCCCGAACACTATCAAAATCACTCCTCGCACATAGTCAGATGCGCCGCACCACACCGCACCGCAACACACTTTCAGCGCGTACCGGTGCTCGCTTTGCAGCAGCATTTCGTGGAACAGTACTTCCAGTCCGTACGTCCATGCGAATATCTCCGTACGGTTGCCGCTGCCGAAGCCGCGCCAGGTGCACAACCCCCTGCGTGTGCGACGCGGCGTTGAAGTGCAAGGGGCCGGGAGAGGGGGGTTAAGACGGCTAACCCAGCTCATGTGTCCGGGACGGACGACGGTTTGTCCGTTGTTAAATTGAATTATGACATCATTCCATTGCCACTGCCGCCTCATTGCGGCCCAACACTGCTACCCTTACAGATCAACCCTCCCCCCCCAAGGCCCCCACCCTGAGCCTCACTTCGTAACCCGCACCCGTAACGCCTCACTTGTCGTTGCGGTACTGCAGCATGCGGGCGTTGTAGGCAGGAGGAAGGTCGTACACGTAGATCAGCGGCCGCCGCCGGGTATGGATGGACGCCGACTGGCCAGCAGCCCCAGGGCCCCCACCACCAGCGCCACCAGCGGCGGTCGAGCCCAGTCCGGCCACAGCTGCAGCGGCCTCCGGCGGCACCCTCACGGTATCCCGGAGCCAGGGCCGACTGCCAGTATCGTGTAACCCTGATGCGTGACATCGGGGCTTAGGGGCTTAGGGGCTTTTACAACGACTTCAGCTACAGGCTACACACTGCGCTCTAAGATCTAGTCCACCTAGTCCCGGGCAGCTCAGTCCGTCCGGTCTGAAGTCGGCATCAATGTCAAAGACATGGCATATTCGGTGACATCCTGGAAGTGACATCCTGGAGACACCCGGGGGAATAATAAATGGCTTCATGAGTTTCATCGGAGGACGGGCGCATGATGATGATGAGGATACCATACCATGGAACCATATGCAGCCAATGCAGAAGTAAAATTTAAAGGAGGTCACCTGGCCAACGGGTCCGTATGTCCGTCAGGTGGAGGGTTTTGCCAACAGGTGCGGACTGCGGCCGAACATAACCATACACATCCTCGCTAAGCCACATCAAGCTCATGTACACAGCTCAAGCACAGCCTCCAAACCAATTCCAAGGCAAACCCCCACCCGTTCCGTGTACCCACCACATGCCGTACTCACCACATGCCGTACTCAGCCCCACCCGTACTCCCTCCCGCTGCCGCCACCGCCGTCACCACCACCCACCTGGCTCCAGAGGCTGCCCCGAAACCTTCCGCGCGCAATCCGTGCCGTACCAGCCATCGTGGCATTTGCAAAACCCCGAGTCGCACTCTCCATGCCCCGAGCACTGGTTGGGGCACATGGTCTCCGTCACCTCGTCACATAGCTCACCCGAGAAGCCATCAAACAAGCAGCCGCACCTGAGGGAGAGCAACACAACCCGGGTGTATGTGGATGAGTGTGTGTATCTATCGGACCGGTCCTGACGCTGGCCATGGGCCGCTGTGTGTGCGGTGGCACTCCTTAGGGCCCTTAGGGAGACCTGAGGCGAACCCCCCACCCGCCGCCAGTAGGCCCCCGGGGGCCAGGGGCTTCCCCCGGGTGCTCTTCTTAGACCAATAAGAACCCCATGTCTAGTGCGGTGTCTTGCAATACACCCCACCCCCTAGCCACGTAAAAGCCATCCTGACACGCATCCTGACACGCCAGCCCGGCCCCCCCCCAAACCCCGCCAACCCCCCATGAGGCGCCATGGCGCGCGTACCTTATGTCTGGTTTGTTCGAGTTGCACCAGCCGTTGGGTCCGTAGATCTGCTCCCAGGGGACCTGACCCCACTCCAATTTGTTGCCACGTCCGTCGTCACTCACCTGCGCCATCATCAACATCATCGTCATCAACATCGTCAACATCATCGTCAACATCATCGTCAACATCATCATCATCGTCATCATCATCGTCATCATGAACAACACGGGCGACAACAGCAACAGCAATCAGCGCAACCCACATGGCTTGCAGACTCCCAACGATGTAAGTTACATGGGCACACGGAAGGGCAGTAAAATCCACAATCCCGCCCTGGATCCCGTCCTGACCCCAGACCTAGGCAAATCTCACATCCGGCCCTACACCCAGATCCCACCCCAGCCAGAGGCGCCGCCCTCATCCACCCACTACCACCCGCCCTCATCCACCCGCCCTCATCCACCCGCCCTCATCCACCCACTACCACCCGCCCTCATCCACCCGCCCTCATCCACCTCACCCACTACCACCCACCCACTACCACCCACCCACTACCACCCACCCACCCACCTGGCAAACGTGGTTGCCCAGCGGCCTGCCGCGAACCGGTGCCGGGGTACCCGGGGGCGAGCCCTTGGGCGGGTTCACTCGGCGGTAGGTCCCGTCGCAGAAGCAGCGGGCCGTCACGGGGTCGCAAATACCTGGGGGACGGAACACAGCAGCACGCGGCAACACACAGCACACAAGGGGGGTGCCGGAACGTGTGAAGCCGGGGCGCCCCGAAGCTACAACGGCGTAACGACACGACTATCGTCAAGGTGCGATGCATGGGCACCCTCCGCCACCGACTCCCCCCAGGCTCCTGCTCGCCCGCGGCTCTCCCCCCCCCCACACACACACACGTCGTCCCCTCCCATCACCCACACCCGCCACCCGCCCACACCTGTGCAGCGGGACTCTGTGTAGCCCGGGTCCGTCAGACCCAGGTCCCTGCCCTCGTCATCTATGTGCCCTGCGGGCTCACTGCCGCCGTGCCGGAAGTGGGTCGTGCAAGGCCGCAGCAGCACCGTGCCGCAGTCCTCACCCTGGGATCCTGGACCGCGAGGGCGAGACGGCAGTGGAGGTGGAGCGCGTCGGAGAGGGGTGCTGGCGGAGAGGAGGTGATACATGATGTATATATATATAAACCCTATGTATATATATGTATATATATGTTCGCGTGGGAAAGGGAACTGATTCAGCATAGGATATCAGCACTCACTTAAGTATACCGCACAGGGCAGGCGCAAGTCCCTCTACCGCATCTTGTGCATCTTGGACATCGGCAATTGGTTGTTGGTTGATTGCCGGTTTCTTTAATATCTTTCCCACAACCCCACCACCACCACGCCATCCCATTATCGCACATCCGCAGGACGGCGCCTTCACTCAAGGCAGTGTAATGAAACTGGCCTACCCCAACTAAATCTCCCACACCGGCCCGCACCTGCCGGGCAGTCGCATGTCCCCGTGTCGTGGTTGCAGTTCCCGACACCGCTGCAGTTGCGCGGGCAGGTCCGGCTGCCCCGGGGTGCGGGCTTTAGGGGGACTGGCTGCTGCAGCTCGTAGCCGCCGCACCAGTCACCCGTGGTGCCGCGACAGCGCTTTTCCAGGGCGCGGCGCTCTAAAAAGGTGCTGGTGGTGGTGGTCTGGGTCAGGATGTGGGGGTGCTGCTGCTGCTGCTGCTGCAGCTGTCGCGTGTGGGTTCGCTGCTCCGCTGCAGGGCAGCAGGGGGCACGGGGAGGACGTCAATCGGTGGTGGGTGGTCGGGAAAGCCAGGGAGGAGGGCTGCAAGGGAGGTGGAGTTTGCGACGCCCTACCCGACTTAGGGCCGGGGGGTTGGTGGCCCCGGGAGCATTCAAGCCACCTACCAGGGTCATAGAGCACGTCGTGGTTTGACTCCACGTCCAACCAGGCTAGAGCTCCACTCAAGTCCAGGTACTTTGCTGCTGCGATAGCCTCCCCCTGCTATGGGCACTTGCCCGTTAACGTATGCTCCCGACGGATAGCCGGAGCGTCAGTAATCCAATGTGTACCCACCGTGTGCTGTTTAGTCCCAAAACCAATAAATAGGAATAGTACCAAGAACGTCAAAGGCCAGTCACTAGCCATCGCGTTCTGGTTCAAGTTGCCTTACAAGACCCAAACGAGGTAAGGGGTTTGGCCTTGCAAAATCATAAATTGTTATTTTGAATTCGTTGCGGCGTACCCATCCTTCATATGGACTAGACTTTCATTCGTTACGCAGGATTACTTCCGACATACACGATGTTTATATGTTTGTTGCAACTCTCACGTGGCTCGTAAGAGAGCACAAAATAGAATAAGAACCTAGTCGAGAAACTCTGGCTGATTGGCGGTCTGCCGTGTCGTGCATTGGTAGCCGTGACAGCATCTGGACATAATTCCACATGATGAATCTGTTTCATATATAGATCCGGAGTACAGTCGAGCAGCTGGTCTAGCCCCCCAAAACGTTTCGCTGTCGCGTGCACGTATCCGCTGTGGCTAGCGAGCGATTGCGTCTTGCCTTTTGCTGACTGTCACGACTTCCCCCTCAAGCATCTGTCAGTCAGAGGGACAGGGCGTGCACAAGATGTCAACGAAGAAGCGACGCGTCCTGAAAATCATCATCCTTGGCGATAGTGGGTGCGTGCGGCTGCTCCTGAAAGATTAGTTCATTTCATAAGTATGCTGACTTATCCTTTGTTTGCTGTCTCAGCGTCGGCAAGACGTCGCTTATGAACCAGTATGTGCAAAAGAAGTTTACCAAGGAATACAAAGCGACGATAGGTGCAGATTTCCTTACCAAGGAGATCGAGGTGGACGATAAGAAAGTGACGATGCAGGTGCGATTACATTTGGCTGCGGCTTCTGGCCTCAGGCCCTAGTGTGTGCTGACGCCCAACATCGCAAAACACACGCAGATTTGGGACACTGCCGGACAGGAGCGCTTCCAAAGCCTTGGGTCGGCGTTTTATCGAGGAGCAGACTGCTGCATGCTGGTCTTCGATGTTAACAACGCAAAGAGCTTCGACGACTTGGACAACTGGCGAGACGAGTTCATTATCCAGGCGGGTAGCCCTTTCTGGAATTTGGAAGCCCGCATGTTGCAAACGTGCTGTGCAGGTTGCCTTGTCAAAAGACGCATGCTGAACTTTAATATTACGCCATGTGATGTGAATGCACTATTTAGTGTTGGATCCGTGCTTAGTAAGCCGTCTCGCCCACAGAGCCGTACGCTGTCGGATAACGTTTGCAGGCTGGGCCATCCGACCCTGACAACTTCCCCTTTGTGGTGCTGGGCAACAAAATTGACGAAGTCGGCGTCAACCGCCAGGTGAGTCAGCGCCCCGGAGTTGAAGGATGGGTGAAAGGGGGTACGACGATACCGGCACCGACTGTGGGTGAGAGGGGGAGGAGGACCTGCGCGCCAAAATTGACGCGAGCCTGCAACCGATAGAGCAGCTATCCCGTGCACGTTACTGAAGTTCTGCAGCGGTATGGCTTGGAGTTGGCGAACTGTTGTGTTTTCGTTACCTGTCTTGTCCAGAGAACACCTGGCTTATTATCAGGTGCCTCGTACAGTTGAATCGGTGCATCTTGTCAGCATATGGCTTCGCATTGTGGTTGTGTCTTTAGGTTACGGAGAAGAAGGCTAAGGCATGGTGCGCGTCCAAGGGCAGCATACCATACTTTGAGACGTCGGCAAAGGAGGACATCAATGTGGAAGCAGCCTTTACGTGCATCACACGGAACGCCCTACGAAACGAGAAGGAAGAGGAACTGTAAGTTCATGTGGTGAGGGAAGGAAAAGGAAAACGTGTTCGCTTCGTTCAAGGGGTTTGCGGTAGTTATGATTATGAGTTGCCCTCCTGCCCACACGTCCCCAGTTCAGCTTCCATCTTAATCCATACCCTTCTATCGCTTCAACGCCCTTTCAATATCCTTGGATGTTTGATTGTCTTAAGCACGCCATCAGGACCCCTCCCCTGCCGCCGGTTGCACGCCAGGTTCGTGCCCGACGCTGTGGACATGAACACCTCGGCCACACAGCGGAAGCGTGGCGGCTGCTGCTAAGGGCTTCAGGCTTAGGGGACTTGGGGTCAACGTGGGTTATTACAGGATGTTGCAAGTGTTGCAGGATGTGTGATGGGTATCTACAGTAGAATGAAGTTGTTAGATTATGTACAGCGGAATGACGTTGTACGACCTGGACTAGCTGAGCTGCAGGACGGAGAGCTATTATAGTGTTTTACAGTTGCCCTGGGTATTGCGTTTACTGATATATCTGTGTTTTATTTGGTTCAACCATCGTGATTTATGTAACATCGCTTATGCGACTTGCCTATCGCGTTTGCACTGCGAAATTAACTAGTTGCAAGACTAGCTTTACCCAGGCACAGGCGAAGTGCACAAGCGCGAGCTATAACGTATTTGCGCGTGCTTTTCTTTATCAACCGGCAGCAATGTCGCGCGATTCATCGCTGATCACCATTGTCAGCTTCGATGTTGATGGGACGCTTATCCATTCCATAGGAGCAGATGCCAACAAGCTCCACAAGGCAGCTTTTAGTCATGGCTTTAAGGCAGTCTTCGGCCTTGACACTGACATCGACGTCATTCAGCACCACGGGTCCACAGACCCGCTGATTATTATTAAAGTCCTCGAGCACCATGGAATCAGCAAGGACGAGGTGTGGCAGCTATGGGGCCGTCGCACCCGCGGGTGTAACCCAAAGCACAAGCGTGCATACTCTAGGTTTTGACAGGGCATGGCCAAGCTCGCTGCTGTGTATGGCGCATTTGGGTCACATGTTGGAGGCCTGGGTGATTTGGTCAATGGTGCCCGTGGCCTCCTGCGTGTAGAGGCTCCCCAAACTGGGTACTGCTTACCTGTTACAACCCCCCAAACCTTCCAACTACATACTCCTACGCGACGCGATACGGCCGCAGGCCATGGCCAAGCTCCATGCCGTGCAGCAGGAGATGGAGAGTTACTTCCTGGCGCACAGAGATCAAGCAGCGGTTGGTCTGGAGTTGCTGCCTGGGGTGAAGGAGCTGCTGACGGAGCTTAAGGTAACCTGACGGAGCAAAGCCCGCTGCCAAGGCTACCTACATTTAATCACTACGCCTGAGGATGTGTAAGGCGTATGCACCAATACGTATGTCGAAGCCCATGTTATAAGAGTGGACTCCTTGACGTTTTCATCCTCCTCAGGCTCATCCTCAAGCCGCGACCTGCCTGGTGACGGGGAATTTGGAGCCCATCGGCTGGGGCAAGATGGAACGGCTAGGTGCGCCGCGCTTTAAGGGCTCATCGAAAACATGGCGGACATATCTAGCAGGTCTCATCTAGCAGACCACAGTGACGGGGCTTTACGACCGTTCCACCCGTGCTGCCGTACTACAGCTCCTATCCTGCTGCTTGTGAACATCGAAAAAGGACTTTCCTAGCGATATGCTGCCGCCACGACGCGTATGGTGGATAATCTTCGCAACAACAGACACAAGCATCATGTTTTTTCTTGTCCCTACTGGTAATGGACAGGGATACTGGACCTATTCACCACACCGCGGTTTGGGGGCTTCGGCAGCGACTTCTGCTCAGGCAACACGGCCGAAACCTGGCGTGATCGAGGAGAGTTCGTGCGGATCGCCGCGCGCAAGTGCGAAGAAAATCACGGTATGTTTGGGAGAAATGAACTTGAGAGAAACACGAGATGTCGTGTCAATATCACCTGCGACGCAAAGCACTCCACCACAAAACACGCCTGTCTGCGTTTGATGCACGCTTTTCCTGTATGCGTAGCTCCCACCAATATAGGCGACAGGTAACCTACGGTTCCCTCAGCTAAGTGCAAAAGCCCGTTCCGCCAATGCCGTTTGACACACCTTTGAACCATGCAGGTCCAGTGGGCGCGCGCTTCCACGTTGGTGACACCCCAATGGACATTCAGGTAAGCATATGTGTGTTTGCTGGAGGCTGCTTGAATTGGATTATCGAAGGCTATTTTTCCGACCCATGGGAATGGAGTGGAGTTAGTGCCGTGTCGCTCTTGCGCGTCCTTGCTGCTGTCCGTGTGCGTACTGCATGTTTTCGTAATTCGTTTTGCCTTACTCTCATCGAATTGTCTTTATATGTTTGCATGGAACAATCAGGCCGCTCTGGACGCTGGATCAGTGCCAATCGGAGTGGCTACAGGAATCTACAGCCGGGAGCAGCTAGAAGCTGTCGCCCCCGATAGAGCAGTAATAGTGCTGGACTCGCTCGCGGACGTACCACTGGTGTTGCAAACGTTGGGACTGAAGTGATCAAACGAATTGACGTCCTAAGCCGGACTCCCGCCCGTGTTACTCACTCGGACACATTCTTATCACTATTGGTGAAGGCCCTTTTCACCCTGCACTACCGCTTCACCGAAAACACGTTGTAACCAGAGAACACAAGCAAATGCAAAGTGCGGGCCCACAGCAAGCGGCCGATGGCGTGACAGCTAGGAACCCGCACAGTAATAACGAGCAAACTGCAGCAAAGGTTAGGTGGCGGCATGCAATCCAAAGAACATTGCATTCCAAGTCCAGGTTTAATCAGAGCATCGCCGCATGGCCCAGCCGTCCTGCTATCGTATGTCCAACAGACGACAATTTCACAAAGCGCATACAACGCAAGTTCCTTCAGTACCCCGTACAAGGCAATGCTGTTGGACATCTTGCGTTCCAAAAGTTATACATGACTTGGTCAGCACCCTTACATGCTGCGTGCCGGCTCCAACCGGCGCCAATGCGACTTGTCTGGGGCGTCAGAGTTCAGCGTCATTCTGTCGCTAGGTCAAGTAATGCACGTGCAGCCATTGCCCTCTTTACTGCGCCTTCTTTGGACCCGATGCCTTCGGAATCTTGCTAACCACCCTGCGCATAAAGCGGAGCCACCGGCACACATGCGAACGTCGGTGAAGACAGGAGACACTTAGCCAAGCCGGTAAAAGCCAGTACTCAAGAAGCAGTGACGACCCAATCGACATTTGCATGGAAACTAGCTTCAAGACACAACGTAATCACGTCTGTCGTCAGTCAAGTCATCACACGTAGGAAGGCACGTGTAGGCATCAGGCAAGGATTTTCAGGCAGAAGGGTACCGTCACAATAGAACCCTCACCGCGGTCCCCCTCTGCACCAGACCAAAACCACGCCTGCCAGTATCTGGCTCACGCCCCCAGCCCCGCTCGTTTACTCACTCGCTGAACTTGGCAGTGAGCTCGTTCACCTTGGACTTGACGGTAGCCAGCACCTTATCGATCTCATCCTGCTTCAGCTCGTAAATCTTGGGGGCCGTAAAAGCAATCAATACCACTGCAAATAAATTCCACAAGGCGACAACGTCGTGATGTTAAACATCGTGATGTCCGCGGCGTATACACCGAAATCCACGCTCAATCCAGGTTCAATGCGTAGAGAACCACAAGCAATCTCACGTTCAAGCCACGGTGCCGATGCTGCAAGCTATTTGTGCATACGAAAAAACATCATTGCTGCAAATCACATGACACGCCATTACTGCCAAGCTGGCACAGGAAACCCAGATGGGGCATCGCTTACCGACGTACACAAGCGTGACGGGGCTGATGGCGGCAAACACACGAGCTGCGCTGTATGCACCGCCAACCACCTGCGCCCAAGCGGCCAGGGCGCCATGTCAGTGGAGGGAACGATATTTATCATCAGAAGTAGCCGACATGGTGAAATGGATGAAAGGGCCGCGCGAGGAAAGCAGATGGTGCCTATGTGAAAGTCGGATAGTGTGCAACCTCAAGCCAGGCACCTTGCGAGGACCAGGACCCGTTGTTGCGTTTGTATTCTTCAGGCGACGGATTCCGAAGAGGACCAATGTGTACGAATGGGCGATACATGCCACTTGAATTGCCCCTTGTGCTCATTCCTTCCCGTTGTCGCTTAGACTCACCAAAAGCGAAAGCTTCAGATCCTTGCCCGACGCCAGAACACCAATCGTAGCTGCAAGCAAGACAGGACAGCGGAGTACGGCATTAGGGTTTAGGAGAGCCAAAGACGATATGGCGATGTGTGACCCCGCTACAGCGGCAACTGCTTCTCACCGAGCGCTTTGTTGAGAACTGGGAGAGCCGCATCAGTAAACTTGCGGGCCTCATCCTCACTGAGCCCACGCGTGAGCAAGGCCGGCACTGGTGGGCCGGACCTGTGTGTGATGTGACAGAGGAGAGGGACGTCAGTCAGCCTTCGTCCCTTGTCGGTGGAACAGTGTCACAGAGCACTAACCCACCTGCCGACGATGTTGCCCATCTGGGCCCAAAGGAAAGTTGCCAGCGACGCGATGGCAACAGCATAGCAGATGATTGTGCTTGCTGAGAACGGGTTCAGTACATACGCGAGGAAAGCAGCCGTTGCGCCACCGAAAACGACACCGCTATCCTTGGGGTTGCGCCAAAAGAGTAGGGCCTCCACTGCGTTGTTTCAGGGAAAGCCCAAGGTTAAGCTCCATCAGTCTCCCGAACGCGTCCCCAAACAAGCACCAACCATTTTTGCTGACGAAAGGAATATGCACTTGTTTCTTTGAAGCAGCCATAGCAGCGGGCGATATCAGCGACCTACGTCGCAGGAGTTGCACTTTTTGCCGGAAACGCACAGCAACAAAGACTGTCGATACAAAGTATAAGTTGAAGTGCTTCGTTAATTGTTTTTCTGCTGTATGCTGCCCGCAAGGTACTGTACAGAATAGGCAGCGATTTCCTACAGCGATTGCGGGACGGGATGATCATCTACCGCGCCTAGATATTGAAGAACAGTGCGAAGAAATGTCATAATATCTAACTTTCGCCATTTGTTTGCCTCTTGTAAGTCAATATTCCACTATATTCATCGGGGAGCTGCTTGCACTTTCGAACGTTTCTGGAGTTCGGCAACCCCGCTTTCGGCATCAGCACTAACTTAAGGACAATATGCTACATGCGTAGCGGCGGCTGAGAGCTTGATCCGTGAGAGCAAGACAACGTTTGTCGCGTCATTCGACATGAACTAGACCCCCCAATTCTACATCTTTGGACCAAAATCTTTCCACAAACGCTTGAGTTTCAGGGCTTTATTCACGCTGCGAAAAGACGTCCGCTGACCTGGCGATTGCGCACTTAGCTGTATGGGTTAGCCTGAGAATAACAACCGACCTGCCGACGGGGAAGTCCTGCTGATGGGAAGTCATATATGCTTTTCTAGGCAGAGGAGGGGTCCAACCATGTTAACGGCCAACCCAAATATGTGTTTGATTCGGGGTTGTATGTAGCCGAAACCGGTACAGCTCACTTTCTCGTGCCTGAAAGCCCACCATCCCGACAAACCATAGCCATAACCTCATTATGTGCGGTTATTGCTATGTGTGCACCGCCCTGCTGTGTCGTACAGCAACGGGTGCACATGCGCCGATGTTTTCCCGCATCTATCCACAGGCCAGCGTCCTCACCGCCACCGGCGTCTCCCAAGGGCCGCATAGTCCTATGGTCGTAATGGTCAGCACGACTGCCATACAACTCATCGATATCGCCAACCTGTTAAATCCAATTCACGTGTGTCAGGAGCACCTTGAAACGGATCCCCGATTCCGCCTGTTGTCTATTTGTGTAACCTCCTAGGCCGTGCGACTGGGGCCCTCCTACCCCCTTGCTCCTCCGCCTCCAGCCCACTGCTCCGGGCCCTTGCCCCATCCCGCCATTTCGCCACGCCCGAAGGGGGTCTGCTTACGAAGCCGAATCTTGCCCACCCGCCAGCACCCCCGCTTCTATGGAGGGCAGCTGCAGCTGGGTCAGGAAGGGGTCCTCCCGCAGCCCTGCCAGGGGGGGCCAGTCCAGAGCTGCGCGACTGACCTCCGCATCCGCATGGATCCGGGCGATCAGCGCCTCCAAACTGCTGAAGTTGGCCTCGGGGCGAACGTAGCCGCAGATCACCAGAGACAGAGTCTCGCCGTAGAAAGGCTGCGGGGGACGTGACAAAGCAGTGGACGGTGGCAGGCGGGTGGGGTGGTGGCAGTGTTCCTTATTCAAGGAATGGATTCACGAATAGCAATAAATCCTAGTGTTTTCGGTCATGGGAAAAAGAAATGCATTCACGTCCGCCCGTATACATTCATTCCTTAGGCCAGAGTCAGCCAGAAACCTCTCCATCCTGCTAAAACACTGCCTCAAACGTGTGGGGGTGTGGGGTTGGAATGGGTAGTCTTTGAAAGACCTATACCGGACGTAAAGACGGGAGGAGGGGGCCTAGAAGGAGGACGGAAGCTTAGAGAGGAAAGTGTAGGTTGTGCGGCATATGCAAGCCAATGACCAAGGTAGAGAAACTAAAAGCGTATTGAATTATAGGCTCATAGGATGATGGCGGAAAATGGATAGAATAGAAAGGTGCCGTACGATGCCGTACCTCGTCGAAGGAATGCAAGATCCAGGGCTCCAAGGTCTTCTCCTTATTCCCAAAGAAGGGGTTCCAGCCAATGCTCAGAACCTGTGACCCAATAAGTAAACAAACAACAAACAAACGAACAGTAAACAAACAACAGACTTATACACAGGCGCCCTGACCCCAAATGAAGCCGCGAAACCCCTGGATGGACTGCACAGCTGGACAGCCAGCGACTCGTGCCAGCTTAGTGCGCGCGAGTTCCCTTTCCTCCCCCCTTCCCTCCCTCCCTGAGGAGCTAGTTCCTCACCGTCTTGTGCACCTCTGGTCTGTTCCCCACCCTCGCCCAGCCCGCATAGATGCCGGTCACCGCCTCCGCCAGTGCCGCCGCGACCGCCTCCGGGTCCACATTGGCCGTGGGAATACCCAGGTCCTGTGGGACAGTGCTCCCAGAAGGCAAGATAAGAACCAGGACCACAACCGAATGGACTGCCAACTCAACCGCCTCCGCTGTGTCGCTCTCGCGGTACTCCGGAAAAAAGGGGGTAGCGCTCTTGACAAACACAGACATGCATAGCGCCATTTTCCTCCTATGCGTTGCTCCTTCCTCATGCACATGTGCACATGACATCCCTTAACCCCAGCTGCTCCTATCCTACCAGAAACGATAGCCCTGCTGTCGTGAATCCGGCCGCCTTTGGGGCCTTTGCGGCCCCCTTACTGCTCCCTCCCCTCCCAGCGCCCACTGCTTCACCTTGGAGCCCCGTCCGAAGCCCTTGACCACCTTGCCCCGGATCCGAATCACCCGGTCCATGGGGATCACCGCGTCACCCAGATGCCCTCCGATCCGCACAGGAGCCCCGTCCGCTTCATCTAAGGGCCCCTCGGGGCCCCTCGGGGCTGAGGGGGATGCTGCTGGGGGTGCTGGTGTAGGTGGTGGCAGCAAGTCTGTGAAGGGCGGTAGGCCGTAGGCCGCCGGAGAGAAGGCCAACAGGGAGGGCAGCACCTCCACGACGCCAGTGGCGGCGCTCGGGTCGGCAGCGCCGTACTCGTTGGTTGCCGTACCCGTGCCCGTACCAACCAGCGAGGGTACCACTACCACGCGCATACCAGCAGCCGTGGCGCCCTGGGGCGCAGCAGCAGCAGCAGCACATGTATGCATTACGTGAATTCCCAGTGAGCCCCACTCGTATGTATGTATGTATGACAGAGCCAGGTGGGCTGGAGCAGGGGTGGGATCACGGGATGTGGCTGGAAGCAAAACCCAATGCCGGCATTCAACGCATCAAATCAACCATCCAAGCTGGAAGGGCGATGATGGTAGCAGCAGCAAGGGGCAAGGCGCGGCGCAACGCAGTGGGGCGCAGTCGGAATCGCGAGGAGTGAGTGGGGTTGCCGTGACGCCGGGGGCAGAGCTCTGTTGGAATGGGTGCGGGACTGTCGCGACGCCGTGTTGGGTATTGCAGGGGACACAGATTTACGGATCTGAACTTGCCCTGACGGACCCAGAACGGGAAGAGGGATGAGCGGTGCACGGCAGCACAGCAGGGGGTAGTTGTACCCGCTTAGCCAGTCTGGCCATGCACCCCCCTATACTGCACATCCCACCTGTGCCCGCCTGTACCCTCCGGTAGCCTGAAGCACCCGCCGCCCTTCCTTTCCCCACCTCCACCCCGCTGGGCGCATCCTCAAGCACTAGGCACCGCTCCGGAACCACATTCAACCGCTTGGCGGCCTCCAGAAACACGTCGGGGTACGGCTTGCCCTTAGCCACCTGCGCACGCAAACAGGGATACAGACAGGGAGGTCGATCAGTAGACACGAAGCGGCATCCATTGCTGCTCCTCCGGTATTCCATTGGGGTCACTGCCTGTGAAACTGCAACCGCCATTATAACCGCCTCCGCAACCGCCGTTACATCCGGAACTTTGTCCCATTTGTAATCCATCCCGGCACTCCTTCCCTCCGGCCGTCCGCCTCTTCCAAGTCCGCCCTCGCCTCTCTCGAACTCGTGCACCTGCCTCATCTCCGCAAACCACCGCTGCACCGGGTCGCTCCACCAGCAGCTCCCGCAGTTCCGTTTTCAAGCTCATTTTGGCGGCAAACGTGGCCCGGGGGGTGCTGGTGGCGATGGCAAAGGGTACTCCGCACGCTGCTAGGTGCCGTACAAGCCGCAGGGCCCCGGGAAGCAGCGGCGCATGCGCCCACCTGTGCAGCGGTTGGGGAATGGAGGGAGGGAAGTTAGCAAAGCATACGGGTACTGAGGTGCTGGGGGTCAGGTGGTCATGCACGGGCCAGGAACGGGTGGAAAGTGTGGTGGAGGGCGGTGATGATGGTGTGGGTCAAGTCGCGACAACCTCACCAATCTAAACGGTCTTTGATCCCTTTCCTTTCCCCGTGACGTCATTCGGGACGAGCCAAAGCGGTGACGGACGGGCAGGGACGGGGCGAGAAGGTGCTGTCCGAGTCACGTGCTGGTAATTGACCGGGAAAGCTTTCCGGGGAAAGGTACAGAAAGGAACGCATTTGGTACCAAATACCCGATGCGCCCATCCCGAGCCTACCTGGCCGCTAGCAGCGGCTCAGACTCCGCCAACAGCTGCTCAGGGGGAGCCGAAATATTCAACACCTGGATCATCACCACCATCGCCATCAGTCGAAATTAGCAACAGGGGCAATGACCAACATTAGGGACAACCAAGAGCATTGGCAATGGCTCTTACAGCAAGTCAACATTGCAGGTTTGCAGGACACAAGAGTGATTTTGAGAATCTCTGCGCGTGTCGTGTGTCGTGTAACCAACCAACCCTCGCAACGGGTCTCGGCCAAACGTCTGCTGCCCCTTGCTGCTGTCTCCCCCTTCCATACGGTACCGTGCTCTTCCTCGAAGCGGTCCCTTTCCCGTTTGCTTAATGGCTTATCCCTAAGCCGTGAGCAGCCGTTAGCTACTTGCCTTGGCAACGTCAGCCCAGCACTCCAGCGGGCGCTTGCCCAGAGCGACATGCTGTGCCTCGAGCGTTAGCTGCCTCCCATGGCGAGACACCACCTCTCGGGCGATCTCCACACACAGGGATTCTGCATGCAACTTTGCCGACATGAGTGGACGGCTGGGGCCTATTAGGTTCAACCTGATTCCCACCTGTGTCTAGGATAAGTCCATCAAGGTCTAGGATAAGCGCATGTACAGGCCGCATATCGTGCAACAATGTTACTGTGAGAAATATTTTTAAAAATCAAATGATGAGAAGTGTTTTTCGCTTATCATTACATGCATTAGAATGTGCTATATCTAAAGAGAAGGCGTAGCGAAGCGGTCCGAGCGCTCTATGAGGTCCTGGATCCGGGCTTGGGACTGCTGGAGGCTTCCGCTGTGCTTCTATGTTGGGATTTGCAGGAAATTTTATTCATTAAGTGACAAACTTTATTAAAAAAACTCCGTGGGAAAAGTACTTATCAAATGGGAGCCAAAGGCGCTTTAAGAGCTGTTTAGCCAGGAGGAGCTCCCATAACGAAACTAGCCGCTCCCTTCAGCTATTGTATCCTATCAGACAAGCTTAATTTGGCACCTATCGTGACATCGATGGCTCCTGCGATTGGCTCTCCAACCTACTGTCGCAATACCGTTCTCCATGCTAAGGGGAATAAAAAAAGCTGTCAAAGCCTTACTTCCAAAGCAGGCATGCACTACAAGAACCAACACCTGAACTGTCTTGTAAATTCCATATTGTAGAGGTTTGCCGGTTATGGAGGAGAGAAATAACCCTAGAATTGCATGTGCGTGACAATGCCCTTGCTTGTCGATTTGGGTGAATTTGCATGCTATGCGAAATATTTCTGACTCTAATGACTCCTGGGCTTTCTGCCTCACGCCTCCACACTCCGGGCCTCAAGTACAATACAGTGAAGAACTGCCCTGCTGGTCTCTGGCCGCCATCCATCCTTTAGGCTGCTATATAAAGCTACAAATAGTTCCTACAGGACATGTTGTCATTGAGACTTTGAGATTGTCCATGATATTCAACACCCAGTACCATTGCTAGTCGACTAGCAGTACGGCAGCCCGCTCGTATGCTAAAAGCCAGGGCAGTGTTCAAACGAGGGCGACGAGGTAGGTAGGTAGGTAGGTAGGAAGGTGACAAGGTAGGGAGGCGGGTAGGCGACTGCTGCTGCTGCCACTGCCACTGCTGGCAGCGCCTCACACTGCTGCTTTAGAGTTTGTGGGAGCAGAGGCATGAAGCAAAGCTGTATCGCACGTTGTAATGCAAGTCGGGGAATGAGCAGGGGGCCGGGAAGAGCAAGGGAAGACAGGGGTGATAGTGACGCGTCAAGGTGATGAGGTGGATGGGCCGGAGTGGAGGTGGAGGGGTGGAGACATAGGGGTGGCGGCTGGTGGGGCTGGGTTGATGCTGCTGGTTTGGAGTCTGGAGTGGTGGAGGTGGGGACAAAACTCGGTTGACCATAACGGAATGTTGGAAGGTACCATACGTAAAGAGTGCCTTGTCTGCACCTGGTTCAGTGAAGCGACCAGACCTGTGCTGCGTGGTACTGTACGCTGACAGGTGAAACTTTTCCTAACAAGACTAGACTGCCCATGTATACATCTTAGGTTTGATTTAACAAACGCTGTACAGAGGTAAAGATTCGAGACTTGGATTGATTTCATAAAAAGTTTTAGGATCCAATGCTCGTCATTTCGCCTTGGGATGCAATGGGTGTGCAATGAAAAGCATCCTTGACTTAGCCATTCATACGCGACTCGGCTCAGAAGTAGTCTTAATGAAAAGCTACATAACATCTGAGAAAATTGTGGTTGCAACTTGCCAGGATACGCTAGAGAACCCTGTCTACCATATTCGTGCGGAAATTCGCATCCTGGAAAAGCAACTAGAAATATAAAGGTTGCCTTTTATAGAATCGGCTGTTGTGTATGCTGCTGCAAGCCTGGCGACAAGCATGGATGGGAGCAGGTTTTGTGATTACTGTGGAAAAAAATACTTGGAAGACCGAGGTTTCAAATACGTACCATGCTCTCTGCCACTGTTACATTAAGCAGAATATATCTGTTGTGCACGCAGCAAAAGCCAACCACGACAGGTTGTCTTTGCTGGGCTGATGAACGAGTGCGCAAAGAAACACATCTGCCCCTGTGCAAATACAGGCTTAATCAGGTCCAGTGACAATTTAACCTAGGAATTGGCCAACAGCAGTACGAGATGAATAACGAAGGGGCAATGGTAGGTGGTTGGAAGGGTACGGCGGTGCAAACTCTGGCATTCCAAACCCGAGGGCTGTGCCTAATATTGACACGAGGCCTATGATTGCAGTGATGTTCATATGCCGTAGAGATACCGGGGACGAAACTATTCACGCTTCCAGCGTCAGTCGGGCGATCCTCGAAACGTTAGGAAACCCTTGGCTTATAACGGAACACCAAGCTAGGGTTTTATTTCGCCATGAGGGCCGTACACGAACACAACATTTGTTATAGCCGTAGTTTCATGCAACTCCGGGCCATGGTTGAAATTGTCATCATGAACACAATTTCCTGCCGTTAACTCGTTCCCGTACCGCACATTCGTTAGCGCATGTAACTGTGACAGCTACCGATCATTCGTTGCACGCTATTTGTGTCTTAGCGCGACATAATCTAACTTTTCGTAATGCTACGAGCTCCTCGGAACCTGCTCCGGTTTCTTGTCTTTTTTTAAGCGCAATGTGGACCGCGGTTTTCCAAAACAGGCCCCGCCTGCAGGGTCTGGTACGCAGTATTGAGATGAATATGTCTGCTAGTCTGTCTTCTTTGTCAGGGGCTGCAATGGCACAAGCAGACCGGAGCACACCGTTAGCTGCGGAGCCTTTGCCTGGCTTCAAACGACTGAACCTTTGCAACGCTGTGAATGATGCTCTCACTGTTGCTCTCGATACGAACGACAGGTCTGGCTTGCTTATGTTTCCTTTTGCGCGACTTTGCATGTACGCGCAACCCTGACGTGGCCGGCCTTTGCATATATCTTTGGACAGAGCCTACGTGTTTGGCGAAGATGTTTCCTTTGGAGGTGTTTTCCGGTGTACAGTTGGCCTGCTGGAGCGTTTTGGCAAAGATCGCGTGTTCAACACGCCCCTCTCAGAGCAGGTGCGCGGTAGGGAAACCGGAGCGGCTACCCTCAATTTTGTATTCGCGATAACTTATTTCTTATTATCCAATGCGGTTCTGTCGGGCACCAGTCATGGTGCGCGGCCGGCCTTTCACTGGCGACTTTTTGCAACATCCGCCGGTAACGCAACATCCCCGCGGCTGACCTGGCTGCGCAAGGATGACACAATTGCATCTTCATGGCCCTAAATAAAACTAGGGGACTGTGGGCGAATTTGCAAAGTGTCCTGTAAGGGACCGCGCACAATGCATCGATGGTGCCGGGCATCGCGAACCGCAAGGAAGCTAAGTTCGGCTATCACGGGGGATAACTTGGCTAAAGCAAGCCGTTTACTTGACTTACCCAGCTTGCGCACCGCACACTCACATAACCCCCTTTCGACTCCTAACTCAGGGCATTGTGGGGTTCGGTATCGGTCTCGCCGCCATGGGGCACACGGCAGTGGCGGAAATTCAATTTGCGGACTACATCTTCCCCGCGTTCGACCAGCTGGTCAACGAGGTGGGGGGCTATATGTTCGTTTTGGGTAGGGGAGCGGATCGACTGCACCACCACGTGGTCGCTATGGTGGTATTCATTGGTTTTGCCCCGTTGCCTGAACAAACACCCCCCGGGCTGATCCCTTTCAGGCTGCCAAGTACCGGTACCGTAGCGGGGGTACATTCAACTGTGGCGGGTTAACCGTACGGGCGCCGTACGGTACGTGCTGAGGCGCCGCCGCGCATGAGCCCTGCAACACACAACCGCACCGCACACCTCTCCCCCCCCTTGCTGGGCCCCCATGGCCTAATCCTCCGCGGGGTCCATCACCTCCCCCCTGGAGCCCGTGTCCGTGCCCGTGTGTTTCACCTGCTCGGTGCCATTCATGTCTCCCCACTCTTCCCCCCCCTCCATACTTTTATAATTCCCACATGCAGTATTACCCCCTCTCCCCCCCCCCCCCACACACACATGTCAGGTGCGGTGGGCCACGGGGGTCACTACCACAGCCAGAGCCCGGAGGCGGTCTTCACGCATGTGGGGCGGGCAGCGGGGGCCGGGGGGGGGTGGGAATGAGGAGGGGGGGTGGAGAGCTGGGGGACCATACCTGCCTTACCTGCCGTTCCGACACGTGTGTGCGCCAACCTTGTACTGCCTTACTGTCCCTTCTAGTTTGGTCTGTCGCCCCACGACACAGCGTAAGCCCTGCTTGTGCGTCTGTATGTCTGTATGTCCGTATATGTGCCCATGTTTCAGGTTCCCGGGCTCAAGGTGGTGATACCCAGCAGTCCAGCAGAGGCGAAAGGTGTGCAAGTGTGTGTGTTTGCATGTGCTGGGGAAAGAGGCCGAATGAGCTCGCTTATCTCTGTCGTACACCTTTTGCTCCTCTCCGTCTCTCCCTCTACCCCCTCCCTCCTCCTCCTGGCTGTTTCCTGGGCCCCCCCCCATACACATCACCCCCTCCCTGGACGTTCCTGGCTTTCCCCCTCCCCCCCCACAGGTTTATTGTTGTCCTCCATCCGAGCTCCCGACCCCGTTGTGTTTTTTGAACCCAAGATGATGTAAGCCTCAGGGAGAGGGGGGGAGAGGGGGGAAGAGGGGGGGAGAGGGGGGGAGAGGGGGGAAGAGTGGGGGAGAGGGGGGGAAGAAGAAAAGCGGAGTAGGGGCAACGTTGGGGTTGAGAGGAAACTGGTCATTGCCACGGAGCGGGTGAAACCCTGCCCGTCCGTCTGTCTACCTGTTTGTCTGTCTGTCTGTCTGTCTTCTGACTCATGGACCACTGCCACCCCCTACCGCGCGTTCAGGTACCGCACCGCTGTGGAGGATGTGCCCGAGGTGGGGAGCGGAGTGGGGTGTGTGTGGGGGGGGGGGAAGAGAAAGAGAGCTCCATCACATCCCCGCGCTTTGACTTCCTTGCCCGCCATCATCACCACCACCGTAACCACCGCCACCGCACATTCATGGTGAACTCCCGCCGCCCTTAACCCCTTCTGGCCATGTTGGTCACCCCTCCCCCCCCTCCCCCTCCTCCGCCTCCCTGGCCCCTCAGGGCGACTACGAGGTGCCGTTGGGGGTGGCGCGAGTGGTGGTGGAGGGCGGGGACGTGACCCTGGTGGGCTGGGGACAACAGGTTCGTGCGGGGGGAGGGGGAGGAAGGGAGGGGTGGGGGTGGGGGGAGGGGGAGGGAGGAAGGCGGGTAGGATGTGGGGGGGGAGGGAGGAAGGCGGGTACCCCACCCGCCGCCCGTCATGTCCGCGAGCTTCTTGAGACATTGGGGGGGCCGACCAGGTAGGGAGGGTTCAGGAGCCGGAAAGAGTGCACGAGGTCGCCACCACGTCGTTCATCCACCAGTCTAAATGCGCGCCCATGCACCCGTCTGTCTGTCTGTCTGTCTGTCTGTCTGCCACATCTGATTGGCTGGCAGCCAGATGTCGCCCCCTGCATTTGGTTAATTTCATGTACCTTTCCCCCACGTACCGCTGTATGTATGTATGTATGTCCCTGTATGTATATGTATGTGCTCCCAACCCGCATTTATTCATTATGGGGTGTTCACCTCCAGGTGTTGGTTCTGGAGCAAGCCGCTGCGCAGTTGCGGAAGGCGGACGACATCAGCTGCGAAGTGATCGACCTGAGGACGCTGGCCCCCTGGGTGCGGTCGGGGGGGGGCCCTGGGGAGTGGGGTCGGGGGGGGGCCCTGGGGAGTGGGGTGGGGTGGGGGCCGCGGGTGATGACGTTGTAGCGCAGTTGCTTTGGGCTCTCCTTCGCTGCTTTGGACGCAGTGGGTCCGCGCAGTGGCCCCTCTGGACTTCAATGTCTCCCCTCCTTCCCCCCTTCTCCCCCCCTCTCCCCCCGCGTCCGTCACCCCTGCAGGATTTTGAGACGGTTTGCGCCTCCGTGAGCAAGACTGGGCGGCTGGTGGTGGCCCACGAGGCGCCGCTGACCGGCGGTTTCGGAGCCGAGGTGGCGGCGACGGTGGCGGAAAGGTCAGCAGGGGCTCCAGGGCTGTGCGGGGGAAGGGTGTTATCGTACGACAGGCCATAGGTCGTAGTTCTGTCTGCAGTAACACATACCGTACACAAGTTGCACGTGTCGTCGTAGCTCCTGCTGATGATGATGATATCGCTGCAGCGAGCCCGGACATTGTCCGCTGGGGCTTCCAGTGCTGCTATGCGTCTCCACTATTACTGCCCCTCTACCCCCCCCCCCCCCTCTAACCCACCCGCCCTCCCCCGCCCTCCCCCGGCCCCTGCAGGTGTTTCACCGTGTTGGAGTCCCCTCCGGTCCGGTGTTGCGGAGTGGACACCCCCTTCCCCCTGATCATGGAGCCGGTCTACCTGCCCGGGGTGGCACGGGTTATGGACGCAGTGAGGGGTGTGGTCCATTTCTGAAGGGGGGGAGGGGGATATCTCTGGATCTGGGCGTTCTGGCCGGCGGGCCGGATCCGGGTGGCAATCAGCTGCAGCTGCAGCGACAGTCCAGGCGCGACCCAGGCGATCGACCCTACGCTGGTCATGCTGACGCCGAGGAAAGGGAAAAGGGGGCGCGAAGAAACCTCTCGCAAGGTAAAGAAGCGCGAGCAGCTCAAGGGCGCACAATACCCCAGACCACATGTTGCGAGGAGTTGAGAGTTACTTTGTACTGATGTATGATGTCCTTTTTCAGCCGGGGCGTCCGTGGGTTCCAGCCATGTATGTATGTATGTATGTATGTATGTATGTATGTATGTATGTATGTATGTATGTATGTATGTATGTATGTATGTATGTATATATGTATATATGTATGTATGTTAGCATGTTGTGTCGTGTACAGTGGCGAAGGATGCCATTGTCGGCGATGTATCGTGAGGAGTAAGAAGTGAGAACGTGATGGTCGTACATAACGTCCAGGACGAGGGATATGTGTGGATAGGTCGTGGTGGTGGTGTGGTGGTGGTTGGACGGGCCCCGTAGCTCCCCGCGCCGCCCCATGCTCCACCTGCCGAGGGGGGGGGGGAAATGAACCCCCACAACGCTCCCACACGCTGGATATAGCTTACTATATTATTTTTATTCTGGACATCATCATCCCGCATCCCGTCTTGCTCCACATTGTGTGACGGTGACGGAAGGTTGTGAACTGAAGAGATTGATGACCTTGAATTTCGTTCTGGGGGGAGGAGAACTGTTGTATTGTGGCGTTGTTGTCGTGGAAATGGCCGTGGAAAAGGCGTATTATTGTTTTACGGGAGCTTCTTGGATTGTATTTATCGACCGGGGCGGAATGCGTTGGGGTTATAGGTCTGGGTGATGCGGACGAGAGATTCGGTGCGGAGTTTCGGTGGGGCGGAAAAGAGCACACATGTCGCACAGAATCCAAGAAGTCGTGTTAAAAGGTCGGATAGCCTGGCCGAAGTGTCCGATACGTCTCCTTTGTATCTTACAAGTACACATCACCACCATAACCACCAGCGATAGCCCGTAACGCAACCGAACCCAACATAAAAATCGAACTCAATATTCCCGCCGGCAGGTTCTTCTCGCGTGCCCGAGTACCAAAATGGGACGTTTTCGAAAACGATAAAAACGCACAAACTGTGTACAACCCCGAAAAGAAGAAAAAGATTGAAAACTCAGAGAAATCCGCGTTCTCTATCACATGTTCTCTATCCATGGCTCCTGTTATTGGCTCCGGAGCCAGGGGCACTCGTCGCTTGCAGCTGTACGGGAAATTTTGTGATATTGCTGTGATGCAGGCCTCTGGAAAAAATGTACAAAAATTTCCACAAATTATCAGTACGGCTACAACCCCGAAAAAAGGAAACATACCAATAAAGAAAATACACAATGCCACCATAAAAGGAATGGAAAGGCAAGGCCGTCGATGAACACTGCTAAAAGTACACAGAGCTTAACAGGGTACAGGTGAAGCGAGTCGAAAACCCTTTCAGACGCTTCTTCACTCCTTACTCTCCCCCCCCTTCGCACCTCTACCTCCACCTGCACCCACCTGGCAGCCCCCGCCTCACGACAATTACTATCGTCAGCAGCAGCTTCAGTAGTCGCAGCAGTAGCAGGTGGCCATAATCGCCTCAATCACATGCCGGTCTTTAGGAAGTTTCTGCCGTCGCTGCCGTACCCGCCGCCACATCGTCCGTTCTGGTATGCGTCCGTCATGTACCCGCCGCCACCTCTGTCGCTGCCGGCCTCTGGATCGTGACACACGCTCACCACCTGGGGCAGGGCAGTAGGGGGTGAAGGGGGGGTGAAGGGAGAGTTTGGGGCTAGGATGGCTGCAGTGGCGGTGTTGGGGGGAGTGGAATGAAGGCGGGTAACACAGAACCTTGGATGGGCTTAGGGCCCCGTAGCACCTCGGGCTCCTTCACAGCCCATACCTGCTCCTTCCGTTCCTACACGCGCATACATACATACAGACACACATACAGACACACATACAGACACACATACAGACACACATACAGACACACATACAGACACACATACAGACACACATACCGATACACATACAGACACACATACAGACACATATACAGACACACATACAGACACACATACAGACACACATACAGATACACATACAGACACACACATAGACACACATACAGATACACATACAGACACACATACAGACACACATACACACATACAGACAGACACACATACAGACAGCCCCCACTTGCGGCCTCAGCGCCCTAGCCCTATCTCGCGGATATGTCCAGTGCAGCCCCGTGTAGAAGAGCGCACACAGAGTCTGTTGGGAGTGGGGGTGGGGGAGAAGGGAGGTGCGCGTGTGGGGGTGTGGAGAGTGTGTACGTGTATGTGTTTGAAGGGGAAGGGACTCGGGCAGGTGGGGTAATGGACATGCAGCTGCCAATTGCAGATGACAAACAACGCGTGTGTGGTGCGTGGTGCGGTACGATACGGTACACGTTACAATGTATGTATGTATTCTGTTACACGTCGATCCGGGCCTCACACTGGCCAGCGGCACCTCCTAGCCGTACATACCCCAACGGTAACGGTTACCCCCCACAACGGCACTGTCCCCCCCTAGCGGCGGGAGGAGAGGGACGTGAGCGGTCCCCACAGCGCCCCCCCTCGTACTGCTCGATAGACCGCATGGGACTGTACGACCCACCCGAGGGTGTATCTACGACCCGGTGTACCTCGCTCATGTAATTTTGATGATGGAAAAGAGCGCACGGTGGCTACGAAGGCCCTCCCATGTGTGTATCGCCCCCCGGCCCCTTCCACGTCAGTTGTTTCTTCATTTA